ACATGTGCACATCATGTGGAACCAGTCAGATATTTGGTAGAAGCAAGAATATGACCTGTTCTGACTTGCTCCTTGTATGCTCCTTATATAGATGGTGGAGGTAAGGTATTATAAGTGGTACTGCCCATGAGAAAGCTTCACTAGAATCATTACATGACAAATAGCCAATACAACATGCAGTAGCTGTGGTACCAAGCTAGTGAAGGAAGTAATTATAGATGATATGTCTCAATTCTTGAAGTTGAAAGTTGATGAAGTTACTGTCAAGTGGACTCCTATACTGGACTTGGATAGTTGCAAGTGCAGGCTATGTGTATTTATTCATTATGGCAATGAGCACTTTACAGCAAAAATGGTATAATGGTAGATTGAAGCATAGTAGTATATATTACTTAGTGGCCCCAGCTTTGTAATAAGACACCAGCTCAACTTGCCAATAGTTCAAATGGACATAAGCTGGCCTTTGAATTTTATAGTCAGATGTTGTAAATAAAGAGTATAATAGACTGTAGGTTATTATTATTTATGTGGTAGACACATTATTCATAAAATTCACCATAATAAAATGATAAAAGACTACTGTTTACATATTTTGCAAAGTTATAAAGTGATAAATACTACATATAGGTTTAAGTCTCATATAAATAGTAAGTTATTATTATTTATATTGCAGCATAAAAGAAATGAAGAAATTGTACCTGCCGAGCATATATGCTATGGCTCACATAACTCTAGTTGAGCTGCAGCTCAGCACAGCCCAGTGCAGTGTGCTGTATGGCCCCAAAGATACTTGACCCGGCCTGTTTCCAGCTCTCCCAAGTTCAGCACATGCCTGCCAGCAACATGTATTTGTTCAGACAGGTGTCATGCTGAATAAGCCCATAGCAGCGGGTCAGCCTCATTGTAATCTGTTTTGACTGACAGACTGTTTGCAAATATATATAGAGAAAATACCCTTCCCTGACCTGAACACATATCAAGTGATGTCTGCCATCATCAGTGGCAGATATTAGCAATGTTTGCTATCTGATAGATATATTCCTAATGCCATGTGGAAGGTTATGCAGGCATGCTGGCTCTCTGAGCCATCCAGGCATGCTGATTCCTGGACAGTGCAGTGTGAGCTCAAGGCTAGCTGCCTCCATAGCAACCTTCAAATAACTTATAGTGGGAGCAAGCCAACTTGTGGGTCATCCTTGGTCATTTTACTTTTGGTGAGCTTACACCTTCACTTAGATTGGAGGCTTATGCTCAATAATCTACTCCAAGTAAGCTGAGGTGTACACAGTTTGCATTGGGAGCAGTTCCAGACTGGACCTCAGAGAACATCCCCCTGGGTAGCCGCTGCATTTCATAAGTAGTTTATTATTAATGCAAGTGTGAGCTGATAGTGCCATGCAGTCCAAAACAGAGAATGGGGTCATGGTCAGGCAGATTCACTGAGTGCAGCAAAGGAGAAGGCAGCCAGAATAGCCTATCACACTCTTTTCAGGCATCTCTATCATGAGAACCTGTAGAAAATCCTATGCAATCATGTTCAGATCAGTTGGCTTCAGCAAAGCGTAATGGTGCAGGCTGATTAAGTAACCTTCACTGACAGCCCTCGAGCAACAGGAGAGCAGAAACACATTGTATATTGACAAGCGTCGCATGTATTATGGATATGCGAGCATGAATGTGGCAGACTACAGACTGTACATGAGATGTATAAAAAGAGGACGAGAGTGAGACTTGGTTATGTGATGTGAAGATCCTGTTTCTTGAGTGCTTCAATATCAAGAAAGCAACTTGAGATTGACGAAGCGCACTCAACCGCGAGGTTACTTCTGACAAGTCGCATCTCAGGCTTCATGGCTCTTGACATGGGGACAGTCAGAAAATGGTTAAGTTTTGTACTTTGTCGATGCCTCAGCCTACACAGAGCAGTTTAGTTACTTTTTCTGTGAAACCTGTGAAGCTATAAGCGCATTGAGGATCACATAATTTAACCAGACAGAAGACACATCACATAAGCTCAGCGCAAGATTCCGTGGTCACTATCACTTGTTTTTGACAACATAGCTCATCATATGAGTGTTATATCTTGAAGTCTAAATCCAATAGCTGATACAGTGTGCTTTATTTAAAGTAAGACACTTACAATTGCTGCCCACAGGGGGCACTGGCTGATTTCGGTGACAGTCAGGATGAGATTACACACTAGCCTACATGCATATCATCTCCAGTATGCCACAATTTACACCAGCCCTACCTTGACCTTAAGACATGATGCATAAAGTGTAAACCTCGGTCGAGCGGTATTCGAGCTGACACCACGCGTGACATCATTTTCACATGACTATTCTATATTAGGCGCCGCCCCGACGGTCCCACGCTCCTGAATCGTGCGCCCTTTTGTGTGCGTTTGTTTTCATTCCTACACTTGTACCACAATCCGACCTAACGCGGCTGATGCGTGCAGCTCACACTGCTGAGGCGATTGTGGGTGAGGCTCGCCATAGTGCAGCTCGGGTGAGTACACGCACGATGCTCAGTTTGCCACGTCAGCCCACCAGGCTCTTATTTACACGCAGAAATACTCCTTTCCTCAGGGTGGAATTGCAGCTCTCAGAACATTCATGCGCAAACGCTGTAACGTGAAGATGTCGCCGACACCTCGTCAAAGTTGGAGGATGGCTTTCAGGTCGCTCGTCGCTGGTCCTTCGCGACGTGAGCTTTCCGCGTCAGAACGCCGCTTGCACTACTCAGGTATGCCACGGAGGTCCATTTCCTAGACACTGATCATTCAAGAAAGGTGGCAGTTGTCTCTGTGTAGGCAGATGATGGGCAGCTGACCTCAATGCTGAAGCCGCTAGACCAAAAGACCGTGTCGTGTAAGCGCAAAACATAATGGTGGCTTGGCTTTGAGAATCCTTCGCTCGTCAGTTTTGTTGGCTTGGCTTTGTTTCACATTGTAAGTCGAATCTTTCGATCTTTTTATCTTCTGGGCATGCACCTGATCTGTCTTCAGTGTATCGATCCAGCCACGGCAGTCAGGAGCCATCATGGTCGAGTACGCCTAACATACTCTTTGAATATCGCATCGCGAATAGATCCTATGCATTCCAGTGACTGTTCCAAACAATTTGTTGCGACTGAGACGCGTTTCGAGAGCAAAATACCGTGTACTTATCATCGCAGTGCATCCCGCATCTGTCTCAGCTGTGCCGACATCAAGTGTCACCAAGCGCGTCCAAAAAAGTGTCCAGAAAGAGTTTTAGGAGACCTGCGTCGCTTGTACAGTACGCCCTCACACTCTCGCTGTAGAAGGGAGTTTGTCGCCCAGAATTACCCACCCACATTCAAGCCCGGATGCGCATACGCTGCGTGAGAAGTGTCTACAATTGACAGTCTCTGCTTGGCATCCTATTCTTTCACTGGCGGGAATTAGTACGAACTGTCTTCGCCTTCGCTATTCACTTACACAACAGTTGCTTCTCTCTGATACGGTTGCAATTGCAAAAGCACTTTCGTGAAGAAGGACTAGCAGAGGTGCACAGTTGACGACACATACACCAAAGAAGAGCAACAATCTGTGCAGCATCGGAGCCTCTACATATGGATGGTTGTCTCGCAGAGATTTACGCACCCGCCTACCACAGATTCATATCTGCATCTGCGGGGTTTGTTCTCACCTTTGTGGTTTCCCACCCAGTAAAGTTGCCAGCCCAGCTCTCACGGTGCGCCGTCCTCGTTCGAACGCACGTTCTCTCAAATTAGAGCATCTTCCCGAGCTCGAGCCTCAGTGTCGCGCCGTGGCAAACCGGCAGTCGCGCTCAAACGGGAGCGGCAGCGTGCCGGGCGAGCGCGTAATGCGGATCTAGGCGCTTCGATTCTTCCCGCGAAGTGTCGTAGGCAACGCGCATTCAATTCGTCGCGCCCGTGCTTCGCGGGCGCAGGAACCATCGGAGGGAGTGCGTCCGTCGATTCTCGAAGGTTGTCCTGCGCTCGGTGTCATACTAGCTCGCCGGGTGTGGGGAGAGTCTGTGAACGCATGACGCGGCGCAACGTCTGCACCGGGACGATCGTCGCGCGCTCTCGTATAGTTTGCTATCTCCAGCGAATTCCCAAGGATAGTTCGGCTCCCGAGGTGGGTGTGGGGGTAAGCTACCGAGATTGGGAGCGTGAAGGCGCCACCGCACAACGAGCATCCCCCGAGGCGAGTCGGAGCTCCAAGCGGCCGTGTACCTCGTGCGCACCCCAAGATTGTCGCACGGCTTCCACTGGAGACTCCGCCGTGCCTCGAGCATACTCCGCCTGCATTCCGTCGTGCGACGCGCGCTGGTATGGGGCGCCCCTTGAATATTTGAATTCGCGTGTGCTCATGTGCTCAGGCCCCAAGCTCACCGACGCTCTTTTGAGCAATGCGGCAAGTCGCCGCGTGGACTATTTCCTGCCTTGCAAGTCCTTTGCCTCTAACGCTTCGCACGCTCACTGACGCCGACGACCACGAGCACAGCCTAAGACGACGACGGAAGCGGCGACACAATGTCCTCAGCCGCTCACACGCTCATGCACGCCGTTACGGCGTCCGGCCCGAGGCCAGGACGAGGCGGCGACGCAGCAGCGTGCAAACTCCGCCAGGCTTTTTCTCCTCCCCCTCTGCTCATGCCATCCCGGACTTAAGGCCTCCCCCCGCTGCGCCTCGATCTCAGCCCAAGCTCAGCTTAAGCTCGGCCTTGTCGGCGTACGAGCTTGCAATTAATCTTTGGCGCGACGGCGGCGTACGGTCGAGCGGCATGCCGAGCTTGGGGGCCTCATTCCTGCTTGTAATGATTGTGTCGCTCCAGGACACGAGCAGCTGGCCTCGCCGTCGATACGCAGGGCCATCGTGCAAATCTCTGGAGGGTACTCGCCATGTGACAGGATTCTCTGCTCGGAAGATTTGCATTCTTCAGCAACTTGAGCAATGTTACGATGCTGGTGAGTCTGTGCGCTCGTCGGCGGCGGTTGACTCATCGTGTTTTGGGTTTAGACGTTGCCGGTGCAGCACTGGCGGTCGAGTATGTCTAAATGACACACACGCCATACTTGATTGGCATTCTAAATCAGCCTAGTGCGTATGCCGTACAGCAAAAACTGCCCGCAGCGATGCGTATCCCAACAAGCTGACGCATTTCTATTCGCGTAGGACCGAGGAGCTGCGTAACTTCCATGCGCCCGACGCCAGCGTACATCGTGAATGTGACCTCGGCTGCGCTCGGTTTAATTGTTGTCTCGTTGACATGGGCATGCAATGTCGCAGAGGTGCGACATCTAAGCTCCGCGCTGTACGGCCCTCCCGCCGCTGGCATCTCCCCACTTCAGCACCACGCTCCGACTCCTCTCCGTCTCCGCCGCCGCCCGCGCATCGTCATCACACGCCACTCCTCGCGGTCCCGTTACGCGAATCAAGAATCTTCTCTCGCGGCATTATACTCGCCGGCTAGCAGCGCCATACGCCTTTTCGACATTGACCGGGCCCCCGCAAGACTCAGGCACGGGCGCACAGCGTCTGGCAGCTCCCGGCAACCCCAAGAGTTCGAGTCACAGGGCCCTGTGACACCATCTATCTATCCAGGGCAACCGACCTCTTCCCTTCCGCCTGCACACGCTATCCGGCTCCCGCATCTGATGCGCTGATTATCCGCGCTCGATAAATGCTCTTAACTCTGTCTGTTCGGGCGCTGCCTCAAGGCCTCATTGCTCCCTTGCTGATTCGCCACACCGCTTTGCAAGTCCGCGGGTCCGGCGGCGCGACGTCCGCCGCCAGGCGGAGCCTCTTTCTCCCCCCCCCCCCCCCCCGTGAGCAGAGCGGCGGCTGTGTAGCCACTGCCACGACCATCAAATGGGTGCAAGGACGGATGCAGATTATGATGAGGGGCCAGACGTGCGTGTCCGCCGCAGTCCTCCTTTCGTCGTCGAGGTGTTCCACTGTTCCGCAAGGCACTCTTCATCACGTCTGTAGAGCTGGCGGTGCCGCTTGGAGCTGGATCTGGTGGGTTCGGCTGCAGTTACCGCTTTAGCTTGTAGCTTTTCGGAAGTGCGTCACCTTTGCGGTCCCTCTTTCTGTCGATGAAACGTCACGCTGTCCCGCGTCTCGCTCCGCATAGCACCTGTAGTTTTGGCGGCGCTGCCCAGATTTTGTTCTCGCGGTTCGGTCGCTTTCCGGCTTGGACGCGTCATATCTATCTTACAAAGCCTTTGATGGCTCGTGATATGCCTTTCGATACCCACGAGCCTAGCCCAGCCTGTTCAACACTTGATTATCTGTTGTAGCCCTGCACTGGCTTCTTGTGGCCTAACGCGATTGACGAGACCCATCGAAGGGGAGCCATGCGGCGATGGCGCAGCACGTACAGTGATCCTTCTCGATCCGGCGCAGGTGTTCGTCTGAAAGATGCCGTAAGGTTTTTTCTGCCGCGTTGCTTGCTTCCCCAGAGTTTGATATTGTTTCCTAGTCCACGGGTGCGGGCCTCGCCCTAACCCGCGCCGTCACAAAGCAAAGGAAACGGGCGCGGATGGGTTGGTCATTTGCGGACGACGGCGGCGGTGGATCAACAGCGGTTGCTACTCCAGGTCGCCCGCGCTTTCTGGTGGCAGTGTCGCAGGGACGGACCCCAGTCCAACAGTTGGCGGGATGCCCGAAACCTTCAGCTCGCGCTTGGAGCGTGAAATCCTCGGTACAGTCCCGAGCTTACTGCTGGTCGTCCGTCCCCCAAGAGGAGATCCTGTCGCCAAGACTCACGGCGTGCGTTCCTCCATTTTGATAACTCAAGCAATACCAAACGCCAGACACCCCTGTCTGAGCGGCGGGAGCGGCATCTCAGTGGTACTGGACGCGTCCTCTGATCTGCCTACCCTGCTCCTACCGAGCCTGTCTTCACCGATTTTCCCACATCGTTGTGTTTACGCCGGCACTGTAACGGCCCCCATGGAGCCGCGGTTGCCAGGCGCGCCCGTCGCCGTCGTGTTTTGCACCTTCTGGGCCCTGGTGCGGCTATGGTCAGCCACGCCGTGTGCATCTCGCAGAAGCACTGGCGCGTGCACAGGCGGTCTCGTGGGCGTACACCAGCATGTAGGAGTGGCCTGAGATCTTGCTGGCCGTTTGACTAGCTGGCTTCGCGATATTTTGGCTGTGCCCCGCCGGTGGCTCCTCAGACTCTTCCCTTGGTTCGGCCATCCGCTTTGCGTGGCTTTCAGCGCGGCTCCAGCTGGGCATGAAGCAAGCTTCTGGCAGGTTTGGATTGCGCGCCGATCCTGAACGTGTACCCTGACGCCGATGGTAAGTGCCTACTTGTCCGCACTTTATACTTGATAGCACGCTGAAAGCTATCGTATTCGCATTGTTGCATAGCGTGCCGGCCAGCCGCGGCGAAACTTACACCAGATCGAGCGAATACAATATCCACACCTTTTGTCCCTAATGAAAAAGCTCCCCCGCACCCCATTTCCGTTCGCCGCCTGATTCACTACCGATCTGAACTCTCCAGCACCATAAGCTCCCTCCAGCCCTGAAATCACCTGCTTCGAACGCGCCAGCCTAGTTCTCACTAGCCATAGAGGTTAGTGTACAACATCCGCTACTGATCGCGATACCCAAAAGACGAATAAACTTCCGTCGGTAACTTAACAAATGCGCTCTGTCCACTTTCGTCGCACGCCTTTCTCACCATGCACACAGCTGTCTCCGCCTGGTCGCGGGTCATCTCCACTTCTCCCGTGCTCGTCGGCGCACATTCTCCAGGCAGCAGCGCAGGGCCACACGCTCTCAGCCTTCCGTCGTTGTCCCGCCCAGGCGCCCCCGGCTCGAGGCGGAAACCTTCCGTTTGATGGGACAAAAGAATCTCTGCGCTCGGCAGGCCGCGGTGTCACGTCAATGCTGGCTCAAAACGTTTGGACGTCGTCCCGGAGCCCGCAGCGGTTCTTGCTGCGGTCTATTGACGTCCCGTCACCAGAGTTCGCCTGGGCAGGGACTACGGTGCTCGCGGCCCCGGAGCGCTTTTCAGTCCCCATACACCAGCTGGGTCAGCTGCTGCACCCACACACGCCCGCGCACATCACTGTCAGCCTTTTGTGATAGTTCTCCTCCTCCACTCTGGAGATCGCGATTCACATCTTGGCCTCATCCTACCACCGATCTGCATTACTCCCAAATCCGACGCTGCAATACCGTATTTCGAGTGGCCCTCATAACCATTTGATAATCCACCAGGCCATCCAGCGACCCAGCCTGGTGGAGTGCACCGATTCGCCGCTTCGTCACAATTTTGTATCCTCGCTCTCACGTTCGTATCGTCATCTTCCGTCGCCATCTCTGTAAACACGTCAAACAGCCCTGTTTCACTCGGCCTATTCGCTCACCAACACCCGCCGCCTCGATGATATCACCCCGCTCATCGCCCCACGACATTGCACCCAGGCAAACCCATACATACTGGGTACAAGGACTCGCTGACACGCATATCTGCGACTTCGATGGCCACCCGCGCCACAAGTTTTCCCAGGCCTCGGTTTACATTCAGGGACCCCCGAGCTCCCCGCTGGCATTGGCGCCGTGGGCGGACGTGAAGCTTCGGCCGTTTGTTTCCATGAGCTTCGTGGGGGGCGAGTGTCTTCCATCATAGAAAGGGGCGTTGTGCGAGACGTCTGCACGGGGACTCTCCCGCCATTCACTAACCTGGAACCTGGAGGACGTCGTACGCGGCGCGCGCTCCGCCAAGACAATGCTATGCGCACGCTGTACAGACAGGCGCCGTTGTGCGTCCTTCGAGAACGCGGCGAATATTCTCCTGGATGCACTCGATAGCGCGTATCGCGCAGGGATCGGCGTGTGCTTGCGGCGCCGCGGAATGCGTTTATGTGGGGCGACGCGCTAGCGGCTGGGCTGGGACCCGAGTCGAGAAGGTCGTGGCTTGCCGAATGGTCTCCCCGAGCGTCGGAATCTTCTCCTCATCTCTTTCGCTGTTCGTGCTTGCTTCTCTTCGGGAGCGCTGGATGGGCGTGGAGACGCTGTCTGTTCTGGAGAGCAGGTTACAGCAACGTATATCGTTTATCGAGTTAGCCATCGCTACCAGCCTCTCGCACAGGTGCAACTGCATACTATTCATTGGCATAAGCGACATCTGCACAGACGCAATAGGCTCTACGTGCCTCGTTGCAGCAGATCTTCTCGATACCGTGATAGCTGGAAGATGCCATCGTGTTCGGGGGAGCCGCAGGCTATCTATACACGGCAGCCCTTGTCCTATACATCAGCAGCATCACGCCCGGTCGATGAAACCTCGTACTACGATGGTGATGCTATCCATGGAATGCCGTCCACGGCATGCGCACCCCAGGGAGCTCATCTGCCCGTGCGAGCCTAGACATGGCGGGCGGACTGAATGGGGAAGCAACGCCCTGGTGGACATGTCAATGTGATCCTCTTGGATTGTGCCAGAATGCAGCTGCACTGCCGTGTCCCATGGACAACCTCCGCAGCCAGGTGCCTGGAAAGTTTCATATCCGGTCTGACACCACGGGGTGCAGGGGTCCCAGGGTATAATTGCCTAAGCTCTAGCCCCGTGGGCACCCAGCCATCTCCATTCGTCCTGCATCATTCCCTCTGGCCGCGCGCACGGGCACAGTCACCCGCCCGCCTTCAGCAGAGATCTTCGTGGCGAGGGTTCGTGATATGTTAATCAACTCTCAGATGCAGATGTGCTCGATTTGAGGGAAATATTTGTCTTATCGCGAGCTGAGAACTTGAGTCTGAAAAGAGTGGGGCGATGCCGTCAGCATTCGTTCATTACTCGCTCCTGCTTGAGTAGCCGACATATTCCCACGCATGTTTCTTCTTGACTATGTCCCGTGTAGTCACGCCTGGCTGCACTGGACGTGTATGTCCGCTGTCATAGGCACTGCACTAGCCATGTCAACCCTTCTACCCGAATATTCGACCAATGTAATTTGGCTATGCAAAATCATAGGTGCATTCCGACAGGGTCTATTTTTCTACTGGTTAGGGTTGCCAGTGGTGTGCTATCGCCAGCTCCAACACTTCTCCATATGGGACGTTGTCCAGATATCCGCCCAGAAGCTGCGCTAGTGTCAATGACGACGCAGGCATGGGAGCATATGGACGATGTCCATGCGCAGGCAGCTCGGCGCAGGCCTCTGAGCGGCGATGCATTACGTGGAGCCCGCTAACTGAGGACAGGGCCGCACCAGAGGCGTACGCTATGCGGCCTAGACGGCGGGGATGGCATGCACAAAGTAGCGTGAGATATATATACCAACCCAGGGCTGCAAGTCGCAGCCGAGCACGCCGGGTGTAGTGCGCGATGCGCGCCAACTCGTTCCCATCTCAATTTACGCATCTGGAGGTGATCAATTCGAACCTTGTTGGTCCGTCACGATGTGACTTGGGCGATGATTCGTCAATTTCTGCTTCCAAGGGATCCGTACGTCCGCCGGGGTCCGCCCGCAGGGCAGGGCATCTACATTCCCACACGAATTTCCAAGTGCACAAGGCGGAGATCTCAGATACTTGGTTCTGATTGAGCGAGTGTTCCACTTGTCCTAGTACAGACGGGCATCACCTGCTAGATATATAAATGTCTATGGATCCAGGTGTACTCGCTGCTTCGTCCCTGATCCCGCCCGACAATCTCACTCACTCGGCTATGTCCCCCTCGCGACCCTCAGAGCGTGTCTCACTCCCTAGCATCCATGAGATGTTCCCAGGTCAGTGCCCTGCACAGCATCTCTGAATACTGCCGCTCACAGTTGATTAGAGCATCTCCTGGCTCTTCCTCCTCGAGGGGAATACAGAGCACTGGCACCTACGGCTTCTAACCCTCCGCCGTTGCATCCGATACTTCCCCTCGCGGGCGGCAGGCCCGGGCCGCCCGTTGATCCTCTGCCAGCTTCGCCGCAGATGAGTCCAGGACCACGGCCAGAGACACTGGCGGCGACACGACGGGGGAGTCAGGCAGATGAAGAGCGAAGACATGCGTGCCCAACATGCGGCAAAGCTTTCAATCGCCCCAGCAGCCTCGCCATCCATGTCAACACTCATACCGGCGCAAGGCGTGCGTCTTCCTCTTTTGTCTGTCTCGCGCATCAATCTGACTGACTCCGCCTCTCCAGCGTTTGAGTGCCCATTCCCAGGCTGTGGCCGCCGCTTCAATGTCAACTCAAATATGCGTCGGCACCACCGCAACCACTCGTCGCCCGCACGCCCGTTCAACTCCGGCTCGCCGTACACATACCCGCTGACGACGATCCCCCGCGCACTCTATTCGTTCGCCGGCTCGTTGAACTGCGGCACGCCTGCACGCCCACCCACGCTGCATCCCGCGCAGTATCGCAGCTCGGACTCCGGGAGCGAGGAGGACGAGCTGTCTGAGTCTGACCACTGGGAGCCCGAACGCGACCACGAGCTCGCTGAAGGCGTCGACCGCCTGCGCCTTCGCGCCTACTCCACCTCGAGCGCTGCATCGTCCCCACGCGTGCACCCCACAGGCCAACCGCACCGCCGGCGCGCAAACTCGTGTGCGACGCCTGACTGTCGTGAATGTAGACGCACGGCGGCGCCCCATCCGCCGAGCTAAATGTGTCGCTGTAAGCCCTGAGTGGAGACGGCGGGCTGCGTGAGCACCAGGTTGGGCTGTCTCCGGTAGGGGTGCCTTGTGCAGCCGCCGAAACTCATTTATCCCTCCCATACCCCAATATTCTCTATCCGTGTACCCGAATCCCTCGTGAACGTGGACACTGCCGGGCGAAGCGTAGCATACATGAATCTTACGTTTGAAACCTGAACCACTGAAGAAACTCGTTGTATTATTTGCCATAGTCTCCAATATGTATTGATGGATCAATGTTTGGTACTTTCGACCTGTCCATCACGATTAGCAGCCCCGAACTTACCCAGATGAACCGACTGACGTACAGAAGCTTCCATGCATTTTTACTTGACTTGTCCGAATATATCTAGAAGATATCAAGGGTGTTATTGGACAAAAACAAATTCTCACCTTCGCACTGGCTGCAAATTTTTGTTTTCGATGTGCGTCTAGGATTTTGCGTGCGTGTTCGTGCACTTTCGTGCATGTTCGTGCGTGAAGATGCGCGTTTGGTCACTAACGTGCACCATCGTGCACGAAAGCTCACGTTTGTGCACTTTCGTGCACTTTCGCGCGCGAAAGTGTGCATCTGATGAGCTACGTATTCATTTTGTCACAGTTTCATTTTGGCTAGGTGTTTATCTTCGTGCACCTTCGTGCGCCTTCTCGCACTTTCGCGCACTTTCGTGCACTCGACGATTCAATTGAGATGCATAATCACGAAAATGAAAGCCAATTGCTAACTTACACCAAACTGAACAATAAAATGAAGGCACGAACGCGCACGAACGTGAACGAACGCGAACGAACATGCACGAACACGCACGAACGCGCACACATTAGCGCCATCGCCAATCTCAAAGCAGGGCATCACGAAAACCAAAGCTCAGCGGCATGCACGATCGTGTACGTTCGTGCGCTTTCGTGCACGATCGTGTACGTTCGTCCACTTTCGTGCACAATCACACACGTTCGCTGGCTTTCGTGCACTTTTGTGCGCTTTCGTGCGCGTTCGTGCACGTTCGTGCTCGTTCGTTCACGTTCACATACTTTTGTCCACCAAACTGGACGTACAGACTGCGCCAGCTCCAAATTCATTTTTTTTGTCCAATAGCAACCTTCATAAGAAGAGCGCGGATGTGCTGAGGGTTAAGGGTCCTACATCTCTCGCACGAGGATTTATAAGAACTACTGAAGAGCGGCAACACATTCTCTGGATAATGTGGAATCAATGAGCGGAAGGTGCTGCTTGGCCGAGTTAGGGGTGAGTGATCCGCAAAATGCCGATGATGATCTGATCCGGCAGTATCCAAAATTGGAACGCTGTGTTGAACGGAGTCGTCTCAGTACCGAGTTATGCCCTCTTCCCTACATCGCCTTGAGCCGCAGACGGATGTGTGTGCACAGACTTGCAGAGCTTTTTTTGGGTATGCCTCTCCACAGCCGACACCTGTCGAGTAAGGCTGAACTAAGGCGAGAAAATGCGCTCATACGTTCAGCTTACTGTGTTAGTGATGTCCATGCGTTGACATTTAACATAATTGTCTGCTATCACAGTAACTTGTTTTTGGCCTATATCCGCGCGACTGGAGGCTCCTGTGATGAGCTCTACTTAGTGTTCGAACTTCAGCGCTTATCTTCATCACCCGGCTATGCGCGATTGACAATGCATATACTGAATGGTAAATACCGGGAGCAAACCTATTCGGTAAACCCAATGATACGGGACAGTATGAACGTCCGGTGATATGCCCTGCCTTGAGTACTACTTGGTGGGTTCCATTTATGTTCCTTCATGTCATTGCATCGCTGACTGACTATCGTCGCTCAGACCACATGCTCTTCCCGCTGGCGTATCTCTATCTGCTCGAATTTTTTCCCTTATGAAATGCTTCCGAGCTACTGCATGGCTATAGCATTCTCTTCAATGTGAGTCATCAGCACGCAGTCATCAGGAAAGTGTCTAGTCGTCTTAATGTCGCTTGCGAACCTTGAGTTTGGACAGACGTGTCTTGGGTGCCTTGATAGTGTTGATCAACACCTCCAAGACAGATCCCAAATTGCACAAGACAAGATAAGACATGTCATCTAATGCAACACGTCTTCAATACTCGAACGTTTTCCTGATGCACAAGTAACAGGCCATGCGCTGGAGAGTTGAGATACGCCAGAGTGGTCGTGCCAATGGACTGCTCATTGCGATACGCCCTCGCCCAAAACCGCCAGAAAATCCAGGCAGGGAAACATCACACTGATCTTCGGTGAGAAGTTCCCAGTTCCATCCTGTCCGACAAGCTGAACACGCGGCCGCGGCGTCTGAGTCATATATGTACCTCATGCCGTTTGTCACAGAAGAGTCAGGTCGCAGAGATGTCCCATCCCTCGGCAAACGAAGGCCAGAGCCTCCCAAGTATTCGTGACCTTTTTCCAGGTAAGTATGGATGACGCAGCGTTTATATTGCCCGCACTGACATAGTGCCAGAGCACTTTCTAAAGCGAGAAGCCCAAGCCCTGAGTCAGGGCGCATTCAGCACAGGGCCTACACCTCAACCTTGGGTACCCCTTGTCACTGATACCGATCAGGCGAGGAAGAGATATGCATGCGAGACATGCGGCAAGCGTTTCCAGAGGTAAATCCCTTTTGGCATACCTCGATCGACCATCGATCCCCATTGCCGACTCTGTGCAGGCCGAGTAGCCTCAAGAATCACAATGTATCGCATATCGGCGAAAAACGTGAGCAAGATCCTTGCTGCTTTGCACGCCCATCCTACAAAAATGACTGACGCTGCGCCTCGGCTTATGCCTGCTTGTACCCGGGCTGCGACAAACGTTACTCGACGAAGTCGAACATGAGGCGGCATGTCGCCATACACGTCTGCTCTGTCAACGCTGATCTAGGCCCCGAAGGTGCATCGGGTAGTAAAGCCGAGCAGTCTTCCGGTATACCTCAAGGATCTGCAGACGGGTTTGTTGCCCATCTGCCCTCGTATGCCGGCATGCGGCTATTGCACGCTGGCCCGTCCAGGACAGCCTCTGTCCTCGTCATCCCCACTCCGCCGCCATGTATGCAGCAATTGTTACAGTCGAGCCAGTCGATATTAGATTCAGCAGGCATCCAACACACTAGTATGTATCGTACCTAATTTCCTTGAACATTTCCCTTGGTCTCAGATAATATTGAGTCTGAGCCTGTATTTTTACCCCTAATAATGCTGTGATCTATTGCTATAGAATTATATTATCGTTATAGTCGCTGATTTTGTGACATCGAGTCGATGCGGCCTCGTCTGAGCGGCTCGGGAACTGCTGACTGCTCCACTCTGAGATTGGGTCCTTCCCGCCCGGCCTTGAGCATCCACTGCCTCTCCACATCGTTATACAGCATTTATTCCCGTCCACCTTTCAGTTTCCAGGATGCCGAACGCTGGATTGCCCCGCAGATGCGAAAATGTATGCCAAAAAGGCTTTCTGCGAACGTTCGCAGTCTTAGAGCCCCTTAAAAGACGGCTACTCGGTCATCGCATGAGCCGGGAGACTAGCATATCTGCAGTAAAATGCCAGTGTTTTTCCAGAAAATGCTATGCGAAAGATAATCATTTTTGTCCCCGACTCGTAGCCTAGCCCAAAGGCCAGAAGCGCATGCACTACGTGTATGTACTTTGTACGTTCCCTTCGGAAAAGCGCGGCCGCGACGAATTTTTCTACGCAATCGACCCACTGTAGCCATAGCGCGTTTCTAAAACGGATCCTCAGAGGAAGCAACTATTCGTGATTGTCAGAAATCGAGCACGAACAAGTGGCGAGTCCCAAACGTGTACAGCGCTTTTAATCGAGCCTGGACTGGCCCATCAGCCCTATCACCCCGGCTTTCCCCGCGCCACGAAGCCCGCCTAGGTCTCAACTGCCTCTCCAACCACCCCCTGACGACGGCTGCTTACCACTCGATTTGACACACTGCAGTGTATCTGATCCAAACGGCATCATGGTCATTCCTCCAGGTGTCTCAGCATGTTAGTATATCCCCCAAATCGGAGCAACGGTGCTCGGCTTTTAAATTTTATTCTATGTTTTATTATATCAGGATAAGCTCTGGCACCCCTGCCAGCAGATAAGGTGTTTCGAACGCTGTTTGCGAAGATATACCTGCCATGGTATGCAACAGGCAACTGAAATCAAGGGTACTCGACGCCGATGATCAATGGCGTGCTCCGGCGCGCAGCCCTCTGCGATGAGCGCACTCTTTTATCAGCAGGCATCAGACTCCTCGCAACTTGCGAAGGCCGTAACTATGGGGCAAATTGTTCTCCGGAGTGTCGACGACGACGTGCTGGCATGCTTTATCGAGCTGCTGAAGGCGATCATCGGCATTGGCAAGCAAGTAGACGATGAGTCAGACTCTGAGCGACTGCGAGGGCCGTTGCGGGGCCCGGAGGCTTAGAGCAGCTCTGCAGTAAAATATATCAGGAGCTGCGGGAGATGGAGGGCTTGTGGTGGATTTATCGGAGCCGGTGAGTACTGCCGGTATCTCGCCTTGTCTACGCCTCTAACGCGGCCTTCTACGGCGGCTGCAACAACGCTCCTCGTCCAGAGCAATACAGTAATCAATTGTGGCCGACCGGACACTCAGAATGTGAGTAGTTTCAGTTCCTCCTAGTCGTGTACTGAATGGCGATTCCATAGCCAGTGGCTTTCGAAGGCATCACGAACTAACGCGGTCGAAGGCACGCTAATTTTCGCAAGCCAAAGCGTAGGGCTGTTTTCGGCGCGTTGGAAAAGCAGTATTCGCAGTATCACGTCCCCCATGTAATGCATCTTTACTTAGACGAAAGGCTAGATACATGACTTATCACGTTGTTCTATAGGTGCCAACGATCATCTGCGGATCCTCGGCGTTCGCGTCAGATATGAACATCCTGGCTGCGTCACTGTCAGTGGGGCTAGAGGATAGTAGGGTTAGGGCTTACCGTCGCGACCGTCTGCCTAGTTCCGCACCGTCGAGTGGGCAGTCGATATGTATGCCTTGAAAAATTTAAGGGCGCTGATTGGCAGCTATTAAGCGGCCTGTCAGGGACGCCATGAGCGGGGGGCCGTGATATCCCGCCGCGTGACGTCACTCTCACGTGATTTATAATGGGCGCCTAAAATGACGGTCGCGCCTCTCTGTTTCATCCGTTCTCCGTTCTCCGACTCCGGCGTTGGCTTTCGCTCCTACGTTTGTCTCGAAACAGACTCAACTTAACTGAGGCGCAAGGCTCGTGCCTCAAATATACTCATCGAGTCTTCCGTGGTGAGTGCCGGTGCGATGCCTAGTCTACCACGTCGACTGACCTGCTCAACTTTCAGCCCTTACGCAAAATTTCCGGCTTTTCCTCCAGATAGAAATCTGCGGGCCTTGACGCATAACAGTTCAAGCGACTAATTGTAAGCATAGAAAGCCATTATTTCGTCTGATTTGGAAAGCGACGTCCGTGTCACACTTCACAGGCCCTCTAGACTGCAGCTTGTTGCGACCCCTCAGCTCACCACGGCAACGGGAACTGTTGCAGCGCCATTGGCACAGATTTTGTTGCAAGATTGCAAGGTAACTATGGCACTACTGGCGGACAGGTACGATCTTCGCCCCTTCGTGTTTGTCGTTGGGGTCACTGGTCGCAATTTGCCTTTGGGGCGCCACGATTAATTTCTCCCGCTGATCTTGCTGGTGTCCACATCCGGGCGCAATTGTGCGGGATGCTCTTCAATCTCTCGGATGCAAGGCTGATTTTTACTTGTTAGCGTGTTGAGAACACCGGACTGGGTCAAGAACGCCAATATTACGGCCGGACACGCCCGGCTCAACCCTTAAAGCTAGCTTCGCGCTACAGAATGCTTCTAACTGGCCAATGAACAATGGTACGGATATGTTCCAAACTAAGTATCATCACCACGCTGCGTCCTACATCTGCATCGTCTATACCGACATCACGTTTCCTAAAGCGTGTCGAGCAAAACGATAGCGAGGGCGTGCCTGGTTTGTGCACCAACTCCCCACGCTGTTTTTGGAGAGAGCGTCCGCATCTTTGTCTGCTCATTGGCCCGTGACCATTCGGCCTTTGAACTCGGATCCGCGTACGCCGCACAGAGAGTGCATGAAATTAGTCGCTGGCTCCCGCGATCTCATATTCACATCGCTTGGAAACATTTGGAATAGACTGTCTCGATACGTGAGACAACACTACCACTTGGCCCTAGCTCGCGATGGAACAATCGCACCTAGGGGGTATCCGTACTCGAACGGGCGGAAGCCACGCGCGTGACGGCACAAGTTCTGGAAGTGAACATACTTGCAGGCTTCGCTCCGTGTGGCATCGGACTCCCCAATTGTACACGGTCATCTCGCAGGGATCCACGTCCGCCTGCCGCGGATCCGCAGCTGCACTTGCACGGCGCATTCTCACTCACCTCGGTGCCTGCCCTGCCTATTCGAATGGCCGCCGAAATCGTTCCTCATGCTGCACTGTTGCCAGTCGAACATGCACTCCTTCGAATCAAGGTGTTGGTTGCCTTGCGCTCGTCTCGACATCGCACTCTGGCTACAGCCGGGAAGCGGTGGGAATGGCTCTCCCAGACAGGCGCGCGGGCAATTCGGGCGCCTCGACCCTTCCCGCGAAGAATCTCAGGGCGAGAACTTTGGGACACATGTCGACGTGGCCGTGCTTCGCGGATGCAGAGACCCCGAAGGAGCAACGCGTGATAGTTCTCGAAGGTCAGCTCGCACTCGGCGTCATGCTAGCTCGCCGGCGTGGGGAGGTCAGGAGGACACATGACGCAGCGCACTGGTCACATTGGGGGGATCGTCCACCGCTCTGGTATAGTTCACCACACTACCCGAACGCGTGCCCTGGCAATGGGCCTTTTAGGTATTCGAGCAGAGTTTAGGGTGCGCTGCTGGTATGGGAACACGAAGGACGCCACACCACATGCAGCACCCCCGAGCAGAGCCGGAGCTCTAAACACCGTGTGTGTCGTACACGCCTCGAATGTGTTGCGCGACTCCCACTGGAAACTCCGCCATTGCCTCGTGCATGCTCCGCCTGCGTTCCATCCTGCGAGCAGCGCGCTGGAATGGGGCGCCCCTTGGATTCGCGTGTACCCCTGCACGCAGAGCCTGTGCCTATTCAAGCAATGCCGCAGGTCGCCGTGTAGACCCTTTCCTGCCTCTATAACCCGATTTCCCCCAATGCGCTGCGTTTTCGCTGCAAGATACCGGAGAGCCTAAGAAGGGGGCACAGGCGGAGACGAAATGCCCCGCTGCTCACACGCCCATGTGCGTTGCTGCGGCGTCCGGCCCGGGGTGTGGAGCGAGGCGGCGACGCAGCAGCGTGTAAACTCCGCCCAATTTTCTCCTCTCTTGTTGTCCATGACATCCCATCCTAGGGCCTCCCCATCGCGTATCGAGCTTGGCTCAAGCTCAGATTAGGCTCAGCTCCTGCGGCGTGCAAGTTTACCCTTTTCCCTATTTTTCGCGGTTTTTTTCGGGCGACAGGCGCAAGAGCAAGCGTGCCGAGCTCTTTTCAAGGTCGCATCTCCGCTCCTTTGGACAGTCCCGTAACACAAACGGATGCTGGCTGTGTCGGTGGGCGGGACTGTTGTGCAAATTCATGCACATTAGGTCTCGTGAGCTTCTACATAGGGTTCTCAGTTCGCCGTGTTTGTTGGACTGCTAGGGTCCCTGTAAGTCTTGGTCTATCCGCCGGTAGCTGTAAACTCATATCATTCGCAGGTTAGATGTTGTGGACATGGCATCGTTGGCCGAGTATGCCTTAAATATACCCCGCCACAGCTGATCGACACACCATATTAGCCTAATGTACACGTATGCGGTGTAGCATGAACGTTCGTGGAGAAATGCATCCCCGCCGGAGCTAGCTGACACATTGCTGTTTGCGCAGGACCGAGGGCTCGCATGGCTTCCAAGTACGCCGTAGAATCACGCGTTACGAGCGTGGTCTCGACCGTGCACTGCCTTAGTGCTACCTTTAACAAGGAAGATGCTGTACATGCTAAGTCGGTTCTCTGCATGGTTCTCTGCCCATCCATAAGCTGAACAATAGCCATGCTTCGCAGCTCAACGCGCACTGCTTCATCCCTTTGTTCTTTTCCCACGAACATGGAGGCTCTGCTACCGACCATAGCGGACCCAGATGCGCGCGCACGACTCGATCAGTCTAGCAGTCTATACACAATCTACGATATACCTCGTTCCCGCTTTATATCGGCATAAAATATCGTGGTAGTATAACGTCTAAATCCGCGCTCTGCGGCGCATCCGCCGCTGCTATCTCTCCACACCAGCCCCATGCTCCGACGCCCCCGGTCTCCGCGCACCCACCATCGTCAGTACATTCTCGTCGTATGCCACGCCTTTCGGGCCCGTCATATGCCTCATCAATCCTTCGTTGCTCGCCCTCTGTCTGCACATGAACTTACTTTGAATGGCGCAGGGAAAGTCCTGATCAAGGGTGCGGAATGGTCCCTCGTTGGATCCCGCGATAACTCCGCCCAAGCTCCGCTCAGGATTGGAAGTCGTAGGGCTGCGCAACACGAATTTTCCACCCAGGGCTCGGTCGCTTCCATTCTTTCTGTCTATGCTGTTTACTCCGCCGCTGCTTATTCTCAGATCCCCTGTTGCTCCTAGTAAATAGCTTCCAGGCCATCTGCTCGGTACTATCCGACTGACACTATTGATCAGCTGCCTCGTCGCTAAACAGCGGACTCTTCAGGCTGCTCGTAGGTTCCTCGGCTCTCCAAACATGTCAAGCTCGTGTTTGCCGCCTGGAACTTGCCTTTCCCCTGTGCACCTGCGTCTGTCCGCGGACTTCGTGGCGCCTGTGCATCGCCACCTGCACCCGCCAGGTACAACGACGGAAGCAGTGGTGACAAGAAAGCAGGACGTGTGCGAATCGTGACATTTTTGTGCCGGCCGTAGTGATAGACGTCTTGTTGCGCGCGCCGCTCTCCATAGCGCTCGTCGGTGCCCTCCAGAGCCCGGCGTAATATGACTATTTTGCTCACGGCTGACAGTCAAATCTGCCAGCAATTCCTTGTACTAGCTTGCCAGTGGGCCCTCATGGTGCGGCACCAGTACCGTACGCCATACAGCCATTTGTGCTGCGCGATCACGGGTCGAGCGCGACGCATACGGTGGTTAAGTCGTCACAGATGTATGAGGGTTTCCGTGAGATGATTTTGCCAGGCGAGCGGCTTCTCTTTTATCTTGACGCCTTTTATTTACGGCTCTAGGTTTGATCTTAGCCGCGTCACCACGAGGAAAGGGAAAGAGGCCTCGGATCGTGCCGTCGTTCGCAGACAAGGAAGGCGGCGGACCAACGTTTGCGACTCAAGTTCACGTTGGCCGTGAAAACACTCTTGCAATGTCGACGCAGCGACGGGCTCTTGTTTGTCACACCGGGCCAACGATATACAGCGCGCCTCTCCCTCGTAGTCGCGCCTGGAGAAAGAACATTCACGGATCAGGCCCTAGGCAGCATTTATCAACAAGCGGTCGTCTACTTGCCTTGGACTGTATCCTCGCTAACTCAGCCAGCCGCGATTCCAGCACATGCTCTATCATCAGGGAAAATTTCACCTTTGTAGCGCACGCGAATTGGCCGAACCACGTTTACGGACAAATTTACGAGTTAAACCGAATGGACGGTACCCCTCAAGACGTGGACGATGCTGCCTGAGCGACCAACATGGGCGGTGTGGCACGCATCTTCTGTGGCTTGCGCACCCGTCCACCTCCTCACGCCCCATTCCCCGGCCTTTCTTTATCGCATTTACGCCATAACATCCGTCACAACTCCATGACTATCAGGCATGTATACCAACAGCATCCCTCGCGAGCAACCCAGATGGACCGACTGCGCTGCGGCATTCGAGCAACGATCCCTTGGCAGCAGCCGCCATAGCTGTCCGCCTGGCTCCGCCCCTTATTCTCTATCCTTGTTCTCTGGTCCCGGCGCGATGGCAGGCACTGCAGCATTACAATCATTCTAGGGAGACGTTATGTGCGCGACGCCCAAACAACCCGTCTTCTCACGAGCGTTCGCGAGGAACCGTCATGTCCAGGATCGGGCGGAGTGTCTCCGAGAACTTTTTTTTCGCAAGCTGTGTATTTGCAGGCGGCTCCAAAATTAACCTTCTGTTACACTTGAATCTTTTCCTTCATTTCCCAGCGTACGTGACACACAGGATGTTGTTGACAGCTCCTATTGACCTTCTGTTGCGTTGAGCGGGTAACTTTGGACCGTGTACCCTGTTGATGGTTGTAAGCATCTTTCTCAGCTGCGTTGCGCAACGAAAGATGTACTGAGTTGTGATTATATACTGCAGCTCGCCAGGCGCAGCTGTACGGGATGCCGACTGACTGTGACGAAGGGTGCGCCAGACCGAGGGAGCTGAGCGGCCATGCCGTCCGGCAAATGACGACAGAGCTCTCTCACTCGACCCGTCGACCACCCAGCCAGAGAAACACTATACGAACGATTTGAGACTTCCGCGGAATCACCCTGGCTTTGCCTACAACGGCATCGTATGCTACTACTTCTTTCGTAACAGTTACTACAGGAAAGGTTTCGCACAGCACCCCCAACAGCACCCCCAAACCGAATCAGCACCTCTCCGCCGACAACTCAGCAAATGCGCTCCGTCCGCTTTCTGTATATTTTCAGCTCACTCTCTGTATGGCAGCGGGAGAGCTCTTCTCCTCGAGATGAGGTACGACTGTTAGGTCGCGGAAGTGCAGTACGCTGATCTGGCAGTCCTCGGGCGTGAAATATCTCTTGCGATGGCGGCCAGCTTATCGTTGTCGGAAAACACTGCCATGGTAGTTCTCATGGGTCATTTCTGGATCTAAATTTACTGGCGTTGCGCCAGCCACAGTGTTCACAGTTATCTGTATATTCAACCGCCCTTCGTGGTCAACATCGACGACCGCCTCCTGTCTTCACACCTCTATTACCGAGGAGAAGGCCGGAACCCTTGATACGCCCTCGTTATCCACCGCTTCACCAGCCCATCTACAAACTCTGTGGCTGAAACACGCTAATTTGTTGCTTAGCTGCGGTCTTGTACTCGCGCTCTCACGATCTCATCTTCATCATTGCAGGCCGGTCAAATTCGTCCCATCGATCTCTCGCCAACACTCGCCGCCTTAATATCACCTTCGTCATTGGAGCTATGTCATCTCAAGGAACCGACGCGTACATATTGGAAATGGGGATGCGACCACGCGTGATTCTGCGACCTTGATGTCCGCCCGCTCCACCATATCTCGCTCGTCCGAAAGGCGCTCAAGGGCCCCCGTTCGCGTCTCGGGTAGCTACCAGGTATGGCCTTTTGCCTTCGCAGTGGCATAGCGGCGGCGCGATACATGTTTCGATGGTTCGGCGCATCAGCGCTTGGCGAGACGTCAGCAAGGTTACGCTCCTCGCAACGTTCGCTGACCCAGAACTTTGGGATCGTGTCTCATGGCCTGCGCGGACGGCTCAGCTCCCTGTGCCGCTGGCTAAAGCTGCATTGTGGTGTAGCCAACACTGAGAGGCTTCCGGTGTCTTCGAGAACGCGGAGGATCCTCTCTTCAATTGACTCAAGGATACGCATCTTTGAGACGTCTTGCCGAGATCTGCTTGTGCTTGCAATCCCTTGGATAGCGGCGTGATTGGTTGTAGAGCGAATCGAGAGCGTTGGAAGAAAGCTGTAGCTTCCCGACTGGTTCTTCCAGGCGGCAGCTGCAGCGTGCTCCTCCGCTCATTTGTCTTCTTCTGCAGCGCAGGTGCCGTATGATGATGGTTATGGTTCTGCTATCCCTATCATCTTGTTAAGTTTCGGGTGGTGGTAAGGCCGCGTACTGTGCTGTGAGTCATCGCTGCCGGTTGCGGCTATCCGCGCCGGTATGACTGCGCGCGTCGTGGTACCGATTTTCACGGGCAAGAAGGAAGTATTGGTCCCAACGCATCATGCAACAGGCCATTGTGATGCTGTGATGGGTGGTAGACTCTCGTGCATCTAGACAGATACAAGACTACCTGTACACGGTAGCCATTGTTTTACGCATCAGCAGCATCATGCCTCTGCGAAGCATTGCACCGCTACGCTGATGCTGCCGCCATCGCTAACTTCAGAAAGCCATCTACGGCATACGTGTCCGAATGAACGAACATCACGGTGCGAACTTAAAAGTAGCGACTGAACTGAACGAGAGAAGGTACATGTGAACACGTCCATGGGATCCTGCTGATCACGTCGGGATGCAGCTGCATCTGCGCGTCCCGTCACTCCCGTGGTGGCACGTGGTTAGTCTACACAGTTTGTAAACTTCGTTTCCGGCGGGAAAAAAGAACAGGTCAACGTGACGGGCGACTGGTTCAGGGAGCGACGGTTTTGGCTTCACCTCCGCGAATTTATATATTCATCTTATCAATATTCAGCTATAACACCGTTCTATACTGTGATAAGTTGAATACCTCTGTTGTACAGATCTTCATTAAGATGTTTTACAATGTATGCCGGTCAATACTGAGATATTGATACCATGGACTTGATGGAGATACTTGTTCCATTACTGGGATCCGTGATGAAATTCAAAGCGGAGATGCCGTCAGCCTTCGTTCATTGACCGCGGGCTGTTTGAGTTGCCGGCACGCTCCCATGACCAGGCACACTCACGCCTGATCCAAGCTCAAATGTTGGTTGCATGGGAAGCACGGTATCAGCTGTCGTAGACGAGGATCAGAGCTCTCACCCATGGCAACCATTTCCCCCACATTTCCGACCAACGGACGTAGCTCAGCTATAGGTATCATCTGCCCTGCCCTCCCTCTCTCCCTCTGATAACCTGCTCCCCCGCAGCTAGGTCCTCATGATAGCGCGTTATCGACACTCCGAACATATCTATACAGACTTCAAGAGACACTGTTCATACATCCGTCCGGTGGCTGCGCGCACCGGTCAATGATAATAAAACGATCAAGGCATGGAAGCATATGTTCTGTGCCATCTTGACCGCGGTCAGCTCGGCTCGGGCCTCTGTGCGGTGTTATATCACGCGGATCCTACCAGCTGAGGGAAGGGTCGCCTCAGCAGCGTGTCCTGTGCGGCCTGGACGGCAGGGACGGCGAGCATTGAGGAGCGTGTGATATTGATATATATATAGATATATCATCCGTGTGCTGTTAAGGTCCAGCAACTTGTCGGCAAGCATGCTCGGATGTAGTGCGCAACGCGTGTTTATCCGTCACAATCTCACTCGGCGCATCGAAAGGAGATTATCGAACCTTGTTGGTCCATCAACCCATGGCCAGGCCGATGATGAGTCCCTGCCAAATTCTCCGCACGCCCACCAGCGTTTCTCGGAGGGACACAGCATCGGCATTCCCACGGGAATCTCCAAGTGGACAATGCGGAGATCTCAGATGCCTGGTTCCAGGCGAGCGCCCCGCTGCCTAGCACGGGCGAGCATCACCCGCTAGTATATATAAATGTCTGTGGATCCAGGTGTATGCGCAACTTCTTCCCGAATCCTGTCTGCAAGTCTCGATTACTTCGTCATGTCCTCCTCGACCTCCTCACGAGCCCCTGAGCGTATCTCCCTCCCGAGCATCCACGAGATGTTCCCAGGTCAGTGTACCGCATAGCATCTCTTGATGCCTCCCCTTACAGTTGTTTAGAGCATCTCATGGCTCTCCCCCCTCGAAGAGAGCACCGAGCATCCACAGTTGCAGGTCATCCGCTACCGCATCCGACGGTATCACCTCTCGTGGGCAATCGACTTAGATTGCCCGTCGATCCTCTGCCCACTGCTGTGCAGACGGGCCCGGAACCGCCGCAAGAACCGACACGACGAGCAGACCAAGCAGACGAAGAGAGGAGACATGTGTGCCTAACATGCGGCAAGGCTTTCAACCGCCCCAGTAGCCTCTCCATCCATGTCAACACTCACACCGGTGCAAGGCGTGCGTCTTCCTCTTTTGGCCGTCTCGCGCATCACTCTCTCTGACGCCGCCTCTCCAGCGTTCGAGTGCCCATTCCCAGGCTGTGGCCGCCGCTTCAACGTCAACTCGAACATGCGCCGCCACCTGCGCAACCACAATTCTCCCTCACGCCCGCTGAACACTGCCTCGCCGTACACATATCCGCTGACGACTGTCCCCCGACCGCTTCCGCCCACGGCCTCGACGAGCTACGGCGCGCCTGTGCACCCACCGGCATCGAACCATACGCAATATCGTAGCTCAGACTCCGGAAGCGAGGAGGATGAGCTGTCTGAGTCTGAGTCGTGGGAGCACGAGCGTGAGGACGAGCTGGCCGAGGAAGTCGACCGGCTCAGGCTCCGCGCCCACTCGACCTCGAGCACTGCATCCTCGCCGCGTGCGCAGCCTGCAAGTCCATCGCACCACTCACGAGGAGGATTATGCACGACACCCGGCTGCCGCGATTGTGGGCGTTCTACGGTGCTCCATCCCTCGGGTCAGGTGTACCGCTCTAGACCCTGAGGCCGCGCGGGCGCCAGGCTGAGCTGTCTCCCGTAGTGGCGCCCTGCACAGCCGCCTGAGCCTCCATTCATCCTTCAATGCCGTCATATCTCCCATCCATGCACTCGGGATTGCTCACGAACTTGAACACTCGAGGTCTCGTACTCGTAAATCGGATAGAAAATGACGTATTTTATTTTCGTTTCTTTCTCATCGCATTGAATCACGATCAGCGACTCCAGGATTTGGCTGAATAAATTGACGTACTTGTGCTTCCATGCAGGGTTATACTTGGCTTTCCAGAGTACACCCAAAGAATGCGCGAAGGCTTCCATGACACGAGGGTCCTGCACTGCCAGGATAGTCTGCGGGAGAGGGCATGGAGCATTTTCGATCAACAATAATATGTCTTGCTTGGCATTGTGGAATTAGGAGGACGGAGAATGCTGCTTGACCGGGACAAGGGTCATCTGCCGCGAAGATGTTAGCGCGCAAGATGTCGACTTGCATCAATCGCCGATAGAGGTGATGGCTGGGAGGGCAGATATCCATATGTGGCGAGTCATAATCGGCGTCACTTCAGCTCCGAGGCCCCGTGTCCCCACTACGCCCCACGATGCCCTCTTCTACAATTGTTTGGCAAGCGTACCGCTGTATATTTTTCAAGTGGAGGGGTTTTATGCCATGGTTTCGTGTAACCGTTGCAGTAGCGAAGATAAGAGACAACTTCTACCAGTGTAAGCTCTCCAACCCTAGTCGATTCGTGTCATGGTCGCATCCGTTGCAATTAGGAAGCCGAAGGGAATCTATGAAGAGCATTCCAGGACGAGATATACAAGCTCCCTTAGCGTATACCGCTGCTTCTCATGTGCCCATCTGAGATGGAAGGATCATTTGGTCCTGAATCGCACACTGCACGGTGTTCTTCATGTTGATATTCTAGTATCGTCAGCTGGATGATACTTGTAGATTGTGCGCGCCCGCCGCCAGCCTGTCCCCGCTGACCCGGTTCCTTTTCCAGGTTTTTTTTTGTCGCGTCGCCATAGCATTAGCTCCCTGAGCTGACGCGCGCGAAAGATGAGACGCGCGTCGAAAGTTGAACATACGCCAGGGCGATTGTCTCAGTGAGCTTCCCAGTGTGTCATGCCTGCAATGCAATGTTTCACACCGTACGAGTACTGATACATCTCGCTTGACGCCACCATAGACAGACGAAACGCGCCTGTGGTCATAACACAATACAAGATACTGCGCCGCTTGCTGCGTCACCCTCTTTATTATGATTAGCGTGTTGAGACTCCATTGCTATCCACTGCACTGACTTCCCAACAGCAGAACAAACTGACACGTCCGGGCCCGCTCGAAGGATGAGTCATGTTGCCGTGAAACATATATACCACGCCGGCTGCTACTGAGGGCCTATGGCAGGCGAGACATCGCATTCTGCAATGCGACATGGCGAGAGCCTCCCCAGCATTCGTGAGCTCTTCCCTGGTAAGCGTGTCAAAGCAATGCTATTTATTGCCCACGCTGATATGACAACAGAGTATTTCCCCAACAGGGAACTCGAGGCTCCGAAGCAGAGCGTACCGGGGCTGCAGCCCGTGTATCAGCATCAAGCACCGTCTACAGCAGCTGCAGGGCAGACGAGGAAGAAATACACCTGCGAGGCATGCGGAAAACTCTTCCAAAGGTTAGTCTCGTCGTATTATTGCTTCAGATCTACGTTGCTGACCGCAATTGCCAACTTTGCTGCCTGCAGGCCAAGCAGCCTTCGGAATCATATGACATCGCATTCCGGCGAAAGACGTGAGCCTAGCCTCAGTGTTTGTACATCCGAACAGGGCGACTGACACCCGTTCTATAGCCCATGGGTGTCCGTATCCGGGCTGCAACAAGCGTTACTCGACGAGATCAAACATGCAGCGCCATGCCACTGTCCACGCAAGTCCAGGCACCGCCACTCCATGCTCCGTTGGCGTGCCTTGTGTTGTCTCCGAGCCGATGCCTGACGGAAGTTGGAGCCTAGCGTCCTCGCACGCCGGCCGATAATGCCAACGCCACGTACTAGCGTGCTCAGCGCGATCGTTGCGCTCATTGCTCTCACACCGCAATCCCTCAGACATGATGTACTGAGCCAGTCGACGGTAAACTGTGCAGGCATCCGGCACGTTTCTTACCTTAAATTATGTCGCTTTGGGTATGTGCAGCTTCCTTGCCAGAGGGTGGAAAAACTATGTTCATGATTTTGCCTATAAGAACCCCTTCAAAGACTACCGCGACACACCCTGTGGGCTTTTGTAGACAATCGTAGAATATATCGCCCTGACATCGACATTATTCCACATTTTTGTCCATCTCGAGCCGCTGAATGCTTGCAGGCCACATAGGTGCGGGTGCGAGCGAAAAGTGGCTTCGCGTAGACGCTTGAATTTGCGGGAGCTGACTGCTCCCCGGTCCACGCCATCGACCGTCTCATCGCCGTATGTGCGATAAAGGTTGCGGCAGTTCGTGCCTCTTCACACGCCCATCCGTGTCGCCGGTGAGCTTCTGTTGCCGCAGCCTGTCGGGCATTGGGCTCGGAAGAAGGGGTGTCGTCAGATCAAGCAGGGTAAGTTACGTCATGGACTTCTTGTTCCCACAGCTGCTAATCCTCGCGCACAGCCGGCATCCCTGAACGTGCGTCGCAGAAATTGACCAGCCGTGATAGATGAGGACCATAGAAATCGGAGGTGACAGAGCCTAGCGTTTCATTATGCTAGATTTGTAGCGCCTGCGAGGAACTACGCGCGCGGTTTCAGTACTCGGCCATTCCTTGCTTAGTTAACGAGCGGCAGGCACATGCTTTTGTTAGGCTGTACGTGTACGTGGCTATTTCTTCCGGCTCCGATCTGCGGACGGGCATTTTGCGCACCGCTCGCTGGGACGCGTAAGCATCAAAGCGAGCAAAGCTTCACTAGCAGGGCATAATGCGGCTGCGCTGACAATCAAATTTACTTTATTTCATTGAGATTATCGAGATACTTTACGGTGGAAGGCGATTAAGATATGACTTGTCGTTCCTAGCACTTGACTTGGCTAGTAGAGAGATAGAAAGGCGCGCAGTTTGGATGTACTTTGGACATTCCTGCTGCGCAGTCGTCGTCAAATAGCTGTCATTTTTTCTTCCTAAATTCTTCATATGAGCCTCTGAACGCAGACCTTCGTTGTTGCTGTGTTGGTTCGGGCGAAGCGTGAACAAGCAAGGGCTAAACGCACGCAGCGCTTGATTGGGCCTAGATCTAACCCATCAGACCCATCACTACGGGTCCGGCTATCTCCGCGCCACGAAGCCCCGCCAGCTGCGCTTGCGTATGCAGCGGCTCTTACCCGCATCCCACCTCTCCCACCAACCACATTCTGACGACAGACACTCGCCACCCGACTTGGGCCGTCACTGCAGCAGCTTGACCTACGTGTCCCCATGCCAATCAATCCAAGTGTTTCGGAGTGTTGGTAAAATCTCCCGAAATGGCGCGACTTTTCTACAAGAGTCACCTTTGTGTCGGCTGGGGTCGGGCTTTGCCCCCAAATGGACTTGCATTTGATATGTGTGAAGTTTTTTCTCCTTCATTTGGTTCTCATATCTAACGATGGCGTAAAGGATCCGGATGTTGTGACGTGGCCAAGGCTCGCTGTCATTCGTTCGCACTTAGTCACCGGCATACGCACACTGCCCCTCGGCTATCGAGTACGTTAGAGGAGTCTTGGTGCTGCCACGATGGAAGGAGGGGCTTGATTTTGGATAGAGGGAGCACCAGGGTGGTACGCAGACATGTATTTGGAGCAACGGTGCACTAATGTTAGGCTTGCTGACCGGCACAGGACTCGAGCATGTCACCCCTCGGTCTCTCATGTCACACCATTCCATCATTCAAGCGACTGTTCCTAGGATTGATGAGCAGAGGGGGCCAATCTTACATCATCAGACTACGCTCCAGCGCTACCGAAGGTCTCTGGGGCTGCGCGAGTACAGAAACGGGCCCCAGCGACGCTACGCTGCGCGCAGAGGTTCTGATTGCTGGATAAGCAACAGTCCATTCAGCCAATGGCGTCTCCGTATTCCGGTCACGAGACAGACCTCCCCTGATATGCACCGCGCGATGGGTGTGCGAGAAGCGGCTGAAATCAAGGCTACTCGACGCCGGTGACAGGAGCACTGGCGGCAAGAGCAAATCGTGGGTCCGCTCGTGCAAAGAGGAAGAGATGGGAAGGATTTACTGGTATATGAAGATGTTGAGATTTCTTGGTCATCCCGAGGCACCCATGGTCGGCGATGCTGACCATCCCTCGGACTCGTTACCAAGCATCCGCGATGTATTCCCTGGTCAGTATCAGCATGAATCCACTCCCGAGAACACTGTTACTCAGTCGGGGCCTATCCAGACCAGTTCCCAGCACCCAGCGCACAGGCGGCTAGCATCGAGAACCCCCAGAGCGGAACGCAACAGCCACCACCCGAGGCAGCGGTGAGTCAGGTGTCTCTTCCTCCGACCGTCGCTGACAGAAGGTGTTGCCTCCTAGCCATCCTCCGCCCAAGAAGAAGCCTATGCAAAGCGCAAATACGTATGCGAAACCTGCCACAAACGATTCCTCAGGTGTGTGCGTTCATGCTCTCCACGTTCTCACGGTACTCATATGGTCGACTCACAAGGCCAAGCAGTCTTCGAGCACATCTTGTCGTTCATACCGGGGATAGACGTACGTCCCGCCGCCACCTCCGTCAGCCAGCGCACACGCTTACTCACGTCATCGCGGCAGCATACCCTTGTCCGTATCCCGGGTGCACAAAACGCTTCACGTCCAAGTCTAATATGAAGCGCCACCGCCAGACCCACGGCTCCGCGGCATCAGACGCTGCGCCCGCCGCTGGCCCCTCTACAGCGCCGGGCGCGCTGGACACCGTCGCGGCGCAGGCGTCGTCATCGTCGTCCACGTCGCCGAGTGCCGGCCACTTTGGCGTGTTGAACCTCGACCAGCTGCATCCGTCGCACTCGCCAGGCGCTGCTGGCCAGCAGCGAAATACAAATCCCTGAGCGCCGCCGTCGAGCGCGGTCGGGCTGTATTGCGCGAACTGTTTCGTTCCTTTCCTTTCCTAATTTTGTCGAAGTCGCCGTGTTACGTGTAGAAGCGCTTATAATTACGGGGCCCGTACTGCCCCCTTTTTGATGCTGTACAGGGCGTACATGTTGTCTGGGAGCAAATCAAAAAACCGTTTGCAGGCTGGCGCAGTGGCTCGTCGACGTGGCAAGCGTATCACGGCCGTCTACGTCATGGCGCAAGCTGCGTACCATGCGCATGAGGCCACATAGGCTCTTGCCAGCACACTGGTCACGCGTAGCTGCACCTGCATAAGGATAAATTCCAAAAGATGCGCGGATCCAAGCGGAAGGACGTGCGAGGCGGGACTGCCCGTTCGTTGTCTCGGGCGGGTCGGGGGGCGGGGGTGGTTCACGTGACAATGACGTCACGCGGCAAGAAGCGCCTCGGAAGCGCGACGTTGCTGCTGTGGCATGTCCAGCGCATCGATGTGTCGGTTGACTCGGCTCCTGCTGCGCTGGGCTGCAAAACCCGTGGAAGGCTGTGGGTAGCTGCTCGTGACGGGAGCTGGTACCTGTGCTCGCAAAGATGTTGAAGAAAGGCTGTGCGTTCGTGAATATTTATACAGCTCATCGAGACCCTGCCGCTGACATCGATGTGTGCCAGGGATCACTCGGCCGACTTATCGGCCAGCGGAGTGCGACATTGTCACATCTTTCTGTCAGAGCGTTTGCATTCCCGGTGCTTTGGAGCTCGGCCAGCTTGGCCACGTCATTGAGATCTTCCTTTACGCCGGCATGCCTTGTGCGCTACCGCCTGCATGCGCCAGAATAAGCACGTTTGTGCGATCAGCGAGTTGCAGTGGTGCTGCTTGAGTAGAACGCGCGGGTGAGGTTTCACAAAGGTACGGCATAGCATCACTAAGCTGTCCGCTTAGCCCAGCCGCCTTTTCAGCTGCAATCTTCTTCAAGGCGCGTATCGGCGTCTTTAAACGAGTTACTAGGCACGGTCGTCCTCGATACTTCGTACAGCACATCTCGACATAACTGCCTGAAAGAGCCGCTGAGGAGGAAGAGTTTGGAAGCTAGGAACCGATCCCAGCACTGTGGAGTGCCGAGTGCTATAGCTTGGCCTTGGCCTGCTGTCTTTTATAGGCTAAGAATGAAATCACACCGCGGTGAGATTCTCAGAGAACAGAGCCATCATACGTCTCTCTCACTTTCCTTGAACTACTTCGCACGTGCGCTAGGAATAAAGCTACAGTTGCTCCTTGAATTTCGCACGGGACCCCTAGGTTTTCAGTAAGAATATCATCTTCAGCACAATACCGCGAGTTTGCGACCACTGTATATCTTTTCTTACGTCCAATAATACGCGCAGGACTCTTCAAAGCTTTCTCACAAAATGGCTTACGTGATTACGACTGTGGCACGCAAGTGAACCTGTCACACCCGACGCGGAGTTTGCGAATCGCCCCTTGGAAGGCAGCCGGCGACCATTGCCGACGGAATAGACGTCCTCGTTCCCGCATATATCTCGTAACTGTGGGGCATTATCCGTCCGGATTATGGTTCGTTCTACGACAGTTCTGCGTCTATAGGAACGAGTAGGACTTTGCCGTGCCGTTTGAGCGATGTCGCTCGCTTTGGGCTTCCGCACCTCAGCGGCCTGTTACTACGTCCCAAGGTGCATAATCATCGTGGCCGGCATGTACTAATGATCTGTCGTACGGCATAGAAGTTTCAAGGGGACAGCACTCTATGCGTGCTTACAAAGGCGGGCGCTGATTTTAAGCGATCCCCGAAACTCAGTCGCGGGAATAAGAATGTATTGCTTCCACTTTCATCCCGTAAGCCCAGTCATGATAGCTGACAGCTGCTCGCAAAATAACCTACATGAGTGGAGGCCGAGCGTACACGGACCAGCGTCGGCATCGGAACATGGCGCCTCAGACGATGCTTGCCGTATGTCGGCAACGTTAGTAATCCACCGCAGTGTTTCCTAGCGCTAGACAGTACGTCGCCATGCTAGTAGTATTTCCGTAAAATTAATTCTTGCAGGTTCAACCTAGTACAAGCATAGTAACAACGCGCAAATTCTTGCATGCAAATCGGTGCTCCAGTGGGGTGTCATGCGAATATCGACGCGTCGCGGCGTCAACACGAGTTTTCTGCAAACCAATTAACTGGGCTGCAGGCCTGCAGCCGGATACAGTTCGGATATGTCAAACCCTTAATCTTTGCCGCGGTGCACTTGCTTAATCCGACAATGCCTCCTGAGATCTGGTGTCAAAGCATCTGTGACAGCGCAGATGCACGGGGAATGCGGCGAGGCGTGTGAGTGCACACGATCGTCGTTTACCAGCCGCTTGTGCAGCGCTTATCTCATCTGTTGGATAGGCCAGCTTTTACGACTGCGGCACAACGATGAACGATGACCCTCATTGTGAGTAGTACAGAAGTACTAATGGTCCAGAACCGTCGAACACGCTCACCCGGTGAACGCCCATCTAAGATCCAATTCGGATACCTCGGAGATAGCACCACGCAGCCGCAGGACATCACACAGGGTCTTGCGAATACGGTCATTCAAATTAGTCCGTGGATGGCGCTTCATGTCCGACTTTGTTGAGAAATGTTTGTTGCCGAGCTCCGCAGTCAGTCAGTGCGACAAAACTGTGTTCAGGTGCCTGCCACGCAGCGACAGCAATCTTTGTAGCGCGCGATGGAAGTCCACAAGTGACAATTGGGAGGAGCCTGTAAGGGATGGGCCGCGTGGACGATAGTAGCCCGAACGTGATGCGATATAGCATCAACCTTGCGCTGCACATTGTCACGCGGTCACGATAATTGAGAGAAAACAGGGCATTCAGCATACATTAGAAGCTGAAGACACAAGTTCGCAAAGATGTCGTTTGGTGAGGCAGACGTTTTGCGTCTGTTGGTGAAGAACAGCGAAAGAAAATGGCTGACATAACCAATTCGTGGCGTTCGGTCCGCCATCCTGGATTCGGAGGCGCCTGTCAACACTGTCATGGGGCGGTCAGCGATCACCGACGTTCTAGACTGCTCTAGCATATATATCGTCGTACACCAGTGCCGCAACATTTTGTCCCGGGAGTAACATAGCGACCGGCTCAAGAGTCAAGGGAGGCCGATACCGTACTGCGCCAATTTGTAATGACAAAGGAAAAAGCTCGAGAATAGACTTTTGCGCGCTGCTCAATATTGCAATTGCCAATACCAGAGCGCAACGCGAGAGCAGCACTATGCCCCGTGACTGTTTTTTTTTTTTTCAATAGCATACAGCTTTATCCAAAGTGCGTAGGTGAATTCACTTGGCACTCACGCTCTTGTATGAGTTCTAGCCTACATTGTATTTAACACAGCTGGTCGCCGCCGACGACACCCACCTAGTTTGTGCGCTTTGACTCTGTAAGCCCGAAACAATTTCAATCAGATCAATTAACTCCGTTGTTCGTCTGCACCGGCAGGGGCCAGGGCGAGCTATGTATCGGATCCTCTTGAAAAGATGGTGCTAAGTCAACATTGTTGCAAAGGCTGCAGAGCATTAGGATATAATGATGTATGCGGTGTTTTGGTCATCATGGAACTGTTATGGCTTCGCTGTATCATCTGATCGCGTAGGCTCCAGACCATGAGGGCAACTTTATGTGCAATGAGAAACCAGCTGCCGTAAACCCGAAGTCGGGTCTTACCCTTGTCCTACTCGAGCAGACAGACAGGGAAGAGCAAAATTAATTCCCAGCCATCTTGTACCCCCAATACGCTTCGAAGGATGTAACCCGCGGACGAGGTCACATCTCCGTTCCCCGACCGGGGACCAAGCTGTCGTCCGGAGACGCCCTGTGGTGTTTCCTCCCGCACGCAGTGCCTGCGCCCGCACCAAATGTCTTGTCCCGAGCACTGTTCTGATAGTCTCGCCCAAATATCCAACTAACCCTGTCTTCGCACTGATGCAGTGGGACAGTATTCGGCACTTTACAGAGAAGACGCGAATACGTAAGGATGTGACAAATTCTACATGCAAAGGGTATATTGTGGCTGCATGGCGACAAAGAGGAGATGGCAAGGGTTCTATGAGAATGACAGCGCTGTCACAGGCAAGAAGGTAAAGGTAATCCAGAGGCTCTAGGGGAGGGAGTATGCGTTCGAAGGGGCTGTGTAGGAACGCACTAACGCGCTGGATTCCCGCCCATTCAAATGTCGGGTGCCTTGACTGGGCCCGAATATCTTGTCTGGGTGGCGGTGGTGTGGGTATGGTGAGCGCGACGGTCGTGCTCGATGCACTAGCATGCGACGAATAATGACGGACTGGTAATGAACGTATCTGCAAAATCCGGAGCGACGTTGCATGGCCGGTCAGAAATGTCATGTGGCAAGTCGTCGAATCCCGAAACGGTGCGGCTTGGGCCGACGTGGGCGGTGGTATGGCGTCTCATGTTCGACTTTGTCGAAAACCGTTTGCTGCAGCCTGGGTACGGACACGGATAAGCTGTGACGCGGGCGTTAATTGCTTCAGATGAATGCACACACATATAAGTAAACATCTCACTCACGCCTCTCACCAGTATGTGAGACAGTATGGCTCCTGACGCTGCTTGGTCTGCAGATTGATGGCAGAATCAGCGACCTGGATCTAATCCATGATAGAATGCGACCCACCTCTGGAAACGCTTTCCGCATGCCTCACAGGCGTATTTCTTTTTCGCCTGATCTGCAACTGTTGCAGGGGGGGCCTGCCGCTGAGACAGGGTCTGTGGGCTGAGCACGTTCGGGTTCGGAGCCTCAGGCTTTTTGCTAGGGAAATATTCTGGTGGCACGTCAGTGCAAGAAATAAGTATGCTTCGTCGTTCGGGCTTACCGGGGAAGAGTTCGCGAATGCTTGGGAGACTTTCACCTTGTCGCGCCGCGGGGTAGGACATACCAGCTAACCTGAGCTCGTGGTGACAGATAGCGTGGTACATATATCATATGGGTGCCTCCACACCTTATCAAACGTAAGTACAAGGGCATTCGCATGGTGAAGCCCGATGCAATGCCTTGCAAGTGGTGTGAAAACACCCAAAGAGGTGGCCAGCTGTGCACTAACCCATACGTGGAGCAACCGCAGGGTCGCCTCTGATATCGGCATATGCGATACATGAGGAGAGCCGGTCCCGGAGTGTAGCCCAGCGGCACAGGGTTGCGCAGCAAGAAGTCGTTCAGACAGCTTCGCTGGCGTGTCTGGATATCCGGACTATTGCGTTAAGCGCGTCAGCTTCGGAGGCAAATGCTGTTGATACAGCGAGCCGCCATATAAAGACGGGATCAGAGCTAAAGAGACATGCCGGCGCATCTAGCTAATGGTGCCTTGGCATCAGTCCGATGAATGAAGACGGGCGAGCAGAATCCAGTTGCGCGCAGCCCTACACCGGACACTGCTTCTCTCCGCTTTCTACATGCAAGTAACAGGATGAACTATGAAGTTCATTGGATACCCATTATACACTCCATCAGCTCCTTTAGGCTTCGCCGACTGATAGAACCTTGAAAACTTACACGCATCGGCCGCATCTGCAGAACATGTCTCCTTGTCTTGGCTGGGTTATGTGGCTATGGGCAGCTACAGCAAACCATCAGGTAGAAGAGCAGAAAAAAGCCGGTTGGCAGATGCGATGAAGAGGATGGCATAGTTGAACAATCGTTGGTGTGCGATGCAGCGGCGCTGGGACGGCGCCGCTTAGAGCACTTTCCAAATGTGGCCATCGTCTCCAATCATCGGATCAAAGAACAACCGGCATCCCGCGGACTGCCATCCTCACAATAATTCAAGACCACTGCTGTATGTTCACTGACAGAAAATTACCAGCTATGAGAGTGCTGTGTGGTTGCTGACTGAGTTGACAGGTCATAAAGTCAGCCGACGACAGAGTCGAAGTTAGCGCCTAAACGGTTGCTGAGTCCCGCGCTCAGCCATAGGCTCAGGCTAAGAAAGTTCAAGACAGGCATTCGCCAGTACTGTATCTGGCCATCTAAAAGACGTGTTTAAATGCGCAGATGCCTGTTAGGGTTTAATCAATCGCAATACTGTAGCCATATGACCAGTCCGGCGGCGGGTATGACAAGTGACGGTCCGTCGCCAGTCCGGCGGGGTGGCGAATTTGACGGTGACCTACGACACCGGTCAAGAATGCGGTGGACAACTTGTAACGGCAACCCAGGCGTAACCCGATAGGGCCGCAACACAGAAAGGAAAGGCAATAGCGCCGCAGAAAGTGAAAGAAAGTTTTCTCCCATACGTCCTGCGCCGTAGGCCCGAAGATATTCAATATTAATTTTAACAGGAAAAAAATGCGAGAAGTGGCGGCACCCCTGGTAACGACATGACTGTCGTCATCAAGAGCGACGGTCGAAGCTATGTGATGCGTGATGCGCCGGACTGGTCGCACGGGCACAGTACCACCTTCTATAATATATGTTACTGAGCCTCTTTTCCCCTAAGAAGCTGCAGAAATGGTTGGTTGCTCACGATAGCGTGGCAGCCTTCATCCTCACGCAAATGTCGTACCTTTGCGCTTGCGTACCGGTTGATCGCTCGCTCACTTCATAGCTTCGTAGGTTGGCCTCTGTCCACCGACCTGATGACTTCAAATCTGGTGGGCTAATGATCCTTCTCGTGACGAGATCCCGGTGACTGCCCGATCGCAGACGTAGTCAGACTGATTTATGGCTAATTAGAGAACCGGACAGCGCCGGAACAGAGCGTCCTTTTGTCTCGTTTTGTTAATCGAGCAGCACCTTTACTCCCCCTCCACGACACCGGGGAGATATTCCGTCGCTTCGCTAGAGTCTGAATTGTCCCGCACATCATCTCGAGGACCCTGAAAATGAAAGAAACTGGGCTTACGGGGGCGTCGCGCTTCAATTTTATGGAAGCACGGACAATTCAGTCCGTTGGGAAAAGCCCAGGCAGCAAGTTGTGACAAAAAGACCGCAGCAGCCAGCCATTGATTCATCCAGTTCGTGCCCGAGACGGCGAAGAAAAACTACACAACTCCTGCTCAACCCTTGCGCTAGATACTTTGTAGGCGAACAGTGTCCAATTTCACGAGCAATAAATGTACTCGAATGAGGATTTAGAGGCGCGTAAGGGGCAGTGAATAGAATCTCTGGCAGCCACGAAGGGCAGCCTAAGCCTAACGTCCAGGAGTGGTACACCTAGCTTGATGCATGGCGCGTCATTGGGCGTGCATAATCGCGACAACCGAGCGTTGCGTATGATCCTATCCGCGAGGGGTACGGCGGACTCGCACGCTGCACGTGTGGAGAGGACGCGGCACTAGAGGTTGAGCGAGCGCGGAAGCGCAGGCGGTCGACGCCTTCAGCCAGCTCGCGCTCGTGCCCCCACTGCTCAGGTTCAGACAGCTCATCCTCGTCGCTGCCGGTATCCGAGCTGCGATGTCGTGTGGGGTACGAGACAGGCAGGTACGTAGATCCTGCAAAACCAGATGCGCCTGGGAACGGGGAGACGCGGGGGACCATCGTTAACGGATGTGTGTACGGCGAAGCGATGCTAAATTGGCGTGTGGGAGGCGTGTGATTGCGTAGGTGGCGGCGCATGTTTGAGTTAACATTAAAACGGCGACCACAGCCTGGGAATGAACACTCGAATGCTGAAGAGACGATATGAGACAAGTGCTGCGCGAGATAATCAGAAGAACCGGACGTACGCTTTGCGCCAGTGTGAGTGTTGATATGAATGGCGAGGCTGCTGGGGCGGTTGAATGCCTTGCTGCAGGTCGGGCATGCATGTTTCCGCTCCTCGTCCGCTCGCCGCGCCGTCTTCGGTACCCTCGATGGTGGCCTAGGGCCTGTCTGCGCCGTAGGCTGGAGCGAATCTTCAAGCAGTCCCGATATGCTGCATACGGGGGTCGGCACCGCCGCATGCGGTGGCAAGGGGCGCGATGGCGGAGGTGCTCGATACTTCCTCCTCGGAGGAAGGGCCATGAGATGTTCTGTCCACTGATGAGCGGCGGCATCTACTAGAGACACTATGCAGAATACTGACCTGGGAACATCTCGTGGATGCTCGGGAGGGAGACATGTTCAGAGGGCTGCGATGACATGGTCGTGTAGGCGAGCTTAGCAGAAAGGATCAGGGCCGAGGTACTGAATACACCTGGATCTATAAACGTTTATATATCAGCGAGTGATGCTCGTCTAGACTAGGAAGCGAGGCGCTGACTTTGATCAGAACCGAACATCTAAGATCTCCGCACCGCTTACTTGGAATTCTTGTGGGAACGCAGATGCCGTAAGCTGTGGACGGGCTCCGTAGACCCACGGAGACTCCAGATGGTATCATCAGCCTGGTTGCATCATGGTCAATTGACGGACTAACAAGGTTCGATAATCTGCTTTGGTACATATTCGCTAACGAATTGATGAACATTACCTTGAGAGCACACGGGTGATATGCGTATGATTAACTGGTGTGTATAGATGCAAGGGGGGGGGGGGGATATCCGAACAGTATCTCCTGTAAAAAAGGTCGGGAGTACTGCTAGCGCGCTGGCTCCATATGATGAAGCAGAGAGGGAGAGATGATCCCTCTTGGCCAAGCTACGCTCATGACAAACCGGGGGGAATGGTTGTGGTGAATGAGAGCCCCGATCTATGCCTATGGTACCGACACTGCTTGTCATGCAGTCAGACGTGAGCACGCGAGGTTATCGGAGCATGTCGGCTACTCAAGCGAAGCGCGATCAATGGACGAAGGCTGACGGGCATCGAGACCGTGCTGAGATCCCACCACACAGCTCGCCGTGATGTGAACGTTCTCATCATACCGACGACATCCGCATCACATCATTGACCCACATGTTGTATGCCGTCTCCACGAATACCTGTACTCTTATCTTGCCAAGATAATAGGATGCGCTGCTAGTCAACAGGTTGGACAGACGAGCTTGCGGCGCTAGAGCTTAGACAATCGTTATCTAGGACTAATCCGCTGTTATGTACGGACTGTACTTCTCCGACCGGACATGATACTTTCCGGCTATCCGGACGAGGAGGCCGATCACGGGATGTGAACGTACAGCAAGATCTTAACGCGATCTGGGAGGATCACATCGACGTCTTCACTGGAGTATAATTTTCCCCATTTTCCCCACTCGCAACGTACAGGCTCGCACGGACAAGCGTGTTCCTGGGACATTCAGGCCATAGATGGTCCTCCGCATACAGCGGCTGTGAGGGTATCAGCGTCGCGTCGCAGGGCCTCGTTGAGGCATGATACTGATGCGCTAGACAAGAGCTACCATGTACAGACAAGCTAATATTGATCCAGATGAAGGAATATCTCCCGCTCATCGCAGCATCAAGACGATCTGCCGCACGAGTCAAGCAGTGGCAGTCCCGCCGTTGAGATAATCTATCGAGCGTATGCAGTAGCTCCAAACCGCCAACGAAGGCGTCGTTCAAAGCCCGCGTTTATCGCTCAGGCTCGCTCCTCGACAGCAATACTACTCACAGCCATACGGCGCTTGCGGAGGGGAAGACAAACGAGAATTGGGAGACGCTCAGCCGACGCTCAGGAAGTTTCTCTAAGAGTCACGACGTCCTCTCGATGCCGCTCGACTGAGGACCCGGGTCTCAATTCGCCACGGCCATCGCTCCAGCGATCTCGCATATGCATTCTCAGAGACTGCAAGCGCATGCAGATCGTGTCAAAGATGCGTATGCTCGGGTGAAATCCGGGGAACGTACCCCGCATTCTCGGGGACAGAAACGGCGCCCGTCGTGTAACAATGTAGTCTCGGCCAATGGCACAAAAGGGGGAGCACATTCGGGCGGCTGCACAGCATGCCGCGGCGGAGCGCCCGTTGCAGGCGACGTCCTCCGGATTCCAGGCTTGCGAACGCCGGAAGTGTGCTCCTGCCGATAATCTCGCCTGGAGTGCCTTGTGCCGAGTTTCTAATAGGCGTTGGAGCGCGGCGCGGCGTCAACCCTGCGATACGGAAAAAGAGAGGATCTTTAGCCGACGTCTGCCCGTGGCGCGGATGACGAGAAGAGTTCAAAGATTCCTGGACGCCCACAAAGACAAGCGACGTGGACGCGGATAATTATCAAAGTTGCAGAAACACGCTGCATCGTGCCTTTGTCCCCAATGGACATGCGTCGGCAATGTCGGGGCGCCAATGGGATGGGTGGTATCAAAGCGGTGAGTACTGACCAGAAACTGATGAGACAAAATAAGGCGATTCAACGTGTCTGTAGCAATGCGGTGACCGCGGAGCGAAAGTATAAGGCCTCAACGAAACGTCAAATCGACACGTTTCAGCAGCAGAGTTGTCAGATGGGATGGTGGATGGCGGGAGTGTATCAAGGGTCTCTCTGCGCAAGCGGCGTAGCAATGTGGGGATGCGCAGATTCCGTGGGTAGGGCGCAGCTACGAAAAGCAATCTAGAGAGGGCTGAAAGACAGGTGGTGGTTGACGAGATCGGTAGGAACGGTGTGAGCTTTGCGACAGGCGCCACGGTACATTCATTTGTAGTGACGGCCAGCGAGGGTGACAACGCCAGGACGCTCCCCAAAGACAAGCTATTGGCAATTACTGTCTGGAATATCTTGGCCCCGGAGACCTCTAGCTGGACCAGCGTACTGCACTCGAGCGGCGTGGCGGTCGTACACCATTCGAGAAGAAGAGCCCCGCCGCCGCAATGGAGAGATTGTGCACCTCGTGCGGCGTGCATGCGCCAAAGAATAGTTGTCGAATTGCGATAGTGAAAATCGATTCGATTCGAGGCGTCGTGCGGTATGCCACTCGTCAGGGCTGGGACGAACGAGTCCATAGGCCGATACGTACAAAGCCGGAATGATACCTAGCTCCCTGGTACGGTGTCGTTCTGACGGAGTGGTCGGCAAGTCAAATAGAAGATTCCGCCGTCAGCTGTCAAGAGGCGTAAGCGCTCAGGCTCTCCAGCTCAGCACAACGGTGGAGCAGATCGTTGGCCGACAGACGCTGCCCGCAGCGAACTGCACGCCAGGTACACCAGCAAACGTCGGTCGGCCAAAGGTTGAGTTGGATCGTAGAGCGAAGCAACAGCGGCCTGCGGAGGCACAGCTCGCGAACCCCACTTGGAGACGCCCTGCCCGTCACAGGCACCAGCATCGCTCATGCGCGTGAGCGCTCATCGGACAAACTCGTCCGGGTGCCGCGCGCATATCACCTCTACAGAACCACCGCAATGTCGCGGTGACTGTTACTGCACCAGGGCAGAAAGAAAAGGAAGGAAGACAAGGTGGCGGCGGCGGCGGGGGCGCAGGTCGGGAGAGCTGGGGTTATCGCTGCTCAGGGACTGTTGCCTGGATGTCGCGGCGCGGTCCATCGCTCTGGGTTGCTAGCAAGAAGGTTTTGCCGACGTGCGTGCCTGATGATCGTGGTGTTATGAAGACTGTTACGGCACCAACGCGAGAAAAACTAAGGAGGCAAGGCGAGGGCGCGGATCAGGGGTTCTACGACTGTTTGTTGATAAAAGCTGTGTCGAACCTGACCAGCCAGTGCTCGTGCCCAGGCACGATCTGGAAGTAACAGTACGAGGCAGCAGGGGTCTGTCTCTGCAACACTGTCACAAGAAGACCCGCACGGCCAGTGTAATTTCGTCATGGCCACTGATCCGCTCTCGGCTTCGGCTACGAACAGTGTTGAGGGCCGCATTCGTCTTCTCTTTATGCTGTGGTACAGCTGGTATCAAGATTCGTAAATAGAGATCTCAGAGGAAAATAGCTAACCTGCCAATTTTTAATATATATAAAACTTCCTAAGAACCTTTTACGGTCCCTCGGACGAATGTCCCCGCCAAGATGCACAGAACCATCGTGAAGCACGCCTCTCCGCCTGGTTGTCATACGGCTGAGTCTCAGTTCCGTACTACGGGAGGGAAGAAAAGCTGAGCTCGGCGAGATGCGGAGGAAATACTGATAGGCTTACCAGAGACAGATGCGCCGTCGGCACCAAAAGTTGCTGACGGGCTGTACTGCCAGCTGCGGCCAAAAGCCGTCACGTTGCATCGGGCTCTGGGCAGCGCCATGCTGTAGAAAGCAGCGCACAACGATCACAGTCGTGAGGAATTTCATCGCAATCCGGAACGTCTCTTCCCCATCTCCACTGTTCCTGTCGCCGTGCCCGTCAGATACACGTTGCACTGCACAAGCGCCACAATGTCCACGGATGGATGCGTGTGCGCGGAGGAGAAAAGACCTGCGGCGAACACCGAACGGAAGGACCGGCGAAGTTCACAGCCAGCCTGGAGAGCCTGCCATGCGGCGATGAGGCGACCAACCGATGTTGTTGGTCGCAGACCGCCGAATGGATCGCACGGGAGATCTTGATTGAGAGAGGGGGACCAATTAGGGAATCAGCGGCGAGGCAACAAACGGCGCTGACAGGCGGAAGGGAAGCGACTGAGATGTGGATGGGTAGGACGTGTCGCATAGCCCCACAGCTCGAAATCTAGGGCGGAGTTGTCGCGGGATCCGACATGAGCGAGAAGTTGAGGTAAAAGAAGCCTGCGGAGAGTTTGCAGCGCATGCGTTTGAACACCGCACCACCAAGGTATCGTACGCCGACATCAAATGAGAGCGACGAGATAAGATGTGGCCTGCGTATGCCCTCTTCGATCTGTCGAGTTGTGGGAATGTGTTGTGAAACTGACACAGCTTGTGGCGGAGCTTGTGTATCTGCGAGAGAAGGACAGGGAAGTGCTGATGTGGATATACCAGCCGCACAGCGCGTCGACTTCTCGGAATGGGAGGATGGCCGTGTGTGAATAAATGGTTCAGCGTGCAAGAGCGTGTAGCTAGACATGCGGAGGTGTATCAGTGGTCGGGAAGTCACAAAATAGTGGAGTCAGATGGCCTACCTGCACCGCTCATATCAGAGACGACGGTAAGATGGCGTACAGCCTGGATCATATTCAAATATCTGTGGCAAGCAGGGAATTCGAAGGTCATGCAGGCCAATGGTCTTGCGCAGATGACGATGTGCCGGCGTACGCCGATGAGAACGCGCTCCTCTGCGAAGAATCGTGCTGCACCGCTCGCACGCGAATAGGACTGAGCGCTGATCAAGGGTATGGACAGCCGAATTTTAAATGTAGCTGGCCGATAATGGTATGCCCGCATCATCCTAAACCGCAAATGCGATGAGCTCACCATCGTCGACAGATACACCAAGATGACAAGGCTTACAGAGACCTCAGCGGCTCAACAAACATAGAAGATCGAGAACCCCGTGTAGTGACTTGTGAAGCATGACGTGCGCGAATTGGCGCGACGGCCTCGCGCATACGCCGACGGTTTCTGTCCCTGTCGTGGAACAGCTCAGGGAGAGCAGAGACGCGTCCTCCAGAATAACTCTGCGCACCGCCATCGCGTAAAAAGTGGCAAGCTCGGACGCCGTTAGAGCAGAGTATGAGCTGAGCGGGGAAGGGCCCTAGGGCTGGGATAGTAGGGGGAGAGGGAAAGGAGGAAGTCGGGCGGAGTTTGCACGCCGCTGCGTCGCCGCCTCGTCGTGGGCATCGGACCGAACGCCGCGGCAGCACATGGGTGTGTGAACAGCTGGGCGCATTGCGTCTCCGCTTGAGTCATCGTCTCGGGCAAGGCCCTTGCTTCTCGGTGCCGGTGTCTCGCGAAGAATACACAACAAATTGAGGTCTCCCAGCCGTGCGCGGCCAAGCACGGCCAAGCCCTTCGTGCAGGGACGTCCGCGAATTCAAGGGGCGCCCCATTCAAGTGTGCTGAACGCGAGGCGGAACGCAGGCGGGGGTGTGCGCGAGGCAGCGGCGGAGTTTCCAGTAGGAGCCGTGCAGCAAGTCCGGGATGTGCACGAGACACACGGTCGATTGGAGCTCCGACTCTGCTCGGGGCTGCTCCATGTGGTGTGGCGTACTTCGCGTTCTCTATTGAGCAGCACACATGAACTCTCCCCGAGTGCTAGAAGGCCCAGAAGGGTTGAGCGCCGGACAGGAGGGGGGAACTATGCGAGAGTACATGACGATCTCCCGCATACGGATAGGCGCCCGAAACGCGCGGCGTCACACGCGTCCTCTTGGTCTCTTCAATCCGGCGAGCTAGCATGAGGCCGAGCGCAGGAGAGCGACCTTCCGTTGCTCCGCCGGAGGTCCCTGCGTCTGCAAGGCACGGGGGTGTCGAACTGAATGAGACTTGCCCTTCCTGCGCCCGCCACGCTTCGCGGGAGAGATCGAGGCGCCTAGATCACTGTTTCCGTCTCGTCCCGACCGTGACTACGACGCGAGGTCAACTCGAGTTTAGGCATTATTTCAGAGAACCTTGTGTTCCAGCGGAGATGATGCAGCACGAGAGCGACGCCAAGGGCTGTTCAAACATGTGTGAAAGACACAGGGATGAGGATGTGAGAATCAGCTGCGCAGATGCGGATGCGGATCTGCGTCAAACGGAAGCGTGGATCTCTGCGAGACGACCCCGTACACCTTGGGCCCCCGATCCTGCACGGAGTGAAGTTGCTATTGCGCTCCTCCTTAGAGCCCATGTCGCTGGTGTGCGCTTTCTGCGGCCTTCCGGTCTACGTGTGCAACCGCACGGTGTCATAATAGCGTGATATAGGAGATGTGCTGGAGTGGCAGGTAAGCCCAGATCGACTACAATTTCCCGCCGGTGTGGACTTGAGATGCCGTGACAGTAGGCCCCAGGCATTCTCTGCGCAACGCGCGAGGATCCGAGGTCGGAGGTCGACAGGCAAGCACCCGTAAAGTGCTACCCTCTTTCGATTTGGAGAGCGCGCTGGCGTAGTTCAAAGATCAAGGACGCCCGACTATCGTGCTTCGAACATGCATTAGGCTGCATATGGGTGCGCGATCATCGTCGGTGCGGCTGAGACAGATAGAGGCAACGACGTGATGCATGCGCCGCACCGAATATCGGACATGCCTCAATGATATCCCGCCGACCAACGACACAAGCAACTATTCAGGTAAACGGGAGTAGTTTGGTTCGCCGTGCGAGCCCAGAAAGGTATATTGGATGTCTGGCCGTGATGATAGGGTTCTTGACCCGCCCCTGCGTAGTATTCAACATACTAATGAAGATAAATTAGCTTAAGCCTGGAAGCTGAGGAGATATCTCGTACGACCACGGCGAAAAATAAATCTTAACGGAGCCGATTGGGTGAACCAACCCCGATGTCTCAGGCTCTGCGAGCTCCAGTGCCAAGTCGCAGCCGACAACCCCGAAGGGAAATACAACGGTACAGGGGACGCGCTTGTCCATGTTAGCACCGCCATCACGGACGTTCTAAAAAAACCGTCACCACTGCGCTGTCACGAGTGCCCCAGCGGATCCGTTACGAACCGGCACCCGAGCAACGAGCCTTCGTGGTGCGCCGGGTGCTGCGATGAGCCTCAACGCGAGGAGCCTGAGAAGAGTGACACATCATTTTCCAACTCTGATCAAGGAAAAACGTTGTCTGCTCACGACATACGCACGTACGGGCGTGAATCAAGATCTGCAATTCGCTCCTACGGAAAGTGAAGCTTTGCGTGTAGACTGGGACCGTAGTTGTGAGTGGGCATGGCAAACCAGGCATCGTACGAGTACTCACTGTGACAAATCCCATGATGACGGTGCTGAAAGCACGAGCGTCGCGCTCCAATTACGCTGGGTAGGTTGCGATATGGAACGCGAGAGAGAAGACTGAATCGGGAACGGAAAGGCGCAACGGGAGTCGGGAGCGCCCCGGAAGAAGATCAGTCACGTGAAATGACGTCACGCGTCTCGCACTCTTCTCAGACGCTCAAGAGTCGACTCAACCTCAACCTCGTCCTAACCTATTCGTCCAAGGCTGCGCTTATGTTCTCACATCTCATGCATCCTGCGAAGCTGGGGTTTGCATGGCTGTTTCGGTGCTGAAGATGGCCTGCGTGTTCGTGAGTAAGCCCTTCTATCGCGACTCTGACGCCGTTAATCTGCGCTGCAGACGACAACCCCACAACGAACGGCGCAGACACGCCTAATTTGGCCCGCCAAGTACAATCTGCAAAGCATGCAACAATATAGCGCATTTGTCTTGCAATGCTCAAATAGAAAGGATGGCAGCTGCAGGACCAGGCTTGGGTACGATGCGCCTTCTGCCGGGGTTCTTCAACGTTGCAAAGGTGTGACACTGAACATACTGGGTACCACAGGTCTCTCTGGGAATTGAAAAACTGCTTCTCTACATGCGCTGGAAGATCAATTCTCAAAAGCTCGAGAGCGCTCTACCCCCGTCGCTGTCTCCAGACGTCATGACATGCATGCATACAAATGGCCCAACGCTACGGGTCGGCTCACCGAAACATTCCGCGACGGAGAAAAGCTACCGGATACGAGGATATAGAGCGTGCAAGTGCGGCTATCAGTGAATACTGGCTTGAGACTGACTAACGTACCCTAGGGCTTTGTCGCGGCCCCAGCTCTTTGCCAACTTGAGCAAGAGTTCCCTTCTCGGCTACGCTGTCCTTCCAGCCTCGCGCCATTGCAGTCGCTTTTCAGAGGTAAGCCTTACGAGAAATCTTTGCCGAAGTCGATTTATTGACTCGATCTTTGGTGGTGGCAGGAAGCGCGCTCAAGTTGGCGAATCGCAAGGTCTTATCGTTCCTTAACTGCCTCATGAAGAATTACGAACACGTCGTGAGATGCACTAGGTCAAAAGTGAGTATAATTTAGTTACGATGTGGAGACCTTTGGTGATGGCCTGCCTGTTGTCCCCGGGAACGTGCTTTGCAGATTGTCAGCTCGAAGGCTTTGCGTTATATGCTCCCCGAAGTTCAAGACATTTCCTAGAAGATGTCTCCCGTCATTATTTATGTCATCAGCTGCATGACAGAACCTCTCTATTCACATATTTGTCGCTCGCAGAGCTCCTGTCAACTCGCAGTACGAGGAACCAACGATTCAGTATTTGCTGTTGGCCCGGATAGCGACCTCCATGCGCAAGTATCACATGAGGCAATGTGCGCTGTCCAATCCTGTGCCCTCTGTCAAGCACATGCGTCGACTGATGCTATACTTTGAGTTTCTGACCGCGTACGTCCACCGGTCTCTAAACCGTGCCCTCTAAGTGAAACGCATTTACACAGTGCTCATTGACGTCCGATCACAATTCAAGAGGTCCAAGCTTGGGAGGCGGATGCTCTAAAGTGGTTAACTCGAAATCCGTTTGGCAGGACGGCGCCGAGGAATCCTTCAGCCAGCTGGTCGACAACGTTTGAAACGATTGTGCCAGTATTTTCGAGAGCTTCATGTGCGTTCGTCTTCCCCGGCGTCTTCTCCGGATGTTCTGACTAGCCCCATAGCTCGACGCTATCCAGCTTGATCTTCATCCGCATAATAATTCACGTCGTCAACCCTTGCACCCATATCTACCGATCGCTCTGCACGCCGCCGATCTTCGCCGCTCTTGGTAACCTAGGAATCCATGGACGACGAGGTAGACAACTAGCCTCGGGGTGTTGCGAGACGTCGTGAATAATCAGAGTAGTACTAATCTTGCGTCGTACTTGGCTGAACTGGTTTCATTGGCGCGTTCGTTGGGGGGTTACTGAAACAGGCGGTCAGCGAAGCTTGGGGGGCCGGCGTCGGTGAGTCTTGCGCGTGCGTTCCAGTTCGTTGACCGATCTCGCCAATTTGAGCAGGCGTCCTTGCAAGCCTTGTTATCATGTGGCGTGTCGCGCTTGTGGGCCTCCAAGATATCAGTCCTATCGTGTTGCTACTCTTACCAGTCTTTTGTTCGTCTTTCATATCAATCGTATCTTGAGCGTAACATGTGGGCTGCTATGTTACCCTGGAGTTAACTCACCCCTCGCTCGCCGTACACCACTGGTCCCTGTCTCGTACACTATTGCGCGTTTCGTCGTATTTGTTAGACTTTCCTACATACTTGCGCTAATATAATACGTTGGTTGAGACAGGTAATGCTACGCTACCGCAGTCGTAGCACGTCGCGAATGTTATACAGAGCTAAAAGTCCTCGCGGAAAATACGTCAGAACGGTTTGATTGTCTGATGAAAAACGAATTTCCTTGTTATCGCGGCTCTGCTCGCCACTTTCAAACTTCGCGAGAAATGCCCCAGACTTCGTATCATGTACTTGTAAGCCTCCGTCTCTGGCGAGTAAGGCAACGTAGTGTGCATCAGGAGAGTACGCCATACGAAACGCACGTTGTGAAATGCTGTAGACACGACGTGGCTCGCCTGTCCACGAGTCATACGCAGCAACTGTCTCGTCTTCGTAGCAAGATGCCAACACCTCGGTGTCGTCTGGAGAGAATATCAGAGGATTCGCGAGATTTCTCCGATGACCGATGGTGAGAAGCTCTTCACCAGTCACCGCGCTCCAAATCTTCACTTGACCCGAGCTCCCTGGTCCGGTGACGACACGATCTCCTTGGTGAGACATTGACCCCGCAAACAATGTCGCGAGACCATGGTGTAGTCCATCGATGTGCGTATGGGTATGGACATCATACAGAACGCAGGAGTCCACCAGCTGAACGAGGAGCCGCGAGTCGTCCGGGGAAAAGGTGAGGCCGTTTATTCTGTCGCTCACATCGAAGGAATGCAGGAATGCTCCGTTCGAGGCGTCCCAAATTTTCACAGATTTGTTGTCAACAGCGGTGGCGATGAGCGTCCCACGAGGAGTGTGTGCGATTCGGCGCACTGGTCCATCATGTCCCCCCAGACGCATAAAATGGTTCCCAAGCCGAGTATTCCAGATAATCACGGTTGTATCTATGGACCCCGAGGCAAGGGCGTGGTCGACCGGGGAGAATGAAAGGGAAGAGACATGGTCTGTATGACCTTGGTAAAATAGGCGTTGGACTAGTAAGTTGTCGCGCCACACAAGGAGTTCACAGCTCTCAAACGACGCCGCCAGAAGCTTGTGATCGGTGGACAGAGCAAAGCATTTACAATTGGCGGACGGGTTTCGAGAGTCGACGAAAGTAAGCCGCTTGAATTTGAGAGGCCAGGCCTCTGCTTCCGTGGGCCCGATGAAGGCGCGCACGTCCCCAAAGCGACTCGCATCGTCAAAGGCAATGTTTTGCCATTCGGCCAGGTCAGAAGGGGTGATAGTGCGGCGTGCAAGAGCACATTCCTGCTCGTGGGATATGACGTCTTCCATCCACACCGCTCCGACTGGCAGAGAAGGTCACTACACTTAAATACTAGTATTGAGAAGAATGGAGAGACTCACTCCTGCCGTCTACCGCCGCAGGAGGCTGGATAAAACGAAGGTAGCTAGCGAAATCGACCACATTTTTGCCTCCCTGAGCGGACATGAGTACTTGCACCCTGATTAGATGGTTCTGACAACGCGTACCGCAATGATATTTTCGACGTCGTTATCACTCGCAATGGCAGTCTCGACGTCCGTTGTCTGTCGTCCCAGGCTTCTCATATAGCACATGTCTTGGGCCACCAATGAGACGCACCTCAAGAATGTAGTCCAAAAGTATGTCCAGCAAATCGGAGGCCTTGCCCTGGCTCCCGTCAGCTGATGCGCTCTGTGATTCGTCCTAATGGGATACATAGCTCATCATAAAGCTCTATAGTATCCATTTCATCGGGATGTTCCAATCCTCGCACCATAGTCCCTTCCTCGCCCGGACCACCTCTCGCATCTCCTAGATAAGGGAGCAAGTCGTAGCCCGCGCCTGCTACAACCTTCCATAGGACCAAGAGCCGCCTTCGCACCTTGAGCCGCTTCACGAAGACACTCTGGTCCCTCTTTGCATCTGCAGGACGGAGACCAGACGCGTTGTCCAAGTAGCGCTCGCCGTGCCTGTGCATCTTCGCACCCGTCACAGAGCTAGTGTGCGACCCTTCCGCTTTGAGCCCCGCAACGCCGCCGGCGCGACCTTCAACCGAGCCACTGGTACTTGTGCTCGTGTTGCCAAAGGCAGCGACAACCCAGTCGTCCTCGGTCTTGACCCATCCGCTGATCATGACTATGTCTTCCGCCTTGATGTCCCGGAACAGATCGTTCCTGGCGTACGCGTGCCACGTATGGTGATGTCGAATGATGTACTTCTTCAACGCCCGGTTGTCGAATATCGACTCGGCATGTGCTTCACTTTCAAGCACGAGAACTGCGCCCTGCGATGCGCTGCACGTGTATTTAGCACTCAGAGTCGCAGCTACGTCTGAGCCGGCCGTTCTGCAGACTATCAGGGGAAAGACACGTCTCGAAACTGGTCAGCGCACTCACATATCTGCCGATGCACTTAGTGTCTTGCTCTGGACTCCGTGACTGCAATAATGGTCCGGAGCAAGCGGACGACGCCTGGTATCGGTCTTGAGCACGCCTGGGGGTAAGGGCTCTGCGACTTGGAACGGCGGGTCCCAATACACTACTTTCTTCTCGGGAGTAGTTGTATCTAGATTGAAGAGCCTGACGAATGCGCCCTCGCGTATGAATCCAACGTCGCCGATCTGTGGCTCGCCCGACCCATGTGGTTCCGGGTACCAGAGTGCATGGCCCAGGCGGAATGTCTGAAGACTGGAGGAGTAAATCTCGTCCGGAGCCGGTGGTTGACGATGGAGGCGGAACATGGTAGACGACAGGGAGGCTGTAGTATGCGCTGACAAGGTGGGGATCTCATTCGCGCTGTTGGGTCGATGGTGAGTTATTACGGCGCTATGGGCCTGATGATTTCGCACAAGGGTGACTAACGCCCGAATCTTGGTCGATAAAAGCGCATGCGCCGTAAATAATAGGAAGGCTGTTTCGTGTAGCTTCGCGGTTAGAGAACGGGATGCCCCAACATATCTGTGCACAATGACTGTAAGAACCTCGTGTAAAATCGGTGAGCAGCATGATGTTTGGCACGAAAATTGTCCACACCTGCTCGGACCGAATCCAAATACCCTTGCGCATGAGCAAAGCTGAATGCGTTGAAGCCTTGCTCTGGCACTCGCATCGACGACAGGCACTTGCTCTGCGCGTGCAGAGCAAATCGACATCGCAGACGTTCGAAGGAACAGCTCAGCGTTTCGGGTCGATGTTGACGTCACCCGTCGCAAACCCTAACCCTATTTACGCGCTTGCGACTCTGAATAGGCTTGTGCATCAGCAGCGCCCAGTGCTCTCGCCGAAACGGAAGATATAAAGGGTGGCATGCGTCTGGTAAGCTGAGATTGAAGGGGTATGAGCTGCTGCTACGGCCCCGCGTGTGGTGCGAGGACTCCTGTCAGACGTGAGCTAATGCAGAAGAATGCGGCTAGTATAAACAGCACTTACAGATGCGGCAAGGCGGGCTGAAGCCCGGATCATGCTGTGGAGAGTGTTATTTATCAGGCATTGCACTCGGACAGTGGATTAAGCTCAGTCGTCGACTTCTAGACCTCGCTATCGGCGTGAACTCTTCGTCATCTCCCGGACAGTCTGTAACATTTATTCTCCGTCTCTGCAGGCTTCATCCTCTCCTACGCAATCTGCGCCATGTTTCGCACGAGGATGCGCAGAGCTGCCCAAATTCCTTTCGAATTATGCCGTCTGGGGCTCACTTGCCGCTCCCACACTGTTACTACATGTCAATGCTTTCAGCAGGGGCCTTTCCCGCGAGCCAGTATAGATTGGTGGTAAGCACTGTCAGTCATCTGATTCATATATCACAGAACGCTGTCCCATATACTCCTTCTTTCCATGTACTGCGCAATTTCGGCAATCACTTCGGACGATGCGTCCACCATCGCCAAGCACACTGTCGTATGACGGTGACTCGACGGGGGTTCTAGTGGTGTTGGACTGGTTCACGAGTAGAAAAGCGCGTGGAAAGAGGAGACTTCATGCTCGCACTACATGAGACAGGTGTACACATGGCGTCCGACGCGCAGGCTGCAGCGGTCAACTAGCAGCAAAGCACAGAATGAGGACGCCGAGGACGCCGAGGTATGTCAAACGACCCAACGCCACGATCCGTTTATGTAAGCCGTACTTTTCAACAATCGCGTCTACAAACAAGCGCGCTCTCCCTTTCCATCCCCTTGCTCCGAGTCAGCATATGCCCTCAAGTTCGCTTGATCACATAACGTCTCCATCTGATGATTATTCTCGATATGCCAAGATTCAGTATACTTGGATCCGTTGAAGCTTAAAGCTGCCCATCGCGGAGTCAGAAATCCATTTCCAGAGCCACGTTCGCTGCGTGACTACATCTGCGCGGGTCTACGCGACATTCCAACGCGGGCCGAGGGGTTGCAGACTCCTTACGATCCGCTGCCAGTCCTGGTTCTACTCGATGGTTCAAGGTTTGGGCGTCCGTCTGCCCCGTGTGAAGACATCACACCGATGGCGCTGGGCTTGTCCTCCGAGTCGCCATCGATCCCACAGCGTGCATGTACTTGGCACGCTTTGCACTGCCTCTTCCACTCCTCCAACTTGCGCTGCATATACCTTTCCATTCCTCATGTTTCGCTGGTTTCGTGCGCCATCTGCTCCAGACGAGATCTATGCGTCCAGTCTCCAGACGCTCTATCTGGGCCACGCTCTCTGGTACCCCGAGCCGCACGAGTCGGGAGAGCCTCAGATCGGCGATGTGGGCTTCATCAGCGAGGGAGCGTTCATCAGGCTGTTCAACCTCGACACCTCTGCTCCCGAGAAAGAAGTCAAGTTCTGGAACCCGCCATACAAGATCACCGAGCCCGTGCATCCAGACGTATTCAAGGTCGACCGTAGACATCGGCCGCTTGTTCCAGGAAACTATCGTAGTAATGGGGTGGAGAGCAAGGAGATGCATGCCTCTGCGGACATGTGAGTGCGCTAACCAATCCGACGAGCGCATTCCTGCTGACAGTTTGCAGAACGGCTGGTCCCAACGTATCTGCAACTCTCGAAGCCAGCTACACATGCAAGGCAGCGCAAGGCGCGGTTCTCGTCCTCAAGAGCGAAGCGCATGCCGAGAGAATATTCGAGGATCGTCGGCTAACGAATTACATCCTCCAGAACCACGACAAGTGGTGTGCATACGTCAGGGACGACCTCTTCAAGAATGTAAGCCCGGAAGACATCGTCGTAGTCAGCGGGTGGGTCAAGACTGGAGCGGACTGGGCGGCGGTCGCCTTCGGCAACACGAGTACAACCTCCAGTGCTTCGGTGGAAGGTCGTGCTGGCGGCGTTGCCGGGGTCGGAGTTGGCGGATCACACTCGAAGTCCGTTACGGGTCCGAGGGTGGAGCGACAGGGTCAGAACTTCCTGGCGAAATCCTCTAGTTCTCCTTCCACCGAGGCGAAGCGAGACCAGTCCGTCTTCGTGAAGCGACTGATGATACGAAAGCGACTGGGAGTTCTGCGGAAGGTCGTCGCGGGGGCGGGCTATGATCGACTGCCAGGTCCGGGCGATGGACGAGGGGCATCGGGAGCAGTGGGAGCCGCAGTGCAGGATGATAATGATGAGGGCGAAGCAGACGTCCTGAAACTTGGGAGTGAGGTACGTGTTTCATTACCATGTACTCTGGGATACACAAGCTAACAAGACGCCAGGGCAAAGTCTCAGATCCACTAGACGTCCTCCTAGACTACATTCTGGAGGTAAGTACCCACAACAGTTCTGTTCGCCGTGCTGACAGGTAGCGTGTTGATGCAGACTTCTGATGTCAAGGTTGCTATTGCAAGCGATGACGACGTTGAGAGCATCATTGTTCGTGTCGTCATTAATATCTTGAAGCAAGTACAAGCACTTACTTCTACACAGGGCGGCAAACCTGTTGCCGATTTCGCAAGCTATCTCCGTCGAATGCAACCTCCAGTCGAGATCGACGGCACGCGTGAGTATCTCATCTGCCAGCTGTAGCGGCCTCTGACGACCACGCGTAGTCGGATCGCTTCGCATGGAAGATGTAATCTCGCATGAATGGGAACGTACCTTCGGGAATCACACCATCACCGCCCCGGACCTGTCGGAGTGGCCAAATATCGCCCTCGATGTCGCTGGTCGCTTGCGCGATCGGCGTGCCTTCATTGGCCCCACGGTAGACGAGGCCCAACCTGTGAAGCTGAAGTACCTTGAGTTCATCGATGCCCGCACTAGCACCCGTTATATCCCAAAGTTTACTGTATCAGCCGATGGTAAAGTGTTGGCAGCATCATTCTGGACTAACGATGTCCTTATATGGCGCCTATCGGATGGTTTACTCGTTCAGCGCCTGCACCATCAGGGCCATACAGGCAAAATTACCTCCCTGGCATTTTCTCCGAACGATCATACCCTCGTCTCCGGGTCGAGGAACAAGACCGCGATTGTCTGGGATATTCGACGTGGCTGTGCACTTCTACGTCTCGAAGGACATAGCAAAGATGTGGACAGTATTGCGTACGCCCCTCACGGCGCACTCATCGCCACCGCTTCCCGCGACGACAGATCAGTGAAGGTCTGGGACGCATCAACTGGATTATGCCTGCAGTCCTTCAGGATTGGCCAGGACATTCCCAAGCTAGCCTTTTCCCCGGACGGCTCTCGTTTCTACGTCAAATCATCCAAATCCTGTTCTATCTATGATACCAGGACCCACACTCACATTGACGATTTTGACGCGATCTCCTGGGCGATGTCGCGCCAAGGTGACCGCATCGTCACCACCACCAAAACAGACAAGGTTCGAGTCACCGTTCGGAGCGCGACGACTGGTCAAGAGCTCCTCGCGATCGACGAAGGACGAATGCTATCAGAGGACCCTATCGTGTTCTCACCAGACGGCGTCGAGGTGTTGGCGATTTGTGAGACAGATGGAACGGCCACCACGTACGATTCGCGGACGGGCCAACTGCGTCGTACCTTCAAGTTGTCAAGCGTACCGCAATGTGCGATTTACTCCCCGGATGGGTACCACGTCGTCTACGTTGATAAAGCCGGAGGTGTCGAAGTGCATAGCGCGAAGTCTGGGACATTCATTGCGAAAGTCGAAGGATACGAGGGCGGAGAAAGATATGTTATCGCTCAACTTTTATCTGATAGTCAGACCCTCCTGTTGCGTACTGATGACGGAGAACGGCTCCATTTGTATAACATTGAAGATCTATTGAGAATACGATAGTATAGTATTATCTGCTCAGCTCGTTGTACATTACACGTGGCAAGCGCACATTTGTGAATATAAAATACACTTCGGGCTCTAGGAGCTGGTCAGCGCAGCGTCCATGTGGCAAGAGTTTTGGCCTTCACAAACCATACGCGGTGATCTGTTACGAAGGCGTATGGAAATCTCTACACAAGCTGTGGATCCCTGCATTGCAAACGCTAGTTGGTCGACCCGACAATATCTTGCCATCTTCCAAAAGCTTCCGACTCCAACGAACGCAGACGGCGTTGCCGCTGTCATTCGGGATGTCGGTAGCCATCATGCAACGTATGATTATGTAGGCGAGACATAGCAAACGTGCCGTCTCGCGACAAGGTTTACAAGCATTTCTGTGCGCTTCCGGACATAGTTAATCCACAAGACAACGATCGCGGCCTAATTACACGACTCACCATCCACAATCCCGCCCGCAACTTCGCCACAGCCAAGACCGTTCTCGACGTAGACAAGTTGGAGGCGCAGGTATTTTCACTTGTCGCGCTCTTTCTAGTTGCAAACACAAGCGCAAGGCATTCGGCGAGGGGCGATAAACTCAAAGCACAGGCGTTGGCCCGGCTTGCTTGGCATCCTGCGTGATGTTGGCGCGACCTCGACATCAACTAGCGCGACGCAGCTCCCGTATACCCACCTCTCCTCGCCAGCGGCTCTTCGCTAGACCGATGCTTGACATGCGATTCACAAACTGCGGAGGTCTGGAGAGCTTGAGCCTGGAATTCGCGAAACCGCCAGAGGTTGTGTAGGTAGGTCCGCGCTTCCCCGGGCTCCGGGGCCACGGGCGACCTGGGAACAAGCTGGCTCAGTTGTTCCCGCTATCCAAGTTCTTTCGCAGGTATATCTGCCCTGGAAAACTAGACAAAGAGACTTGAGAGTAGTATAGGCCCGTGTTCTAGTAGTGTACATCCCCAGACTTGGAGGACAGGGCTGCGTCTGGGGAAGGCGCGATGTTGTCAAAGGCAGTGGGCTGGAAACGAAGGCCAAGGATGCTCCATGGGCAGACATCAGTATTCAGACAGGCGAATATCGCGTGACGTCACATATCAGCGTCGCGTCTGTCACTCATCGTCACAGAATCTAGGTCGTCACGCCCGCACCCGTAGTGTCGCGTACAAGCGCGCTTCCGTCTTTCATCCCCTTGCTCATCATACAGCCGCACCATCTTTACCTCTAAATTATCCTCGATATACGATGATTCATTTTAAACCCGCTGAAGCTCGAAGCTACATGTCATGGGGCTAGTCCCGGCTTCCACAGCGACGTTCCCCACATGACTACATTTGCACAAGTCTACGCGACATACTAACGCGGGACGATGCACTGCAGGTTCCCCTCGACCCGCTGCTAGTCCTCGACGATCCAATAATCTGGTATCCAAGGTTTGGGCGCCCATCTGCAGCGTGCGAAGACATCAGACCGATGGCGCTGGAACTATCCTTCACAACGTGCGCGTCCCTGGCACGGTTTGTGCCGTCATCTCCACTCTACAAACTTGTGTCTTATATTCTCTCGTATTCCACATGTTTCGCTGGTTTCGTCCGCCATCTGCTCCAGACGAGATCTATGCGTCCAGCCTTCAGACGCTTCACCTGGGCCACGCCCTTTGGTTCCCCGAGCCGCACGAGTCGGGAGAGCCTCAAATCGGCGATGTGGGCTTCATTAGCGAGGGCGCTTTCATCAGGCTGTTCAACCTCGACACCTCTGTTCCCGAGAAAGAAGTCAAATTCTGGGACCCGCCATACAAGATCACCGAGCCCGTGCATCCAGACGTATTCAAGATCGATCGTAGACATCGGCAGCTCCTCCCAGGCAACTATCGCAGCCATGGAGTGGAGAGCAAGGAGATGCATGGCTCGGCGGACATGTGAGTGCGCTAACCAATCCGACGAACGCACTCCTGCTGATAGTTCGCAGAACGGCTGGTCCCAACGTATCTGCAACTCTCGAAGCCAGCTACGCATGCAAGGCAGCGCAGGGCGCGGTTCTCGTCCTCAAGAGCGAAGCGCATGCCGAAAAGATATTCGAGGATCGTCGGCTAACGAATTACATCCTCCAGAACCACGACAAGTGGTGCGGATATGTCAGGGACGACCTCTTCAAGAATGTAAGCCCGGAAGACATCGTCGTAGTCAGCGGATGGGTCAAGACTGGAGCGGACTGGGCGGCGGTCGCCTTCGGCAACACGAGTACAACCTCCAGTGCTTCGGTGGAAGGTCGTGCTGGCGGCGTCGCCGGGGTCGGAGTTGGCGGATCACACTCGAAGTCCGTTACGGGTCCGAGGGTGGAGCGACAGGGTCAGAACTTCTTGACGAAATCCTCTTCCGCTGAGGCGAAGCGAGACCAGTCCGTCTTCGTGAAGCGACTGATGATACGAAAGCGATTAGGGGTTTTGCGGAAGGTCGTCGCGGGGGCGGGCTATGATCGACTGCCAGGCCCTGGAGATGGACAAGGTGCTTTGGGAGCAACAGGGGTCACGGAGGAGGTGGGGGAGGACGAGGGTGAAGCAGATATCTCGGGACTTAGGAGCGAGGTGTGTATTTCATTGCCATGTACTGTGGGATACACAAGCTGACAAGACGCCAGGGCAGAGTCTCAGATCCGTTGGACATTCTCCTAGACTATATCCTGGAGGTGAGCATGTCCAGCAGTTTCGTTTACCATACTGACCAGTCAGCGGGTTAATGCAGACTTCCGACGTTGAGGTTGCTATTGCAAGCGATGACGACGTTGAGAGCATCATTGTTCGTGTCGTCATTAATATCTTGAAGCAAGTACAAGCACTTACTTCTACACAGGGTGGCAAGCTTGTTGCCGATTTCGCAAGCTATCTTCGTCGAATGCAACCTCCAGTCGAGATCGACGGCACGCGTGAGTATCTCATCTGCCAGCTGTAGCGGCCTCTGATGATCACGCGTAGTCGGATCGCTTTGTATGGAAGATGTGATCTCGCATGAACGAGAACGTACCTTCGCGCGTCGCACCATCACAGGGCCCGACCAGGCGGAGTGGCCAAATATCGCCCTCGATGTCGCTGGTCGCTTGCGCGATCGGCGGGCCTTCATTGGCCCCACGGTAGACGAGGCCCAACCTGTGAAGCTGAAGTACCTTGAGTTCATCGATACTCGCAACAACGACATCCGTTTCATCCCAGAGTTTACTCTGTCAGCCGATAGCAAACTGCTGGCGGCATCGTTCTGGACTAACGATGTCCTTATATGGCGCCTATCGGATGGTTTACTCGTTCAGCGTCTCCACCATCAGGGTCATACAGACGTAATCACTTCCCTGGCATTTTCTCCGAACGATCATATCCTCGTCTCCGGGTCGATGGACAGGGCCGCGATTGTCTGGGATATTCGACGTGGCTGTGCACTTCTGCGTCTCGAAGGACATGACCGATCTGTGAACAAAATTGCATACGCCCCTCACGGTGCACTCATCGCCACCGCTTCCCGCGACGACAGATCCGTGAAGGTTTGGGATGCATCAACAGGAGCATGCCTGCAGTCCTTCAGTGTTGACAATGGCATTCACGAGCTAGCCTTTTCCCCGGACTGCTCTCGTTTCTACGTCAAGTTATCCGACTCCTGTTCTATCTATGATACCAGGAGCCACACTCACATTGACGATTTTGACGCGATCTCCTGGGCGATGTCGCGCCAAGGTGACCGCATCGTCACCACCACCAAAACAGACAAGGTTCGAGTGACAGTTCGGAGCGCGACGACTGATCAAGAGCTCCTCGCGATCGACGAAGGACGAGTGCTGTTAGAGGACCCTCTCGCGTTCTCCCCAGACAGCGTCGAGGTGTTGGCGATTTGCGACACAGACAGAACAGCCACCACGTACGATTCGCGGACGGGCCAACTGCGTCATACCTTCAAGTTGTCAAGCGTACCGCAATGTGCGATTTACTCCCCGGATGGGTACCACGTCGTCTTCGTTGATAAAGCTGGAGGTGTAGAAGTGCATAACGCGAAGTCTGGGACATTCATTGCGAAGGTTGAAGGATACGAGGGCGTAAAAAAATATGTTATCGCTCAAATTTTCCCTGATAGTCAGACCCTCCTGTTGCGTACTGATAACGGACAACGGCTTCATTTGTATAACATTGAAGATCTATTGCGAATACGATAGTATAGTATTGTCTGCTCAGCTCGTTGTATATTACACGTAGCAAGCGCACGTTGGTGAATATAAAATACACTTCGGGCTCTAGGAGCTGGTAAGCGCAGCGTCGATGTGACAAGAGTTTTAGCCTTCAGCTTCATAGACCATACGCAGTGATCTGTTACATGACGGGAAGGCGCATGGAGATCTCTATGTAAGCTGGCCTGGCCAATCGGACGGTGAATCCCTGCAGTGCGAACGCTAATTGGTCAGCCTGACAATAACTTGCTATCTTCCAAAAGCTTTCGACTCCGACGAACGCAGGTAACGTTGCCACTGTCGTTCGGGACGTCGATCGCCATGATGCAACGTATGATTTCCTAGGCGAATTACATGACTCACCATCCACGATCCCACCCGGAACTTCGCGACAGCCAAGACCATTCTTGACGTAGACAGGTTGGAGGCACAGGCGTTTTCGCTCAAAATCGGAGCCCCACAAGGCATGCGCTTGTTGGGACTGGGTCTGGACGCGTCGCTATTGTCCGTCTTCTGAGACGCAGTCTCAATGATCCCCCCTGTAGACGGTGCCGTAGCAGACATATTCGAGTGAAGATGATCTGGGATCTGCGATTGGAGAGGCGCCCAGTCTGCTCTGAGGAGCAATGCAGACATCAAAATCAGTACGAATGCAGCAGCAAAGAGCATAGTCTCACCTTAGGACCGTGCCGGGCTTGGCCTGTCCCGTGCAGAGCGGCTTTAACCAGTGCATGAATTTTAACACATTATCGGCACCAGCGTATGCCAGCGCTGCAGGTCAGCCGCGCCAGCAGAATCAGATGCGCTCAATGCGCGGCCGGACCGGAGGGGGAAGAAGATTATGACGACAGAGATGTTGGCGGGAGCAAGAAGCGCTATGGATGGAATAATGCTGCGCAGAGTGGACATACGATTCCGGGAGGCGAGAACGGTTGGAGAAACCCGGCAGGGAGGGGCAAGGGGAGGAATGCAGATAAATTTCGCAGGCTGTCTAGGATGTAACAAACCTGTGTATTATCGACAACTGCGTCAGAGAGCATAGCAGAGTGGTCATTCATGAACTTGGCGGTGGCTTGGCGCATAATGGTCTGATCTTTGGAGTTAAGGTAAAGATATCTGCCACAAAGGACGCAGGCCTGTTCAGAGACGCGACAGCGCCCATAATCGAACGCTTTGTCCCTCCGCGCGGGATGCTACCGAAGCTGTCGCGGCAGTGCTGGCCACTGGTGAAGCATGAAACTAGCTTGTTGCCTGTGCTCTTCCTCAAGCTAAACCTCGATCACTATGCAAGTACATTAGCGACCTCTCTGTGTGCAAGTGCGAGCAAATACCTCTGTAAATATAGCTAGGTACGGCTCGTATCGCACTCTTCCCTAAGGCGTCCTCTCCTGATGTGCAGCTGTATTGGCCTAGCTTGCCGCCGATGCTGCGGAGTCGAATGCTGATAAGAAACACGCGCGGTAAACTGATGAGCAGAACTCACTCGCAACAGGGTGCTGAGGCTCTCCAAAAGCAACAGAGGTAGTGCTTCGCTTTAGTCGCTGCGATATTGAAATTGGCTATTTTCGCGCTCTCATTACACTTGGCAGCACAGTCCTACAGTGGGATATAAGGATCAGTACTTCAGTTCCTGGACATGACATGTCAGCCTGAGAGTGAGTCGAGTATAATCTTCAGCGAAGATGCTTTCCTGCGCGAAGTCACTACCAGAAGAATCCGGGACGGTGCAGTATCTGACTGCGTGTATAGCATTGAATCGCGCTGCTGAGAGTGAATATACGGCCAAGCAATCCATGACACGAATGACCACCAGCAGAGCTGGTGTCAGACGTGCAGGTACAGTTGCAAACGTCAGGCCGCGGGGTCACAGGCTGGTTCGGTTCGCGTGATTTGATCGGCATTTGCCGCTTTGGCGCCGAGCGTAACTTCCAGGTTTCGCGTCACAGATGAAGTTCGAACTTGGTCCTGCTTACGACGCGACGTATCGTTCCAATGACCCGACTACTGACAGCAGACCTTCGCCCGATTATTCTGTCTTTTCCTGGAGTGTGCCATGTCCTGTTCGGGTTTTCGTCCGGACTCACGTTGGTAGACTGCTTGCCTCTGTTTTCTTGGCACCACCACAGCTTCACAGACACCAAGCACGATACTACTGGATTGCTACCACCGTGCAACGCTCGAGACAATGTACTGCTTGGGCCTGTCTTCTCGATGGCGGGCTCGGCAACTGGTGTCTCCTACCGCGAATTCTTGGCGCGCAGTCCTCGACCAGCAAACTTGCTAAGAGTCAGGCGAGCATCCCACAGAGGACCAAACTACGGCCCCTCGTTTTATTGCGCGAGGGACTCACAGTCTCACCGCGTCAAGCCTGGGGACCTCATCCATGCCAGCAATATTGTCCCCGGTTGGGCTCTCGCGATATCCGCCCCGTCCCACCACGGGCTGGAGCGTGTTGCGGCATGTTTGGACCAGCGGCGGCGTGGATTCGAGGTCACACCATTCACAAACGAACCCTGGCATGACCGGTGACGAACCGGTGCAACTTTAATGCAGTATATGCTCGGCGCAGCGTTAGATGAGGTGCCTCAGTGGAGACGAAGTCGTACCGAGGAGCTGGCAAGATGATAGGTGTAACAAAGCTTGCGGGAATAGGCCAGCTATGCGAGTATTGGATCGTAACGCTCTGCGACGATTGCTAATGTGTTGATTCCTTAGGGAGTGTTTGGTCACACGCAAGGCATCTCTTGAGACTGCATACTCGAAGTACAGTTATTGGACAAGCGTCGTCACCCCACTGATGTCGACCACCTTGTATCACAGTCCTCTGGTGCCGCGAATGCCCTGGTGGCGCAGGACAGGGTAACTGGAAGTTTTGTTGTACGTGACGCAGTACACTTGAGAGCGCGAATGCTCACTAGCCTTCAAGGCAAAATTCGGATGTTTGACTTCCGCGGCCTATGCTCGTCGAGCACAACCGCCAGTCAATGCCAATGACACGCGCGAGTCTCGTGTCATTCGATGTCTTAGCGTGATCATGCCGTTCCGCAGCTGCACCCGTGAGCTCTGCTTCTATGAGATTACGCTTCCTTGCCTTTGCACATCGAAACGTCGCGGCGCCCAACCTGGGGAAGCAACCAGATGCCTGCTTCATGACACCGGGAGCCGAGAAGCTGAACAAACCTTTGTCGACACCGCGAACGCTGAGTCTTACCTCCCTGAAGAACAAACACCTTGTGGCCAGGAGCCTCCTGGAACTCTCCACGCGAAGAGACCTCGAGTGGCACGTATGCAGACTATACAAATACGACAAGTGGATTGGAGGTAGCTGGTTCAATGATACGTTAACAGTGCTGAATTTTTTCGGAGACTTGTCGTAACGTTGTTAAACCGAGTTCAAATTTACCTTGTTCTTTCAGCGAAGGCGTCGAACCTGCTGGGTGGCTGCTTACGCTGGCCTGTGGTCGGTACCCGGGGCTTGCCAGACGACCGCCGCCATGCTCGTACATTCTGATCTACAGTAGGTAGCACTGCCGACTGATCCCACGACAATATGCAGACTGAACTTCGAGCCGGCGCGCCCGCCCGTTCGGTAGCAACAACGCAACGCAACGCATCAGACACCACAAAGCACAGGCTACTCTTTTGGAGTATGCCTGCTTTCCTCTAACGACTATCGCATAAGACGTATATATTCCGCGTTGGTCTTGCGTATCACTGGCGTGGAAGCAGCATTCGTGCGAGGCTAATGCGATGACGGCTCGACATTCATACATATTCAATATTCTTTGGCCCGTATTCATCACAAATCGGGACTGGGGCCGGGAGCCGACTTTCGACACGCTTGCTTTTCCGAGGCTTGGGCGTTTGCTTGTCTTCCTCGCGCGAAGCTATCAGGCTAATGGCGCCGGAATTGTCCTCATTATTGATCCACGGCGCGCGTGCGCCAGCTGGTTTCATAGCCACCTCCACTTCCCCGACTTGCCTTACACCGCTCTTCTTACTCTAAATGTTTCGCTGGTTTCGTGCGCCATCTGCTCCAGACGAAATTTACTCATCCAGCCTTAAGAACCTTCACCTCGGCCACGCCTTGTGGTACCCCGAGCCTCATGAGTCAGGCGAGCCGCAGATCGGCGACGTGGGGTTCATTCACGAGGGCGCTTTCATACGGCTGTTCAGCCTCGACACCTCTGCTCTCGAAAAGAAAGTCAAGTTCTGGCCGAAGTTGTTCGAGGTCACAGAGCCGTTGCCTCCGGACGTGCTGCAGCTTGATCGCAGGCGGAGTCCACTCGTTCCTGGCCACTATTGCAGCCATGGTGTAGAGAGCAAGGAGATGTATCCCTCGCTAGATGTGTAAGTCTACTGGCTCTGACGACAAGAATATTTGCGCTGACAATTCGCAGAACTGCTGGTATAAACGTATCCGCGACCCTGAGTGCCCATTACACGTGCAGGGCAGCACAGGGCGCGGTTCTCGTCCTCAAGAGCGAAGCGCACGCCGAGAAGATACTCGAGAATCGACTACTGAAGAAGTACATTGTTCGACACCACGACAGGTGGTACTCGTACGTCAAAAACGAGCTCTTCCGGGATATCAAGCAGGAGATTGTTGTAGTAAGCGGGTGGGTCAAGACCGAAGCGGATTGGGCGGCGGTCGCGTTCGGCAACACGAGCACGACCTCCGGTGCCTCAGCGGAAGGCCATGCTGGCGGCATTGCCGGGGCCACAGTCGGTGGGTCGCATTCGAGGTCCGTGACGGGTCCGAGGATGGAGCGGTAGGGTCAGAACCACCTCAAGAAACCGTCTGATCCCCCTCCTGACGAGGCGAAGAGGGACCAGTGTGTCTTGGTCAAGCGCTACAAAATACGAAAGAGGCTTGGAATCCTAAAGAAGGTTGTCGCGGGCGCAGGCTATGGCCAACTGCCAGGCCCGGGAGAGGGACAAGGTACTCCAGGAATAGGAGTTGCAGTGCGGGATGATGAGGGCGAGGACATAGTAGACATACGGGGGCCTGAGAGCGAGGTACGTTTTTATTACCGCGTTTCACTGGGCGCACAAGCTGACGAGATACAAGGGCAAAATCTCAGGTCCACTGGACGTTCTGTTGGACTATATTTTAGAGGTACACCTACCTAACAGCTCCGTTCATCGTAATAACCGGTCGGTCCTTTACTGCAGACTTCCAACGTGGAGGTGGCTATTGCAAGCGATGACGACGTTGAGAGCATCATTGTACGTTTCGTCATGATTATCTTAGAAGGACAAATATTCATTTCCGCACAGGGTGGCAATTTGGTGATCGACTTTGCGAGCTATCTCCGTCAAGCCCAGCCTCCGGTCGAGGTAGACAGCGCGTGTGAGTTTCTCGCTGCCTGGTGCCAACGGTAGCGGTCTCTAACGATCGTATGCAGTCGGAATGCTTTGTATGGAAGACGTGATCTCTCATGAGCGAGAACAGGCCTTCGCGCATCGTACGTTCACCGTTTTCGACCTGGTAGAATGGCCGAATATCACCCTCGATGTTGCTGGTCGTTTGTGCAATCAGCGTGCCTTCATTGGCCCCACGGAAGACGAGGCCCAAACTGTGAAATCGAAGTGCCCTGAGTTCATCGATACTCGAGACGAATTAATCTCGTCTTCTCCCTCTGTTTTCCCCGTCACCGTCAGCCAACGACAACCTTTTGGCGGCATCGTTCTACACTAATGACGTCCTCGTGTGGAGAGTATCGGACGGGTTATTGGTTCAGTGCCTACGCCACCAGGAACATTCCATGTCACATACAGACCTAATTTGGTCCCTGGCTTTGTCCCCAAACTGCGATACCCTCGTCTCAGGGTCCCACGACAATACCGCGACTATCTGGGATATACGACGTGGTTGTGCACTTCAACGCCTCAAAGGACATAGCGGAATCGTGAACATAATCGCATATGCCCCTCATGGCGCGCTCATCGCCACACGATAAATCTGTCAGACTCTGGGACGCATCAACTGGAGCATGCCTGCAGTCTCTCAGTATTGACAAGGACAAGGGCGTGGACGAGCTAGCCTTCTCTCCGGACGGTTCACGCTTCTACATCAAACTATTCTACTCCTGTTCTATCTATGATACGGAGACCTACACGCACATTGAAGATGTTGACGCGGTTTCCTGGGCGATGTCGCGCCAAGGTGACCGCATCGTCACGACCACCGAAACGGACAAGGCTCGAGTCAAAGTTTGGAACGCGACGACTGGCCAAGAACTCCTTGCGATCAACGAAGGACAAACGCAGCCAGGCCTCGTAACATTCTCGCCAGACGGGGGCGAAGTTCTGTTGACTTGTGAGGCAAACGAAACGGTCAGTATTTACGACTCGTGGACGGGCCAACTGCGTCGCACCCTCAGGCCATCGAACATACCACGTTTTGTGATGTATTCTCCGGATGGGAAGCATGTTGTCTTCGTCGATGAACATAAAGGTGTTGAAGTATATGGCGGGAAGTCGGGAGCGTTCGTTGGGAAGGTTGAAGGATACGGCGACAACGCGAAATGTCATGCGGCTCAGCTTTTACCTGACGGCCAGACCCTTCTGTTGCATCATAGTATTGGCGGGCCTAGGGGCGACGACAGACATGTTCATTTGTATAACATTCGAGATCTAGTGCGGATACGGTAGCACACTATCACTTGCATAGCTCGTTGTATCATGTTACTTGTAGCAAGCGGGCATGGGTGAAGACGATAAACTTTTTATCTCGGATATCGGTCGAGACAATAACCGGGCGGAGGGCATTTCAAGGTTCACAGGCTGTGCGTAGTGATCTGTCGCATGACAGGCAGGCGTATTGAGATATTCACGTAAGCCGAAGTGGCCAGCCAAATGATGGATCCCTGTGATGCAAACATCGGTGGGTATGCCCAGCAACATCCTGTATCTTCCGGCAGCTTTCGACCTAAGCGGACGTCGGCGACCCCGGTTGCCTCTTTCAACTGCAGAGGCAGAATAGTCGCTCGAAACTTTTCCTGTGCACAGCACTGCGACAAAGCTTACGCCCACTAGCGGATCCGTTCCCGACATGGCGCAACTGCAGGCGCAGGTACCCTCGTTTGACATGTAGGGCCTGTGAGGTTTGCGCTCATCTTGATCTGCGTACGAGCGCATCGTCTCCGTATCTCCCGAGCAGCAGTCCTTACGAGCCTGCCTGTAGCCGGTTTGGTGGCCAACAGTGAGCAATGCGGCAAGGGAAGCGCGCTTGGTCGGTGCTGAGAAACGAAGCGGAAATCAACTTCTGGGACGTGCGCGAGAGAAAAAGAATGAGATTATACCTAAGACTGTCCTCAGTCCAGTATGCTATAGGCCCTCGTTCAGACGACGCAGATTGCACTGGCGAAGAGGGGCCATACGCACAGCGTATAACGGCACTGGAGAGTGACTCGGAGACGGCGGCGGAAATGGTGATGAGAGCCGTATAGGCAGCCATCAGTCCCACGCATCGGACATAAGGAAGATGCCAGTGCTGTGCAGAGGGAACATACCGATCCGGACGAACGAGAGGTGCAGCGGGACGAGTAAGTTCATCGAGCTGTAGTTAAGAGCTGATCTGCGTATATAGAATCCTACTAGACGAGGCTGCAGAACGTCACGTTCTGAGCTCACGTTCGCTCACGTTAACTCACGTGCATATGGGCGCTTATGGAACTTACCATCATCGACGTCCACCGGAGGCTGCATTCGACGGAGGTAACTTGCGAAATCGACCACTATTTGGCCTCCCTGTGCGCGAATAAGCCTTTGATCTCTAACTGGATAATTTACACGGTACCTACAGCGGTGGTATCAACGTCGTCACCGCTTGCAATAGCAGTCTCGATATCGGTGGTCTGTTGTCACAAATCTCATGCTCAGCGTGGTGGTGCTAATAATCGAGCACTCGAGCAGAAGTACCTCCAGTATGTAATTGAGAAGGATGTCGAGTGGATCAGAAATCTCGCCCTGATATTTTGTAAGCATGCATTGAGGCTAGTGCGGCACAACATAGCACGTACCTCGCCTTCTAGTATCGGGATGTCCGATTCGTCAAGGTCCCCCTCCTGCGCCATGGCCCCTTCCCTCCCGATATACCCCTGGCGTCTCTTCGATCTGGAAGACCATGGTAGCCTGCGCCCGCGACGATCTTCGTCAAAATTCCAAGCCGCTTTCGCATCTCGTAGCGCCTCACAAAGACGCACTGATCTCTTTCGGCATCTACAAGGCGACGGCCAGACGCGTGCGCCGAGAAGTTGTCACCCTGTCGTTGCATCGTCGGGCCGGTCATGGTGCTCGCGTGTGACACGCCCATGTCAGTCCCCGGAACGCCGCCGGCGCGGCCTCTGACAGAGATGGTAGAGCTCGTACTTGTGTTGCTGAAGACGACTGTGGCCGAGTCGGCCTCGGTCTTGCCCCAGCCACGGATTACGACGAGATTTTCCTGCGTGAGTCGATGCCCGAGGACGCCCGTGGCACAGGCGTACCATTTGCCGTGGTTCCGGGCGATGTACTTCTCCAGGATCTGATTCTCGAATAGCGTCTCGGCATACGTCTCGCTCTTCAGCGCGAGCACCGCACGCCCGGAGGCAAGGGCTGCCTGATCTCGAACGGAGGTTCCCAGAACGAGACTTCTCCTCAAGTGCAGAGGTATCCCAAGTTGAAGAGTGTGATGAACGCGCCTCTGAGTGCGAAGCCGACGTCTCCAATTTGTGACTCCCCCGGCCCGGCGTCTCATGCGGCTCTGGGTACCAAAGCGCGTGGCCTTCGTGAAGCGTCGCAAGACGTGAGAAATAGATTCCGTCAAGTGCAGAGGACGGGCGACGTAGGGTGAACATTAGCGGCGAGTGGGCGGATTTGGTGCAAGTGGGCGGGGCGTTGATGGCGATGTAGGACTAGCGTTGTTAGCCTGATGGTTTCGCACGACTCAAGTCGGTAACTAGCCAGTGTACCACATCTACTGTTCGCCATAGAATATAGGTGCAGATCGTATGACGAGTCGTAGATGTCTCGTGCTAAACTGTCGTTTGCAGCGAAAAGAGAGCAAAAATCATCAGCGCGTCGTGGCGCTTTGGTGCGCCTCAGTCACGTGATTTCAGACGGGCGCGCCTACCGTGACCTCGTCACGTCATGCCTAAGCTCAGCGTCCTTCAGCTACGTACTGCGGTATCAGAAATTCAGTGCTGATGCATTGATACGCTGACGAATACAGGAAGCCAGAGGACCTTTTTATCTTGCAATTTCCACGCTCCAAACTCCGAGGATCAGACATGGACGTCTGGACGCGCGAGGGCGCTGTCTTGATCACAGAGTTACGTGTCTCCAGCTAGCACACCCGAACACGTTCTTGACCATCTCTATCTGTTTCTCTCTTGTAAACCTCCTACGCCGGATGTGAAAGACCGCCAGCGCAGCCGGCGCCGGTCTGCACCGGAGATTCACTCGAGACGCGATCTTGTAGCAGCAGCAGCCCCTAGCGCTTGCCAACGACTGAGAGCCGGAGGCCTGCAGTCTACCATCTGGATCAGTCAGTTCGTTTCTTTTTGACGAGTGACGTTTGAGCTGACCTCCGAGAGCCATGGGTTCAATGACGCGGGCAGGTGCCCAGTAGACCTGTATCTTTCAATGCGACTTTCAGGCTGATTCATACCCTCTTCTGTACGACCGCCGTTCGCGTCTTGGATTTCTTCAAAATATCCGATTATGTCTACGTGAGAAGTCCGGTCGCGCGTCCGTTGTTCGGATCGCCCTACAACACGCTATCCGCTCGCCCTTACGGCAGATCGGCTTGGCACGCGCGCCCTTTCCGGAGCGTCTTCGACATCGACGCGCCCGCACACGCCGGTGTCTCGTCGTGCGGCTTGTTGGCGCTACTTACACCTGCGGCGCTCGTCAACACAGGCTGCGCGTTTTGGCTTGACGGCGTTCCGATGCGCGTTGTCAAGCGGTTTGTCGCGCCTCTCGCCGAACCTGGCGCGATGTTTAGGACATATCGGCTTTTCTTCACGCGCGGCTGGTGTTTGATGTCGTCCGCCCCCCCCCCCCCCCAGATCTGGATCCACATCGGACGGGGCTTCGCGCTCTAGGAAGCTGCAGGTCGAGGGTGTCAATCAGCACACCCGTCCGGCACTGCGGACTCAGCTGGTTGCGCAAAAGTACGTGAACGGGGTCACGTACTGTGTGCTTCCATGAATCTCTGGCGGACGTTTGCATATTCAGTACTCTGACGTCATATTCCCTGGTCGAGGAGTGTGTGGGGATTCAGCCAGTACGTCTTTCTGACTCCTGCCAGACAAGCTTCTCCCTTGTTCAGCAGTTTGTGAGATGCCTTCCATTGACAGCGGCGGCGGACATGCCATGCGTCTTTACTGAACTGGCTGCCACGGTCCCCTGACCGGCAGCCTCATTCGAGAATATCCTGCGCTGCGACGGCCTAGCGTGCAGTAGTTCAGCGGTCGCTGTGAAACATACGCCGGGTCCGGTCAGTGGATATCGTCGGCTGCAAAAGTCTTATGGGCGCCTGTATTTCATGGAATCGTGTCAGTACCCTGAATTCCTCCGGGTATAGAGATGCCAAGGGTCTCATAACGTTGTCCGAAGCTAGACCGCGATAGAATGTAGTCCGAGTTTTGCGGTCGTGGCAAGTCAGGAAGAGGGCTTTGGCCATCCCAGCTCATGTACGCACGTACCACCGTGACTATATGCGTACCATTTTGCGCAGAGGTGCGCTTACATAAACGCTTGGTGGCGTTTGATAGGGGCTAAGCTCGCGTGGCAGCTCCCCTCTTCTCCTCGACGACCAACCTGGTTGAGCTCTTGCCGTCTCCACTCGCTTTCCGGACACCGGATTGCGTTGCGTTGCGTCAAGCTTTCTGTGAATCGAGGTCCCGTGCAAGTCTCTTCGTGCCTCCCGTGACCTGTCATGCGGGGCAGCCCAGCCGCCGTGACAACCAGGCATGTTCACACAATGGTCGCCATATCGGCATATGGGCTGACTTGCCTTATCAAGATGCTGCTAGCTGTTTGGAGCAAGTCCCGTGTTGCGCGTCCGGCCGCGTGACTGCCAGGAGCTTGGAGCCATGTATACATGCTGTCAGAAGGTCGTGTGACGTGATAAATGTGAAGAATGGGCCCCTGGTGCGTACCATGCTTTCTGAGTGTCTTGTATACCCATCGGGTGCACACTCAGAATCATTCTCCTGTGCGGCGGACACGAAGACTGCAGATGCGTCCCACGGCGCTCGGGGCTCGTGCCGACATCCACATCGAAGACGCCGTCACAAGACCTGCAAAGGCAGCCACATGCAGGGACCCTGCGGAAAAGTGCTGTCTTCGACATCTCGGAATCGCGGCAGCGCCGCAGCTGGTCGCGCCCCGCGTGACGCGTACCGTTACGGCAAAGCTCGCCCAAAATGGCTAGGTGGGAACGGACACGACGTTCTGCACCGCATTCGACACTCTATCGGAGCCATCGAGGCATCTCTTCCCCACATCTTCGATGCCCAGCTTCTCGTGCGAGCCCTGGTTGAATGCGACAATGAACGCCATGAGGCACATTCCCAGGCTTCGCTCGTCTGGGAGCGGTCAGCCACCATCTGGGCAGCGCTGTGACTGCGACTGCCCCGGTACGCGCGTGATGCCGACCTGATCAGTCCATCTGTCACGTCTGTCTCATGTCGCGCGGCGTATATATATATATATAGACAGCCGTCCTCCTCCCCCTCGCCGATCCCGTGCCTTTCTGCCCCGCAACCCCGCACCACCACCATGCTCAACAGGACGCTCCCGTTCTACCTCGAGGACCGCACCGGCCAGCTCTCAGAGTCCGACTTTGACGACATGTACGACCGCGTCTTCCTCCGCCTCGCGCCGCCCCAGCCGGCCGCCGCGCCCCAGTTCTCCCGCTCCTTCTCCTCGAGCTCCGCGTCCAGCGCGCTCAGCTACGACAGCAGCGCGTCGTCGCCAGAGTCCGCTGCGGCGGCGGCGGCGCCCTCGGACCCGCGCACAGTCGCGATATACAACACGGGCCGGCGGTCGAGCACGCGCGAGTACCTCAGCGGCCGCCGCACGTCGCGCTCGCTCCCGCGCCCGGCTGTCGTGCTCGAGTTCGGCCGGCACGGCGCGCTCGGGGCTGTCGTGTTCGATCTCGCGGGGAAGGGCCCGGAGAGGAAGGTGCAGATGGGCCAGTGGCTGCGCAAGACGGGCATGTTCTCGGGGTGCGTGTGTCGTGTCCGCGCGCTCGTCGGACTCGGGCTGATGGCGCGTGTCGCTGCTAGGTCGCTCTCGAGGAAGTTTGTCGCCTCGGACGGGCACGAATATAGGTGGATACGTCGACCGAGTGATGGTACAGAGTGGATGGTACGTCGCCTCTTGGTCCTCGCGTGCACAGCGTCGTCCTGACGAACCGCAGCTCGTCACGGCGCCCACCTCGCTCAACGTCCCGTCCTCTCCCCTGTCGTCCTCTCCCACATCATCGCTCCTTTCCTCTTCACCGCTCTCCTCGTCACCACTCTCCTCCTCGCCATCCTCGGTGTCGTCCATGCACGAGCAGCGCGACGCCGTCGTCGCGTCGTACACGCTCAAGCCGCCCTCGAAGCCCGCATACAACACGTCCGGCAACGTGCTCATGATCGGCGAGGCGTGGGGCGGGATCGCTGTCGGTTCGTATTCCGGGTTCTCGTCGTGCTGGCGCGCTGTTGTTGAGCTGACCCACGGACGCCCTGCACAGAGATCCTCGCGAGCCTCGTCGTCATGCGGCACATCGCTGCGCACGGGCTGTGAGGCCCCGGTGTGCGCGGACATACCGCGTCCTACGGGCTTCTCGGCCGGACTTCGTCTCTGTATTGTTTTACTTCATCATTCGCGCTTCGCGGCTTTCGTTTCTTGACGTTGACTCCTCTACTCATATTTGCATGCTCCTCGGACACTCATCCACACTTTTTGGCTCCTCGCATCTCGCATCCACGCTCGCACTTGTACCACTAGCACACTTTTTTTTTTCCCATCGCACTCTCCACGCACCGTGCCCCCCCCCCCCCGGCATATACGCACCTAATCACATAGCACACGACGTTCACAGCCAATTGCGCAATCATCACCATTTCACAGCCTGTTCTCATAAACGTACGATCCCAAAGCAACCCCGCGCAGTCTGGCCATCGGCGTCCGGGCTCGTACATCCGTCCGACTGACAATCGCTGAGCGCCCCGAAGCGCGCTCCAAGCGCCAGTATTTCGCGTCGAGCGCCCGTGCCCCGGCACTGATCGCCGTTCGGGGCGTGCGCAGCGTCTTTCGACAGCGTACGGACGCGCGTCGTAGGCGAGCGCGGTCACGGCGGCGACGCGCGCCGCCAGGGGACCGGGGCGTCGTTCTTGCTGTAACTTATCGGGAACGAAGGAGCCCGGACGCTGGCCCGGAACTCTTCCCAATTCTCTACTGGATGGAACTGCTTTTGCGTGCAAGAGTGAAAGGCTGGGTACGCCGAATGATGGCTGGCCGGCCAGTTTTTCGGAGGTTTGTAAGGGCCCGCTGTGTGCCACAGACCTGAGATTTCTCAGCCCGTCTGTGATGCATGCATACCGGCAGGCTACTCTGTGACCTTGCGACAGAGACTTTGGAAGCACAACATCTGCGTTCGTTGCGCCTACTAACCTTGGGGCCTTCCCTCGTCGCATTTCTCCACAACAGCAATGTTTCCGTATTATTGATTATAAGAAGTTAGAATAGTCAGACATCGCCACACTATATGTATGCTATCGTAATCGCAACACATCCTGGATATAAAGCAGCCGGAGCCGGCCCGAACGAGGGGTGCACGACCAGAGTCCGACTGTCAGGCAAGAACCGCAGCTTGCAGACGTCTCCAAGCGCCTCGAAGCCTGCGAGGAACGCCCCCGACGCCGCATCAAACACCTGCACCGCCCCGCTCGCCCCGCACAGCGCGACGCTGTCGCCGTTCGGGGCGTATGCTGCGCGGCATGGCGTCTCGGACAGCCTGTACACGCGCCGCAGCACGCCGGTACGCGCGTCGTAGGCGAGCGCGGTCCTGTCGGCGGCGCATGCCACCAGGACTTCCGTCCCGTCTGGGGAGAGCGCGACAGGGCCCGACGGTGCATTCGGGTGGGCGATGCTGTGGAGCTCCTTGCCGGTGACTGAACTCCAAACTTTCACTTCGCGTGCCCCGGCAGTGATGATGCGATCGCCGCAGAGCGACCACTGGACTTGAAGCTATCTCTTCTCGTCATGCCGCAACGTAGCGAGACGTGCGTTCGCTTGGACATCATTGATGAGACACGAGGCGGACGACGCGACGCAGAGGCGCGCGTTGTCCGGGGAAAAGGCGAGTTCGGATATGACGGCGTCAACGTCGGCCGCGAAGGAGTGCAAGCACGTTCCAGTTTGGACGTCCCAAATCTTCACAGACCCGTCGTCCTCGAACGCGGTGGCGACGAGCGCGCCATGCGGGGCATACGCCACCGCGCCGACCGGCGCGCGATGTCCGCGCAGACGCAACAGCGCTCGCCCGCTCCGCACGTCCCACACGATCGCCGTCGTGTCGCACGACCCCAAGACGAGCGTGCGGCCGTCGGGCGCGACGGCGATGGCGGACACGATGTGCGCGCAGCCCTGGTCGCTCAGGCGCTGCACGAGCAGGCCGTCGGGCAGGCGCCACACGAGCACCTCGGTGTTCCCGAACGACGCGGCGAGGAGCGTGCCGTCGGGCGACAGGACGCAGTGCTCGCATTCGCGCCGGGGGTCGCGCGCGTCGGAGAGGACGAGCTGCTTCAGCTTTGCGTGCGCGCGCGGACGTGTCCGCGGCGTCGATGGAGACGCACGCGTCCACCAGCTCCCCGGCACTGTCGAGGGTTATGTGCAGCCAGTCCGCCACGTCGGATGGGGTGATTTTGCGGCGGGCAAATGTACTGGCAAGCTCGTGGGAGATAACGTCTTCCATGCACAGAAATCCGACTGGGCGAGTGGTCGTCATGAGGCTGCGCTGTGTTATCTCCAGAAAATCTAATGACTCACACGTGCCATCAACCTGCACTGGAGGCTGTACTTGGCGGAGATAACTTGCAAAATCGACCACTCGATTTCCAGCCTGCGAGAAAATGAGTGTTTGCGCTCTGGAATAACATTTATGAGGAAGCGTACAACAATGCTCTCAACGTCGTCGTCACAGGCGATGACGACTTCAGCACTAGACGCCTGCAACAACAAGTTCACGACTTAACGTGGTCAATTGGATGACTGAGTAGGCTCACCTCTAGCATGTAGTCCAAAAGGACGTCCAGTGGATCATAAATCTCGCCCTAGCACTTCCATCAGTTTCTGCACCTCGCGATACATGATATCGAAACACATACATTACACTCAAGATCCAGTACGTTCACCTCTTCAATGCTCTCGTCCTCCTGCGCTAAGACTGTTTCCGCTCCCGAGGCACTCCTGGCGCCTTCTGAATCGGGAAGAGAGTGGTAGCCCGCGCCTGCGACCACTTTATTTGGAAATATCGCTCGTTTTCGCGTCTTGTGACATTTCACGAAGACCGACTGATCTCTCTTTGCCTCCACCAGCCGGCGTCCGGGCACGCTCGTCAGGTAGTCCTCGCCGTGTCGCTGCATCACCGGTCCCGACTCGGCGCTCGTGTGCATCCCGTGCAGATGGAGCCCCGCCAAGGGTCCGAAACGACGCGCTCGTGCTCGTGCTCGTGTTGCTGAAGGCCGCCGCCGCCCAGTCCGCGGAGGTCTTGACCCAACCGCTGACCATGACGAGGTCTCCACACCGGACTAGACTCCCGAGGTCGCGCGTCGCGTACGCGTACCAGCTGTCGAAGTTCCGGGCGACGTACTGCTTCAGGGCCTGGTTCTCGAATATCGTCTCGGCGCGCGCCTCGCTCCTCAGTGCAAGCACTGCGCCTTGCGCAGCCTTGCAGGTGTATTCGGCGCTCAGGGTGACAAACGCGTTGGCACCAGCCGTCCTGCGATAATATCGACGTAATTTTCTCTCCCAAAAAATTAAGTACGCTTACAGATCTGCTGGGGCGCGCGGCTCCTTTCTCTCGGCACCATGGATGCGATAATGATCTGGTGCGAGCGGGCGGCGCCTGCGGTCAATTCTGAGGAGCCCCGGAGGCAGCGGCTCTGTGATTTCGAACGGCGGCTCCCAAAACATGACAGCGTTCTCGGGCACAGAGACATTGAGATTGAACAGTCGGATGAACGCGCCTTCAAGGATGTAGCCCACGTCGCCGATCTGCGGCTCGCCCGACTCGTGCGGCTCCGGGTACCAGAGTGCGCGGCCTAGGTAGAGCGTCTTGAGACCGGATGAGTAGATCTTGTCTGGTGTAGATAGAGGACGAGACCAGCGGAATAGTCGCATAATATCTGAGATATACGTAAGACGAAAGGTGGGAAGCAGTCCGGGAGGGTGAGGGGACTGGGGAAGAAAGGTGCAAGGCCCCGGCTGGGACGCGTAAGCACTCTAAGTAGATTCCTGAGTTAGGACGTCATCAGTTTGATCATCTCGCGCGATGTAGCGGGCACCCAAACCCTGGGTCAGTGTCTTGCGAGACCATTTCTTCCTGTCTTCATGCCGTATGACAGCCCGGGAATGCGAATTTTGTCTTTGGCTGGAGCACTCGAGGCACTATTCATTTAATAGTGATGCTTATTTCATAATAAGGAGCCCCATCAGTGCGTCCAAATATTACGGATGAGTTACTTTAACACACACGGAAAGTAGCGGTTATGACAACAACACCACACAACCTCTGATGCGGTAACAGCGATACTATGATGGCAGTCATAATGCTGATACGGGGGCTTTGATACTGCGTACAGTTCCGAATAGAGTCGCTTACCGCCGCGCGATGGTGGCTGCCGGGGGTTCGTCGTCGTCGTCCGCGGTAAACTCGGCGATACCTCAAAAGGAGTACTCTGCATAATTGCCTCGTGGTGTTTGATGCGCCGCCAGTCACGTGGACGCGCGCCGATCTTCCATGTTACCGTGAGAATGATCCGCACCTCAGCCCATACACTCAAGCTCAGTCATCAACGTCTCAAACTTCGATGTTGCAGCTTCCTGCCCATAAAGTAAACCTTTTCACTATAACAACTCCCATTTCTATGCTGACCTGGCTGCGGTAGGTTGGAATCATTGGATCCAAGACGCACCGGCCGGATGCACTGGCATTCAGCCTGGCGGGGAGCGGCTCACTCCGTTGTATTAATTGTCGTCTTTTCCCACAACATAAAATTTCCCAAATTCGCACCGACGACGTACTCACGCTATGAAATATATGGATGAACCACTACAGTCAATAAAGGAGCGTACAGGATGGACAATCAGACAGACAAAGTGTAATGCGCTCGTCTCATTCCCACGAAGCTCCGCCGCGATACCTCGAGATCGGTGGTTATTTCATCAGCGTATCCGCAAGACGTTCCCGACATCCCACAAACATATCGCACCTGTCTCATCGGCTGTGAGAAGTCGTCGGTTATCCGGTAGAAATTGTATGACTGATGTATCTGTAGCGTTGGGGCCCCGAAACTCTGCCACAAACTTCATGGATCTGCCCATCCATACCCTGATCTTTCCTTCGCGATCCGCGGCGGCGAGCAAGTTGCCATCAGGTGAGAATGTTATTGCATTGATGCCGGTCTCCATGCTGGTCATACTTGATTGCGTCCCCGTAGAAGCATTTTGAACGATAGCAAAGGCGTCGTGCGAGGCGGTTGCGAGGCGGCGGCCATCCGGTGTGAACGCAGCGGAAGAGATGTGGTCATGATATTTATCGATCTTTACGAGCTTTTCGAAGCTGTGCGCGTCGTATATATGTCCAACGCGGTTGCCATCATTTACGAATAGACGGTCTCCCTTAGGGGAGAATGCGCAAAGGCAATCTTTGGCAGACCACAGGACGGCGAGTTGGATCACAGGGGAGCCTGGGTTATATACAACGACTGAGCTACTTGTCTGCGCGGCCAGCCGTGAGCCATCCGGGGAGAACTGAATATTCTGCACCGGAGAGTCATGATGGTAGTTCAAAGACGGTTCTCCACTTGAAGCGTTCCAGATCTTCATCAAACCATCTTCGGCGCCAGTTACAATGCGTGACCCATCGGGTGCGTATGCGATGGCATTGACGGGCTCGCTATGGCCCTCCAGACGTAGGAGTGGATCGCTGGACTTGACATCCCAAACCACGACGACGGCATCCAGCGCCCCAGAGATCTGCTTGCCATCGGGAGAGAATGCGAGAGCAAGAATCGTAGCAGCGGGGTCTGTCGCAATGCGTTGCACGTTAAAGCCGTCTGACAACCTCCAGATCATGATAACATCGCTGTCCCATGTAGATGCCAGCAATCGTCCGTCCTTGGAGATCGCGAACGCGTGCTCAGCGCTGTCTTCTCCCGACGGATTGCTGAACACAAGGTACGGCCACTTGTCCTGTCCCATCCTCGTTTCTGCGTGTGATGATAGGCGTGCGGTAGCTCCGTCCAGGCTGCCAGCTCCAGCCTGGGTAATACGCGGCCATTCGCCGAGATCCACGGAGGTGATGTGGCGTCGTTCAAATTGGCGAGCCATCTCTTTCGACAGTAAGCCAGGGATCGAGATCGTTCCACCTGTTATGAATATGAAAATCGTCAGCTCTGGGAGTATGTTCTTGCAGTGTACATCAGTACGCACACATGTCATGCACCTCAACTGGCGGCTGGACGTCACGGAGGTACGCTGCAAGATCCATTGGCCAAGCATTGCCCTAGTAATCAGGTAAGTCCGTTTGATTCGTGTTACGTTCGAGCGCAACTTACCCCTACAATATCCTCCAGGTCCTCATCCCGAGCAAGTGCAACATCCGCGTTCGATACCTGCAATATACAGTATCAGTCCTTGTAGGGAAGCCCGAAAACTTGAGGCGATCTCGCACCTCAAGGATATAGTCGAGCAGTATATCTAATGGATCGATGCCTTTCTGTCGGTACAATCAGTTGACCATACGAGACTAGCAGGTTTAGGTGCTCACCGCATTCATTATATGAATAGTCTGTTCGTCGAGATCATCTTCGTTTTCTGCGCTGCCTGCGACCGCGAGACCCTCTTGGGCACCCCACCCATCGCTCCCACTGGAGGACTTATCATACCCTGCGCCCGCCACGATCTTGCGCAGAATTATAAATCTTCTCTTGATCTTATACCGCCTGAGAAATAGGCACTGATCTCGTCTTAGATCTGTTAGAGGTGTACCCCGAGGCCTCGGATACATCGACCCTTGCCGGTGCACCCTGGGGCCCGACAGAATCCGGGAACGCGACCTGAAGAGCTCGAGGGAGGCGAATCTTCCCGCCTGCCCTTGCACAGACGCGTAGTGCTTCGTGCTGTAGCTGCTGAACGTGGTCGCTGCCCAGTCTGCAGAGCTCTTGGTCCAGCCGCTCACGAGCACGATGTCCTCTGGACGTATGTCCTGCCTGAGCACGTCGCGCACGTACGCGCACCAGTGCTCGTGCTGCCGCACCATGTGCTGCTTGATCCGGAGGTCGTCGAACACCGTCTCTTCGTGCGCCTGGCTTTGCAGGACCAGCAGCGCCCCCTGTGTTTCTTTGCATGTGTACCCGGCACTTAGTGAGGCGACAGCGTCGGAAAGGGCAGCACTGCGGCGGGTAAGCTCGGTCAAGGGCTCAGCTAGCTCTGCACTCACACCGATACGCTACCAGAGGTCTCTCTGCGATAAACTCCTCGGCTGCGATACTGATCGGGAGCTATTGGGGCGTGTCGTCTGTCGGCGCGGAATACCCCTTCAGGCAGCGTGTCTGTCGGCTCAAAGGGCGCGTCCCAGAAGGTAACCGCATAGTCTTCCTTTGACGTGTTGATGTTAAAAAGTCTTATAAATGCGCCTCGTGACACATAGCCTACGTCTCCGATCTGCGGTTCCCCTGTCTCGTGAGGCTCGGGATGCCATAGGGCGTATCCAAGCCCCAGGCAGAATAGACTGGAAGGGTACACAGTGTATGGGACGGGTGAGTCTTGAGAGCTCTCGGAACGAAATAGTTTGAACATGGCAGGGTTGGTGAGGAGATCAATAAGCCTTTGATACAAGAACAGAGTGATGGTGCATGAAACTGTAGACAGTACGCGACGGATTGATCGATGTTAGCTGGGTATGGGCGTCATTTGAGCAATTTTTCACACGATAAAAGACGCATTTCCAGTGCATTTTCAGCGGTAAAATGGCACCTTCTCAGAGGCGCAGATAAAACTGTTCGTTTCTCTATCTTACGAGCCCCTGGAAGCCGCCGCAAATTGTCTAACAGCACTTTGTAGTGGAACCTCGACCATGGCCGATACATGGTATCCCGAATGCCCTTTATCGTTGTTTCAAGTACAAAAGCGCGCTAAGTCCCACATTAATGCTAGCACTGCGTAACACTCCAGGCTTTATATTATGGGAAAGTGGAGTTACCATAGAGCTTGCACGCGGCGCCTCACGCAAAGACTTGTGCTCAATGAAGTACCTAGGCGTTCGAAAGCGTAATGGATTAATGGCCGTTTCAAGGCCTAATGGCTAATCCCTGTGATTTCTGCGCACAAATTGGCGAAAGAGTGGGATAGTACCTCTTTGGAGGCCGGCTGAGCAACCGGCGTATTGTCGGAATAGCGTTTCGGCATCTTCCGCACCAACCGGAGTTCGGCGCTTCGGGGCGAACCAACTCGTCTTTCGACCAACCCAGCAACAACGCGACTATCTGCAGACTGTGGACGTCGCAGCGCTACTTGAATGACTCTTCACCTTTCATAGACCTCCCCGGTCCACGCAACCGCGTTACCTCGAGCTCTCAGTACTTCAGCCCTCTTCGCGAAATTCCTCACGGATTGTGTCACCTGCGACTGTCCCTCGACCCTACTTTGGCCAATTAAACATACGCCATCCTGCATAGATACTATGTGTGGTCGGAGGGCTGTCTGAAGTACTCGATGAGTCTGACAGCTTGTTCGCGGCAGAACACGTTCGCTCAAGATCAGTACTTCACCACTGAAGTGTGTTCCGTGGTTAGGGCATGCTCGCTATATTCGCTACCTTGCAAACAGTGACCATAATCTGTGCTACGAGCGGTGGGATTCCGCGCATTTGTTGCCCATGTTTCTTTCGTCGTCCAAGGTTTGTGAATCTCATCTTCTCTGACGTTACATGCGACCAGATATAATGTTAGGCAACCTTCATGTCAATACACCCGCCTTCTCGAATCATTCAGCACGAAAGAGATGGATCGGCTCATTTCAACATCACCCTTTCCGCCTACGAGAATAATGATCACGATTTGTTTTCTCTACGTGATCGAGTCAACCTCTTGAGTGCTTCGATTGAGTTTCGAGCTGCGCGAGGTACAGTCTGCTGGTATGTTAAAACAGTACATTTAAAACCATCCGAGCAAGACATCGTTCAAACGCTTGACGAAGTACCTCGAAGGTCATATTAGAGATACGAATGGAAAGGTACCATTGCAACCCCAATCCGCTTGCTGAAAGCATTCCAAACATGCGCCGACTGCATCTGAGACCTCAACACAGGTGCGAAACTTCTGTGGACTGGATAAGGTACCTCAAGGACGTGCATGCGGCTTAATGGCTGACCATTCTGCACTCCCTTCGAAGCAGCTTAGCAGCTAACTCTTCGTGCGTTCGAGAGTCGCCTGCAGCATGGCCTCGGCCATGCAATAACCGGTTCATTGGACGACGGTAACCGAGGTTAACACCGGATAATGGAAAGGCATGTGGCGACCCTCTATATATCTGCTTCTCGACTAGTCTTTGTACAGTTGCTGATTGAATGTCTATGTAGGCAAACACGGACCTTGGATCTTCTGGAAAGACGGCGCACGCGAGGGTGAGTTGCGCCGGACGTCCACCTCCTGTTGTTGTTGTTAAGCGTCAACGACATGAGGTAGCGCGGACTTGCCCTGAGGGAATTTGGACCTGAATTGGCCCGCCGAGAAACTCCGCTGCCTTTGTTACCCTATAGTACGTTTCATCGTTTGCATGCTTAGGCATGCGTCATCGCCCTCATACATTATCGCAAACACAGGCTCTCGGCCGCTCCACAATGTCAAGTTCGCTCACTTCACGACCTAGTTCCACAACATGCGTTGGGACACGAAAGAGTCTGAATAGCTCGCCGGTTTAAAGCGGCATAAGATGGCTTAGCAGGCGGTCGCATGCATATGAGCCTCGAAATCTTCACAATGTCGTAACCGTCTGAGATCATGATTTGCAGCGCTCAGAACCTGATTAGTGTTACCTCCCATGGGTTTGCGACAGTGAAAACAACCATAACGAATTTCTGATGGACTACCTACGCGCCTCGCAGGAAAGAAGCGGGATGATGCGTCCTAAGATCTCCACCGCGCGCTGAGCCGTGCGAAATCACCGGAAAAGCGCGCTCCCGGTGCCTGCCGCGCCACGAGGCATGGCTGTTCTACCAACAACGCCCAGGCACGCCCTGCTTACACCCACCACATCCAACCACCCCTCTTCTGTAGGATACCCATGGCGAAACCAGCCGGTATGTTGTTTTTGCTACGTGGTGGGATGATAAGATAGCTCATCCGCTCGCCAGGCCAGAATGACCCTGAACTGTCCCCTTCGTCAATTGGAATCCCGCAAGAGCTGATCGACAAGGTCGTCGACCACGTCGCGGCTCCATTGAGGGACTCAGACGGACACTTGATTCTCCGCAAAGATGCGCAGACTGCTAAAGATCTCTTTGCGCTTACTTTGGTCCCGAGGCTGGAGGCCAGTAGTTCGCGAGTCCTATTTGGTCAGCTCACCATCGGAGACGGAGATCGCACCGTATCGGCTTTCGCGTCGGCTGTGAAGGGCTCGCCAAGAATCTCAGGGGCCATCACATCGCTAACGATCGACCTAGACGACTGCGATGTCTATCGATCTGCGCCGATCGAGGATCTGGAAACGATACTTTCGCACCTGCGCAACATCGTCAAGTTGCGTATCCACGATAATAGAGGAAACACCAGACCGTCGCTGCGCAGACAGAATTACCAGACGGAACAGAGTCCTGTTGCACTTCGAGAACTCCAAGAACTTACATTGTCTTCTCTCGACATTGATGCCGTTCTCCAATGCCTCGCGCTCTTCACCTCAGTCACCGAATTGAACCTGGAGAACATATTCTGCTCCAGCGTTCCGATCTTCGGGTTGTCGAACGACTCTTCCCGTCCTCGCCTGAGGGTGAAGACCCTTCGCATTACTGGTTGCCATCCTGCCCTTGCGGGACTCCTTTCTCAAGTTATCGACACCCAGTACCCAGTTGATAGCATTGGTCTCTACAACGTGTCCTTCGCTCTGGAGTACAAGGCGCTGCGGCATCTTCTCCGCACTGTTGGTAGAGAGACTGCCGACGTCAGGTTGGAGCTCACAAACCGATGGGCGAAGAATCGTACGTGAACTTACCTGTATGCAGTCCATCACTGAGCCAAAATTACTATCCCAGCGCACAGCGTGCATCCAAAAGTACTCTTCTCAGCCCTAGCCGATTTTTGGCAGCTGCGAACTCTCCATATCTTCGAAGATTCTGACGTGGTACGTGGTGATGATAATGCATGCCGAAGTTGCTAGACTAATATAACATCCTCAGGAGGAGCCGGGATTACTACTTTTTTTCTACATGACACCTCATCTTCCGTCCGATCTCCATCGCTTCCGCCTCGTTCTGCGCTTTTACCCGTCGGTCGTTGAACATATCAAGTCTGACGCATTTGTACGCGCCATAGAGGAGTTCCTCGCCAGATATCCGCGCTTGTCCAGCTTCGAAATCTCCGTCGATCTTCGAGAGTACGTTAATCCGATCGACCCTGCTACAGAGGCACGGGAGGCAACCGAAGTGCTGAAGGCTCAGCTGTCCTACGTCTACCGAGACAGAGTATCCTTCGTCACGGCGTGCTCCCCCTACTACGTCGACCTCACCCACCACAAGATCTCATTGGGCACGCTCTAGCTTTCATCAAGTCCTCGTCTTGACTCTCGAGTTCTCTCGACTGCGGTTGTCTAATCTACGTTTCTAGATACCTCCTTGCTTCATGAAAAAAGCTTGTCAAATGTATTTTTATTCCCAACTTGCTCTACTCGAAGCTATGTATTCTCTTCCGCCCCCTTGTTTTGCCTGAGACTGGGATATAAACCCCAATGAACTAGATGGCCGCAGATTGCAGATGTTCCGCCGACTGAGAGTAGAGGTAATGCTGGTCGGATTGACTTGTTTTGTGTGTGTCCGTGTTTTGCATATGCTACATCTTACTTCGGTTCGCAAAATGGATATAAGTAGGCACCACCGGATGAGGTCTCAGAACGGCGCATGTTATCTGAGTCGTGCGAAAGGATTTGCGGAGGATAGCGCCCACGTCCAAAATGCCCAGAAATGCGCGTTAGCTCTTTGCGGCTGTCGCACATTCGCTTCAGCACTATATGAACCTCTTGATATTTCCGTCAACTTCACCATGTTTGAACTGTATCGTTCCTCAAGTACTCCTGATCCGACCTCTCCTTACGTCGTCTATCCCTCAAGCATGTTCTCGTTGGACCTAGGGTATGCGCTATGGTATCCTGAACCCCATGACTCGACAGGCAAGCCCGAGATTGGCGATGTAGGATACGTTCGCCATGGCGCGTTTATTCGCTTATTCAACATCAACACTTCCGAGCCCGACCACCGGGTCGGTTTCTGGAAACCACCGTTCGATATCACAGATCCCCCCACTCCTGACGTCTTTATCCTCGACAAACGGCATAGACCTATCCACCACGGCCACTATCCTAGTCATGGAGTGAAGAAGAAGGAGCTGCATGGGTCTCTTTCGTGAGCATAGCTGGTTTGCGACGAATGCGGCGCACGCTGACGTCGTGTAGTCTTGGTTTCTCCGAGACTGCAGCCGCTGTAAGCGTAGGCTACACATGCAAAGAGACCCAAGGTGCACTGCTAGTGCTACAGAGCGAGGCTTACTCCGAGGCTGTGTTCGAGAGTCGGCGGTTGAAGATCTACATGGCACGTCAGCACGAACACTGGTGCGCTTACGTTCGAGATGTCCTGGGGCACGAGGTAAACACGGAAGACATCGTGCTTGTAGGTGGATGGGTCAAGACATCTGCCGACTGGGCCGCGATGGCGTTCAGCAATCTAACCACAAAGCGCCATGCCGCGCTTCAGGGCAAAGCCGGGCCATTCGCTGGCTTCAGGATCTTGGGGTCGCGCACCAGGGTCCAGTCGGGCCCCAAGATCCATCGCCAAGGGTTAAGGTATCCGAGATCCACAAATGAACCTCCAGCCGAGCTCGAACGAAACCAGTCCATCTTCGTGAGGCGATACAAGATCAAGCGCAGATTTATGGTGCTGAAGACGATCGTTGCTGGTGCGGGCTACCACCAGCTTTCGGAAGATCGTAGTGAGGGTGACGCGAGGGATGGACTCATGGCTGAGGACAATGCGCTCGATGTAGACCTTGAAGGAGACGGTTTGCAGTGGTTGGAAGAAAAGGTAAGCTGTGTTCTGCGGGCAACCAACGAAGACTTATTGATAATAAGCTCATAGGTTATCGATCCTTTGGACGTCCTACTTGACTATATTCTTGAGGTAAGACGACATGACTTTGTCTTCTGAAGTCTAAGTGCGTAACATTGCACAGGTATCAGATGCCGATGTTGCCATCGCCTACGATCAGGACGTCAACAGCATAGTAGGGGTACGTGCTTGTCTTAACAGGCTGTATTATCACTGACCGTTTCCATGGCAGAATAATAGTTGCCCTGTAGACTTTGCGACGTACATCCGCAAGATTCAGCCACCTGTCGAAGTTAAGGATCAATGTGAGTGTCCGTCTAACAAACCTGGTCAGTCGCGTTAATGTATTGGGTAGGTGGGACAATTTCAATATCCGACCTACTATTCAGAGAGCAGTTTGAGAAGCTGGAGCACCGCCTTATCACCGCTTCTGACCTTCGTAAATGGCCCAAGATCACCCTTGACGGTGCCGGCATATCTGCAATGGCCCCTGTCCAGTTTACAGACGACCCCGAGCTGTCCCTCATGTTGCCAACGAAATGGCGATACCTCCGCTTTGATACTCCACCTACGATGGACAGCGCGCAATCTGCCGTCTTTGTCTCTTCTCCAGATGGGCAGCTGTTGGCGGCTGCCTCAGATGGGCGGGAGATAATCATTTGGAGACTGTCAGATGGGCTATCAGTCCAGCGACTAGGGTATGAAGGCCATGTAGGATCCATCACTGCAATTGCTTTCTCGCCAAATGGCAGCAATCTCGTCTCTGGATCTACCGATGCGACCGCAATCGTCTGGAGCATTGCGAGTGGGAAGAAAATCTTCCACTTCGTAGGACACCATCAAGCGGTGGAACACGTTGCATATGCGACCGACGGCACGCGCATTGTGACTGCTTCTTGGGACAGCTCGGTGAAGTTCTGGGATGCCAGAAGCGGAGCGCCGCTATGTCACTTCCCTTTTCGACAACCGATACACGAGCTCCTCTCCTCTCCAGATGGTTCCCGACTCGCTGTGCGACTGGACATGTCCGTGGCGTTGTTCGGCACAGCTTCCGGCGAGCCAATAGTGCGGCTCGCGGTCTTCGAATCCCCCAACCGCGCCAAGGCACATGGCGTCGCGTTCTCACCAAGTGGCGATCGTCTAGTCGTCTTGGCTGTCGACGATGTTGGGAGCGGTGGGCGCATATACAACACTCGCGACTGTACGGTAGCTACGAAACTCGAACGATTTGGCGAGCTGTTATCTGCTGCCTTTTCACCCGACGGTGGTGAGCTTGTAACCGTTTCGCACCACAGCGCGGCCATAATTTGGGACGCACGAGATGGTAAAATGCTAATCGAATATCCTATCGGATCTCCCGGAACTGCAGCAGCATTTTCGTCGGACGGCTGCTTCATAGCCGCCGCGGGCGGTGTCGAGGAAGAAGGGAACATTAGAGCATGGGACCGGGAGTCTGGACAGGTTATGGCCGACTTTGGGTCTCCCGTAGCGGATATCCATTATGTTCGGTTCCTTCCTGATAGTCAGCGGCTGCTCACTGTTTCCAAACAGCGAACAGCTTGCTTGTGGAGCGTCGGCGACACTTTGCGCATACACTAGCACGCGGTAGACTACCGTCAGGCTGTCGTCATCTCGCAGTTGTTGACCACAACCTCGAGAATCAGTTGTATAACCATGTAGATTCGCGAAGGCTGCTGTATATGCGTGCACAATACATTGGTTCGGCAGCTGAACGCGGGCATCTTTGTGCCACAAAACGGCGAGCTCTTGGCGGCCCCATCGTTATTTTGCATTACCGTCTGGCGACTGATAGACGGCCGTACCGTGCAACATTTCATGTGGAGACGAGCGTCGTAGCAGAAACGTCATATTTATCTCATTCTCCGCCGACGCCAAGTACCTTGTCTCTAGCACCACAGACAATATCGCAACTGTTTGGGACGTCCATTATAGGCGGCCAACTGTTCATCTGGAAGGCCACACGGATATCATCAGTGCTGGGGCATTTTTTGCAAACGACCTGCGCTTACTCACCGCGTCTCTCAATGGCAACTTGAAGGTCTGGGATGCCAGGAGCGGAGTGCTAATCTGCAACTTCTGCAACCTTACCCCCATGGGCTCATCTTCAAGTAAGATTCTCGATGACTACGACGATGCTCGCACGTTCCACCTCCGGTGGCGTTCATTTCGCCAATATCGAACCGTCAACGGTGACACTGTACGATGCAGGCCCACCTATCATAGAACTTTGTCACTTACCTCTCCCCTGGGCGGTCTGGTTCTTTCCTTACAGCGGCCTGTTTTTCTTCGACAGTTGCTTCTTCTGTCTTGAGCATGAAGACGACAACGTAGAGCTGATCGACATGGGACCTCAACCAGCGGTTATTCCAAATGTGACCTATGAGGGACGACATGCGCGATATGACTACGTCTCGGTCGATAGCTCACTCGCTGATTGGAACCGTCGGAGGCTACGCAGGATAGAGCTCGCTGTGCGTCGAAAGTACGCGGGCGTGTTTGAGACGCAGACCTCTGCGCGCTCACCGAACGGTACCTTCCGAGCCGATATCGTCGTTGGGGAAGACGAACAGTCGACAATAGTATCGACATCCGATAGGCGTCGTATCGCAACATTTTACCCTCCTCAACCACGGCTGCGCCCGGAAGAGGCCAAGGCCATCTCGTTCCTCTCGGATAATCACACAATAGTCACCGCAGGAGCTAGAGTGGGGCGATATATGTGTGGAACGGGGATACGTTGCGAATGAGGTAGTGAATGACTCGTGAGGCGGATGGTTTGGCGACGGAGGCAGGTGTCCACTTTCGCGAATGCCACCGTCATAGCTACAGAGATGGCAAGAAGTATATGTTGGGTAATAACACTGGACGGGATAACACCGTTGATACGCGCGGGCTGATCAAATGCGAGACGTGTTCAAGGTCCGTTAGGTGTTGAGTTTGCTAGGGCGATCACGCGTGCACATGTCGGCAGAACTTGCCAGCGTACCGACATGAAGACAGATATGCACCTCTCCGATATGGGTTTCTGGGCGAGTTATCCACTGATTTATTTTCAGTGCATGAGCAAGGGTCTGCAACGTGCTTTAGCTTACAAAATAACCCCTTGGCGCGCTGGTTTGTGCCCTTGACGCCTGCCTCTTACCTGCCTTCCAAAATACGGCCCTTTGATAACTTTCTGCTCCGAGATCCACGACCCCGAGCCCCCAAGGCCGGGAGCTTCCATAGTTTCGACGTATCTGGTTGCAAGAAACGCTGTTATGCGAGTAGTTATTGTAGGGCTTCCATGAAATTGAGTAAAATCAAGATAAAATGGATAAAATTAGTCAAGATGGCTGCATAAAGTATGTCATTTAAGAGACTGCTAAGGTCAGAGTAACTGGATTAATAAAAGTACCCTGACACAAGAATTCAGCCATACTTATCATTGTCCTGAACAAGAGCTGTTGAAGTTCGCCTGCAGGAGCCCGCTATACTGACACATTATTTCCAATCAAATAGCTGAAAATAAGTGTGACATAGCCACAGGGATTCATGTAAACCCTCGCCTGTGTTTGCAAACGCACCTGTTTCGGGCCTGGACGTTGAGGGTGAGCGCATGCTTCACGTGACTGTGCGAATAATAAAACAGGTGACGCGCGCGAAGCGCGTCCATGTCCGCTTCTCTTCTGCTGTCGGCGACCAAGTTCCCGTATTGCGTCTTTCGAGAGCTGCGAGACGGCCCTCGCTAACTTCAACCATGTTCATGATCTATCGTCCCTCGCGTTCACCAGACACACCCACCCCTGACAAATCTACCCCGCTGGTCTCGCCTTGCTCGGCCAAGGACACGCCCTCTGGCGTTCGAAACCATAGGCGAGCCGCAGATTGGAGATGCCAGAGGGGACGCTTGTCAGGCTCTTCAACATCAATAACGCGACGCCAGAGCATCAAGTTTTGTTCTGGGACACGCAGTTTGAGATCGTACCGCCGTTACCACCGAACGTGTTTTGCGTCGATTAACGCCTCAACTCTATAAGAGCCGGCCCGTTCTGCGGCCATGGCGTCCAGGAGAGAGAGACCCGGGGATCTATCTCTGTGTGAGTGCAGAACTCTCGGAATCTTGACGTCGTTTTGATGATTCAGATAGTGCTGCATTCGCGGATACGGCCGCAGGCTTCAGCGCAGGTTATACGTGCAAGGACGTGCACAGCACGCTCCTCGTCCTCCAGAGCCACGTTACGTCCGAGACCGTCTTCGAAAGCGAACAGCTCAAGCGGCATATGGTCCGCCAGCGCGAGCACTGACGTTCGTATGTGAAGAACGTTATCAAGCTTGACGTCAGGCCCGAAGATGCTATTCTCGTCAGCGGATGGAGTCGTTCGCCGATTGGGCTGCTACAGTGTTCAGCAACACGAGCAAAGAGCACCGTGCGTAGGTGCAGGACAAGGAGGGAAACTTGTAAGACTTGAGCTCTCTCGGTCGCGGACAAGGGCGCCGTCGGGTCCAAGGGCCCATCGACGAGGTAACAAGGCAAGAAGTACCCGCGGCCTGAAGGGATCCTCTGACTGAGCTTGAGAGGAATCAGTGCACGTTCGTCAAGCGTTACAGGCTGGAGAAGAAACTCAAGATTCTGTACAAGATCGTCGCCAGTGCTGGGTATTACCGGCTTTCCAGAGGGCGGCGACGAAGGTGATATCGGCGGAGGCACCAAGGCTAGCGACGGCGAATTTAGTGAAGATGAACATCACGACGCTATTTCATCATCATTCGAGGTGAGCTGCATTTGAGGGCGTAAGAAAGTAAGATACTGACTGGACCAGTAGGGTGTGCACCCGTTGGACATCCTGCTCGAATACATTCCCTCCCGAGGTACGCCATACTCGATCCTGTGAACAGGCCGCCAATCATACACCTCATAGGTGTGCGGCGCTAGCTGTACCATTGCGCGCGACGAGGACATCGAAAGCATCGTAGGGGTGCGTTGCTACCACAAGCACTCTGATCCTAGATCTGATGCGCCATACAGCACAATGAATGGCCCATAGACTTTGCGACGTGCCCCGCAAGGTCCAGCCGCCGATACTAGTCCAGGTTGAATGTCAGTCATTTCCTGGTATCTGATTGTGGTATACGTGGAATAGTTCTAACGTGTTCCGCAGATGGTTCGGTCTTGAGCCTAGACCTCATCGCTCAAGAGCGAGCCACACTTGAACGTCGTCTTGTCACATCACTAGGTCTGCTGAAGTGGCCACAGCTTAGTCACGAAGACTGCGGCGTCTTTGAGACGGCTGGCGCCAAATTCCCTTGGGAGCCACCCCGCCGTCGGGTCGTGAGCGAGAAATAGACGTACCTGAAGTTTGAAGACGCGGCCCGACCGATGCATCGCGCTTCGGTCCTCTCGCTCAATGGAGGCCTCTTAACAACATCGTGGCGGTCCGGCTCCGTCACTATCAGGAGGACGATGGATGGTCTCCCCGTTCAGCGTCTCGGGATCCCCAGCCCTCCGCTCTCGACAGGCACGTTAAATGTTCACGGGTATCCTCCGAACGCCACCACCGCTGTCGGATTCTCCACCGATGATCTATACCTGGTTTCTGGATCTGCAGACGCAGCTGTAGTCGTCTGGGATGTCCAGTCCGGCGAACGTGTTTTTGCCATTGGTGGTCAAGGCGCTCAGGTGGGTGACGTGAAGTCCACTCTGGACGGCTCGCGCATCGTCAGCGCTTCTGACCACGGCTCAGCCAAGGGTTGGGACGCTAGGTTGGGGTGGCCAATCTGCACGTATGCTCTCGGAGCATGTAAGCGGCATCGTCTTTTCCGCGGACGGTTCGCGATTCGCTGCGAAGATGCGGCACAGTTGTACAACTTGCCGCCTTTGAGACCGCCACTGGCGCGATATTGGACGCCAAATTCTTCCCGGACGGCGAGCGAACTATGGTTTTGGACAACTACCGCGCTGCGCTTGTATACCGCGCGGGTACCCGGGAGGAGCTCATCGAGCCGCATGGACACGGAGACCGAATTAAGCCCCGTGCCTTTGCGCCAGACGGGATCGAGGTCGCCACCAGCTCATATGACGGCATGCTCATCGACTACAAGTCGTTCACAGGAGACATGGCAAAAAGACCATCGCCTCGCGCGGAACCGCGATATCATACTCACCAAATGGGGCGTTACTCGCTGCTGCCGGTCGTGATGGTGAGGTAGTGGTCTGGGATGCTTGGACGGGGCAGTTCGCTATCGAGTTCAAAACGTCGGTCCGCCACCTTTCTGGACAGTCGAATATTGCTCTCGTATGCTAGAGAGGAGCCGTTGTCACTGTGGAACGTTAGTGATGTTTTACATGCGCGTTCAGGGGGCTAGGAGCATTAGTACTTGTTGCTTGCCTCAACCATCTGCGTCAACTCACTGTCTGTTTCTCTGCCACTGTACGTTGAACCTTGGGGTGCTTCGTCAAACTGTCCTTCTGAGAGTAACCGCTCCTGGTATTCGCGATATTCGTGGGAATAACGGAAACTGAAAGCCATTGTTCTCCGGAGCGCCCATTATTGGGCGCTCCGCTAACTACCCACCGACGGAGATAGACCCGTTTCGCCGGGCGAAGGACACGCACATTCGAGAGCTGATGCCAACTGCTTCAGCAGAAAGCTCAACGTTGGCAGATGCACGATACACATTATCGCTCCCTGAATTTCTGCGTCCAAAGTGCATGTGTGAAACTGTCGTGAGAACATCAATCTACTGACGCTCGTCACGTTGCCGACTTCGCATTGTTGTCTCCTGACAATATTTGCTTTGTTATCTCTCATGTTCACAATTTATCGGACTTCAAACCCACAAGCTCCATATGTCATCTACCCCTCGAGCCTGTCCATGTACGGATATGGGTATCCTCTTTGGCATCCTGAGCCGCACCGAACGGGAGAACCCCAGATCGGAGACGTAGGCTATATACACGAGGGGGCATTTGTTAGACTTTTCAATATCAACACCTCTGCTAAGGAACACGAAGTGAAATCCTGGTCTAACCCCTTCGACATCACCAACGACCTCCCGCCAGATGTGTTTTGCGTAGATCAGCGGCATGCCCTCATAGGCCCTGGACGTTTCCCGAGTCGAGGCGTAGAGCAGAAGCAGATACGTGGGGCAGTTACAGGGTGGGTATGATACTATTGGTGGCGCAGATATATCTGAGCTCTTGCAGAGGTCCTTCTACCGATGCAGGAGCGGCCTTAAGTGCAGGCTATACGTGCAAGGAAGTACAAGGAGCGCTGCTGCACCTAAAGAGCGAGGCCTATACCGAGAGGCTGTACCAAAATCGGAGGATAGAGGCGTACATGATCCACGAACATGAACGCTGGTGCTCATACGTGAAGGATGGGGTCGGTCACCGCGTAGAACCGGAAGATATAGTCCTTATCAGTGGATGGGTGAAAACACCAGCAGATTGGGCAACAGCCGCATTCAGCAACACAAGTAAGACATACGAAATGTCACTAGCAGGTCAGATAGGGCAGATCGTAGGCGCGAAACTGTCCGGGTCGCGCACTAGGACACAATCCGGTCCTAAAGCCCACCGACGAGGAACGAAGTACTCGAAGGGCGCGGGCCGAAATTCTACGAAGGACCAGTCTGTATTTGTTAAACGTTACAAGATCAAGAAGATGCTCGGAATATTGCGGGTCCTTATTGCTGGCGCTGGCGGAGGCAGTCTGCCGCCTGGCGACAGAGATCCTGGGACGGTAGCGGGAGTCGTTGCTGAGGAAGAGTGGTCAGGCGATGAGGATCTTGGCCCTGATGATCTTGGGTCCGAGCACGCACTTTTTTCCGAAGGACAGGTTCATTTTTCTCCTGTTGTCAAACGTCGACGATCGCTAAAATGGTAATAGGGGAAAGTCATAGACCCCCTAGACGTCCTTCTCGACTACATTCTAGAGGTAAAGACATTAAGCCTCCACGGGCCTCTGCATCCTCTTACATCTGACATACAGGTATCTGAGGCCAACTGTGCCATTGCGCGCGACGAAGACATAGAAGACATATTGGGTGTACGTCTGTCGCCATTATTCTCGAACTATGACTGAAAAATAACGCAGGGCGATCGCCCTCCGGTAGACTTCTCTACATACCTTCGTAAAAGTCAGCCGCCTGTGCTGGTTGAGGACTCTTGTGAGTAAGCTGCATAGCAGGCTTTTTGATTCATGCACTGACCCTTTATGCCTGTAGACGGATCAATCTCCATACCTGACTTGATGTACCGCGAGTGGATCAGGTTGGAACATCGGGTGATCAAATCATTAGACCTGCGAAAGTGGCCGAAGATCAGCGAGGAGAGGTCCGGAGGCTTGACGCTTGCGCGCATTCAACTTCCGAGCGCCGAAAGGCGAGGCGACCGCGTGCTCGCGAAGTCCACATTCTTGAGATTCAAAAGTCCAACTGAAAGTGACGCGCGTACGACGACGAGCTGCCTTGCGTTGTCTAGCGATGGGAAGCTTCTCGCCGCGTCTTGGCGGACGGTCGACATCATTATCTGGCGAACATCGGACGGCCTGACGCTTCAAAGTCTGGGAGGCCAGGGGCACGCTGATAGCGTTACCGCCGTTGCGTTCTCCCCGGATTCCAGACGCCTGGTCTCTGGATCCACCGACAAGACCGCGATCATCTGGAACATCGGATCTAGCGAGCCCATCATGCGCTTGCGAGGACACACCTACTCCCTCACCGACGTGGCCTTTTCTCCCGACGGTGTACATATCGTCACCGGCTCCGCTGACTACGTCGTGAAGTTCTGGAATGCCAAGACTGGGCTGCCGCTCTGCACGTTCTCGCTCGATTCGCCAATCCGCAAACTTGTCTTCTCACCAGATGGTTCGCGGTTGGCGGCCATGCTAGAGGACATGGTCGCCCTCTACGACGCAGGTACACCCATCGTGCAGCTTGGCGTCATTCGTCGACACGATGTCAAGGACGTACGTACCGTGGCATTCTCTCCTACCGGCGACCGAATACTTGTCTACGCCGGAGGTCGCGTTGGGCGCATATACCGAGTGGACAGCTGCGAGGAGGCTCTGCGACTGGAGGGGCAGAACCGGGAAATCGCTGCCGGAAGCTTTTCACCGGACGGCTATAGAGTGGCGTCTGTTTTAGTCGACAATCTTAAGGGCATGATGTCCCTGCAAGACGCTTCGAGAGGGGCCGTACACTTCGAGGGCAGGATTGGGTCGCGGGGAAACGCGGTGGCGTTTTCTCCAGATGGTACGTTTGTTGCCGCTGCTGGAGATATCAACGTCATCGTCTGGAACGCGAGGTCGGGGGAGCTGATCGCAAACATGACGGATTTGGCACCGCGGATCTCTAACATTTTGTTCCTTCCGGATAGTCGAAGGGTTCTCTTTGCGAGAGAAGGAGGTCCCATAGACATTTGGAACGTCGCGGACACTCTACGAATACATTAGCATGTCAAATTGAACAAGATCGAACTTGGATTTGCACATGTGTACTTATTCCATACTTTGGTTCTGAAGGTTATGAGATGCATCTCTAGAATCTAGACGAGAAACTACAGCAGACTAAATTTGATACGAGAGCTGATGAAAGGTCATTAAGCAGCCTGAGGCATATAAATTTTGTGGAACGATGATTCTTGTAGGCAAGAACGGTATTTTTCAGACCCATCCCCATGGGTAAGCGAGCGAGTCAGTTTAGTCGTTGCTAACACATCTACATCCGCAAGCATTTTGCCAAGAACTCGCGTCCGCCGTCCACTGAGGCAAACTCTCTCGGTGCTCTCGCGGTTGAATGTCATTTAAGGGAAGCACTCCAGAGTTGTTCAGTCAATGAGATGCAGTGCACAAATGCCATATATAGTCCTGTCAGATAGTAGGCGAACACTGCAGAAGGTAATAAAGAATGGCTTGTTAAATCAGAGACCGCGTGAAGAAATATTTCCAAGCACTCTTCATCCGTCCGAAACCTCAACTGTCAGCGGTAGATTAGGCTTTTTGCCGTTAGGACCCGCGGTCGGATAGGCCACTCCTGAACGGTTCCAGAAAATGCTCGCAGATTCGCCCTTCGCGAGCGAAAAACGGAAGGAAGAAAGAAGAATTGCCAATACGACCTCTATAAATAACACGCACGTTAGAATTCGTAGCGAGAGAACCAGAGGCAGGTACGCACTCATTTCAAGCCGAGAGAACTTAAACCCGCTGCGAGAAGATGTGAGACGCCGAATGCTGGGCGAACTTGAGACACCAGACCTACATGCATGATCGTCCGCCACCGAGGAACTGTTGGATTTTGGGCTCGTGCGCTCGCACGCACATGTCTCGGGATGACTCAGATTCCTATTGGACAGTATTTTATTGGATAGCGCGTTCATTATTTCGTTCCTGACTCACCAGTTGCTAAGGCACCTGCCGCTTTCCTTATTTACTCGCTTTTCCCTGTCGTGCACGCTCAGAGACTTCCCTTCTTCTGAGCGTGCGTATATCCTCTCATTACGGACACTGTAGGGTACTGACTGTATTGCAGTACGGACTGAGCATCCGTTCTGCTAGGTAAATACATCACAGAGAGACTTCCCTTCTTCTGAGCTACGGACTGAGCATCCGTTCTGCTAGCCTCAAGCGCGCCCGACAGTCGAAGCCGGGCCCTGCGTGTGAGAAACTCACTGCGAAGAGTTTCTAGAGGAACGCCATCCTGCAGCGCGTTGAGCTAACCTGCTTATGCATGATACCAGAGAGCTGTGCTTACAAATTTGAGTAGACACCGGGCACTTTCGCCTCCATAACTGCCTGCGGAATCGAGTTCTCGAACCAGCGCTCAGGCTTCCACTGTCAGCGGTTTCACCCCAGATCGCTTTGTTGCGGTTGCACGAGTAGATCGCAGTAGCGACCGTCGTGCCTTTCGGGATGGGGATCGACGTGACGGACGAGCCGTTGTTGCCAGTCAGAGGCGGCAGAGTGACGTCATGCATGGCTCTGTATCAAGGTTAGCTACATATTAGATAAACAAGCGAGAGACAGAACGTACTGGAGAGTGACAATGGGCACGGGCGGGTAGAGACGCAAAGTCTCTTGACAGACGGCGTCCACGTACGGCAGTCCCTCAAGGTCGTCGTAGCCAATATTGTGACCTCCGTTAGCCGCGCGTGCTTCCAAAATCTCAGCTCTCAGTCGTCTTGAACATCGGAATGCAAGCACAGCAGATGCAGAATTCTGGCCAGGGCATTTGAGGTGGTGTCGGTACCTGCGGTTGTGAGCGTCCTACGTGGCGTCAACTAATCGAGTGATACAACACGGGTCGCAGAGAAACCCACGACATCTGAGCAATTAGCTCTTCTTCCGGCATCTTGTCTTCCTCCGAGGCCATCAAGTTCGCCCGTACTATAGATCTGATCAACGTCTAGCACAACTCCGACTGTACGGGCACTTACGCAGCACATTCATGAGATCTTTGCCCTCCTCCATCATGAATTTGAGCTCGCTGTCATGGTTGCGGAGCGCATTCTTCTTCTGAGCGAAAATCATCCGCGTGGTTTCGTCCATGGTGTTGATTATCCGCTTCTTCTCTTGCAGCGCCGGACTGGGAATGAGCCAGAAGGACTTCCGGACAACTTGCTCGAGCGCCGGGTAGCGTTCTTGTAAGCTAACGAGCGGGCTCCAAAAAGAGCTGAACAGACAAAAGCTAACCAGTCGCGAGACCGTCGGCCTGGGACGGTGAGTGTAAGATGACACACACAAAAAATAGCTGCGAGAACTCACATGAGGGCTCTCAGCGCATCTTCATACGCGCTCGGGACGTCTTCGATAAGCGGGTCGAATAAAAAGCCGAGATCAACGAGTTCAAGCGCCGTGCGGCCCATCCAGCCAAGAACGTCCACCTCGTCCGAAGAAGAGACCTCGAGTTGATTCGCAATACCTTTGCGAAGCTACAATGAAGATATTGAAGACGAGTAACTGTCCAGACAGAGTTTCACATACCCTATGAACTGTCTCGTAAGATATTGGTGTCATCTGCCGCATATTCGCAATGGAGAATACAGGGTTTGAGTGCTTAATAACCCTGGGCGAAAGGCTAATTTACGGCCGCTGTGACTCATTCCCGGTTCGCTCCGTTGTAAATACATGAAGGGGGGTCTTTCCTCGTTGCATGTAATTAACTCCTGTATCGTGCACTAGCATACACTGCATACTTTCCATCCTACGTGTTCCATACGGCTCGGTTGCCGTCATATATTGAATGAGGAAGGCATCCAAGCTACACCAATGATGTGCCACTACCGTATCCGCATTACATCATGGATGCTACATAGTTGAAGAGGTCCTGTTTCGAAACGCATCAGAAGAGTTCGACCGTCAGAAAGAAAATGAGTCTCCTCGAGATCCCCGTCGCCTTCGCCCCGCACAATCTTTGCGAGAAGAGCCCAAGACTTCGCGTCGCACACTTCGACATCTCCACAGGAGGCACCTAAGGCAACATAATCCCCTTTCGGACAGTATGCCACGCAAGATATCTCGTTCGACGAATTGTAGACATGACGCAGCTGGCCTGTCCGTGAGTCATACACCGCTAAAGCGGTTCTGCCCGCGCCACAAACCGCCGATACCTCGGTCCCGTCTGCGGAGAATGTAACGGGGTGCGAGAGTTTTTCCGAGTGGTCGATAGTGAGAAGCTCTTCGCCAGTGACCGCGCTCCAAATGTTCACCTGTTCGTTCACCGATCCGGTGACAATGAGATCTCCTTGGTGAGACATCGACCAGCGGAGGTAATAGCCCCTGCTATTATGCTGCAATGTAGCAATGTGCGTATAGGTGCGGATATCAAAGATGCGACAGGAGTGATCCTGTTCAACGTAGCAAAGCGAGCTGTCCGGAGAGAATGCGACATTGTATATGTGTTCATCAGCACCTGTGTCGAAGGAGTGTAGGCAAACTCCAGTTGAGGCATTCCAGATCTTTACCGCGGCGGATCCCTCACCGCGAGCGCCAGTTGCAATGAGCGTGCCATGAGGAGTGTAAGCGACTTGGTTCACCTGCCTACCGCGTTCGAGATCTTTAAGGCGTAGAAGTACACGGCCGCTCCGGATGTCCCAGACAATCGCGCTCTTGTCATCAGATCCAGAGACGAGGGTGCAGTTATGAGGAGAGAATGATAGAGAGGAAGCATTGTTCGTGTGGCCATCGTGGCGCAGGCGTTGGACTAGGAGACCGTCAGAGAGCCGCCATATGAGGATTTCCTTACTCTTGAACGATGCCGCCAGAAGCTTGGTATCCTTTGACATGGCAAAGGATTCGCATATTTCCGATGGAGATCGAGAGTCAGAAAAGCTGAGCAGCTTCAGTTTGAGGGATCGTGCCGGCCCTTCTGCGGGGCCGAGGAAGGCGCATCCGTCCTCCAGGCGGCCCGCGTCGTCAAAAGTGATGTCTAACCATATAGATGAGTCGGAAGCGATGATGGCGCGCCGCGCGAAAGCACGTTCTCGTTCGTGAGAGATCACATCCTCCAAGCACAGCGAGCCAACTGCGAAAGAAATCACTACGATTAAATGCCGTCCTTACAAGCAGATGAGAGACTTACGCTTGCCGTCGACCTCAACCGGGGGTTGCACTTGACGGAGGTAGCTTGCGAAGTCAACTAGCCGATTGCCACCCTAAGCAGGGGTCAACACCTGCACTCCCATAAAATATTCGCGGACATACGACGATACTATCAACTTGTTCGTCGCTCACGATGGCAACCTCCACGTTGGTAGTCTGCAATCACAGACCTCTCGCTTAGCATAATCTAACTGACGGAGGAGTAGACTTGCCTCCAGGATGTAATCAAGAAGGATGTTCAGCGGATCGGCAGCCTCGCCCTGCTAATCTCATCAGCTCGCGCAACTCGTAAAACACCTTGGTGAGGCACGTACCTCGCCCACAAGCTCCCAGATGTCTGAACCATCGAGCTCCTCCACCTCCTGCACCACAATTTCTTCCTGTCTCAAAGCTTCTCTCCCGTCTTCCGGACCCGGAAGCCGATGATGGCCCGCCCCGGCAACGATCTTCCGTGGCAGCATCGGCCGCTTTCTTAACATTAAACGCCTCAAGAAGACACATTGGTCTCTCTTTGTGTCTGCTGGGCGGACGCCGGACGCGTTCTCTGCATAGTGCTCGCCGTGCCGGTGCATTTTTGGACCAGTCACGGAGCTCGTGCGCTCGCCGCCCATTTGGATCCCTGCAACGCCGCCAGCACGGCCTTCGACTGAGACACTGGTACTTGTGCTCATGTTGCCGAATGCAACCGTTGCCCAATCGGCCTCGGTCTTGACCCACCCGCTAACCACGACGAGGTTCTCCTGCTCGACTCGATGACCGAGCACGTTTCTGACATACGCGTGCCAGCTGTCGTGGTGCCGCAGAATATATTTCTCCAGAATTCGGCTTTCGTATATCGATTCGGCGTACGCCTCGCTCTTGAGCTCGAGAACCGCGCCCTGCGCTGCCTTGCACATGTACTTGGCGCTGAGGCTCGCGGACACGCCTGTACCGGTCGTTCTGCAGGCTGTGAGTGAATATGCGTCTATCGAGATAGACAATCTACTCACGCGTCCGCTGAGGCATGCAATCCCTTGGTCTCGACTCCATGGCTGCAATAATGGTCGGGAGCAAGCGGACGACGTCTGGAGTCGATCTGGAATACGTTTGCGGGCAAGGGTTCTATATTCTCGAACGGCGTCGGCCAAAACGTCACCCTCTTTTCAGGCGCAGAGGTATCGAGGTTGAATAGCCTAACGAATGCGCCCTCGCGCATGTAGCCCACGTCCCCGATCTGTGGTTCACCCGTTGAATGCGGCTCGGGATACCAGAGGGCACGGCCCAGGTGGAGTGTCTCGAGACTAGATGAGTATATCTCGTCCGGGGCGGATGGGAGACGACGGGACCGGAACATTGCAGCTCATATGGAGTATGTAGCGCGATATCGTAGAGCAGGGATGACAATGCGAAGTGAGCGTGGTGCGCGCCCTGGAGTTATAAGCCCGTGACTTGCAACTTCGGCGTTCGCCAACCTCCAGCGGTAACCACCGGTGTTCGCCGGTGGCCATTGGTGTTTGCCGGCGGTCCTTGCCATATACGGGTGCGTCGCCGTGAGCGCTTGTGAACACCACCGTTCGTTGTCCACTGGAACCCATCGGAATACAGCAGCAACTGGTGAATATTGCTGTGTATCAGTGGCAAGTAGTGGGGTATGTTGGGATATACCAGTGTTCAGCATGTCATGCTGGCTGCCACTGGTATTTGGTTCGGTCGATTCACATGGCAGGTGGCAGACACCACCAAACACCAGTGACATCCACTGGCAGGCAGCAGCCACTATCCATCAGCATATGCTGTTTATTGTTAGTATATGTCATTGAATAATAATTTTTGGCATTTTTCACTGGTCTTTGGGTAGAAGTGTGTGACATTGGGCCATGGTGTGTGACTTGCTTTCCAGGTTGGGCTAACTCTCTTGAACAAATTGTTTTAAGACTAGTAACTGGCAGGTTTGGTCTCATGCTTTGTGCATAGATGGCTTATATTACACATATTCTCACTCAGAAAATATACATTTACCTGAGAATCACAACAACAAGGTTCATAGCTGTTGAAATATTAATGTGACTGCTGGCAGCCTGCCCCCACTGCCTGATAGCTCATTCCTGAACTTATAGAAAGTTTA